GTAACTCCCATCTTTTAGAAAGCGGAAAGTACTTTTCATAAAACAATTCCTTAAACTTGTCCCAACTCATCTCTTCTACCTTGTACCGGCTCGTAACCGACTTCCACCATAATTTAGCATCCTTAACAAACTTATAAGTAGCTAGGATGATCTTCAAATGATCCTCTGTCACATCCATAGAAGTCAATTGAGTTTCAACTTGCTCCATGTAGTCATCTGCTATCATTGGATCCGCACCGCCCTCAAACATAACCGGCATCAGCTGAGAAAACCCCTTAATAATCTTGAGATGCTTCTGAGCTGACGTCTCCTCAACTTAAACTGTAGGTTCTGGTGCCGACTGCGACTGAGTAGCAATCGTTGCCCTCACGACATTTTGCAACAAACGATTAAACTCCAGTGCCACAGAACCTTCACCCACTTCTACGGGTGCTTCAACATTATCCCTCCTTGTGGGGACAGTTCTCGGGGGAATCAAGTCCCTAAGAAGTGTGTCCTCATCATTTAGCTCCTCTGGATTGGAGCTGGAGCTCTCGCCAACATCACCCCTAGTCGGTCTAGGGCCAACTTCCCTGATTTCCTCACGCCGTGACATCGTTCTATAAAACAAATGAAGTAATTCAATAACGATAACACTAAGGTCCAACCGTGAACAACCCAACGCAAAAACATACTGTACAAACATTTAGCATGTAATACTATGCAATGAACACATTAATGTAAGCATATAAACACATAAGCATGTAAGCAAGTAAGCAGTTAAGCATGTTTTTTCACATAGCAAAACACTTTTCCAAACAAGGAAATAACAATGCAAATGACTTCCCAGACAACCCTAGGCAAGCCTCTACCCGTCGTCCTAATGGTATTCGAACCATCGCTCTGATACCAAATTTGTAACGACCCTAGTTGATACCAAAATTTTAAAAAAATTCGGCATAACCTCCCATAAAAATGGGCCTTCAACATCCTGTCCCAATACACAAAACACATAAAATCATCCAGCATCCCATTCATCCGTTCATTATACCTCAACATAGTTCCTCTCATGGTGGAACATCCACATACCAATTAATCTAAATTATCATAATTATAGTTCCAAAATACATGATTAATATTTAAAGTCCCTATCTTATAACATTATATGATACAATTGCATGGAAACATATACCATAATTCCACTAGTTTCATTTACATCAAACAAAAGATAAGTTCGTTCATTAGTTACATTTCCACAACTACGAATATACATAGAACGGTCAAAATACAAAATAGCAAACAACCTTCTAACAATTTTCAAGCTTGAGGTGGATTGTCGTCCACTAGTTCATTTCCAAGACCTGAAAAAAATAATATAAATAATAGGGTGAGCATAAAGCTCAGCAGGTGACACTTAAGACACACATCTTGTGTCCTTGTGATCCAAACAATGCATAGGCCAATAGGAAATGGGGATCATACAATGTCGGGAAATAATACAGCATAACGATTCAATGTCAAGTATATCTAATGCAATGGTATGAGATGCAATGCATGCTAGTGTCGCTCCTCATTTTCATAATCCAAAACATCATTTCCAAACTGTTAATACAGCCCGCCCTTTGGTAGCCCCGCCACGACACGAGAGGAGGATTGGCTAGTGTCTCTAACCCTTGGTAACCCTGCGGCGTCATTATGGGGCCCAGCTAGCTCAACCACGCTAGGGCGACTCCCTAGTCCCCTTTAGGCTATATTAACCTCCGGCCCGTTGGTAACCCCGCAGCGACCGGGTTTCGCATAAAACCATTTCATCAAAAACACTTCCCTGAAATTCCCCATATTTATTTCAAGAACAATTTCTCCCATTTCATGCAAACCCAATGGTATGTGCATGTATATATGTTCCATACATTCAATGTCATGGCATTTAAAATTCTACACCATAAAATTAATCATTCAACATGTTTAACATCTCCCAAGTAATTATTAACACATTAAGATATAACAAAATACATTTAAGCATGCTTTACACATAAAACAACTCACATTCAAATACATGAATTTCTCTAGACAACATTTAAAATAATCATTGATACAATTAACTTCTAATTAAGCATGCTTGGCACAACAAATGATTATAACTCACAATAGAACAAGAAGGTAGCGGATTAAGGTATCCCTACCTCAAAAGTGAGCCAAAACCCTTAAAATGGGTCTCTAAATTCGAAGTCCCTAGGAAGGCCAAATCAATTGGACAATGATATATTTAAAGAGTTTTATAGACAATGATATATTTAAAGAGTTTCAATAAACTCTAACACAAATTACTTATTTATCTATTTATTATGAGTTTTTGAATGAATGGAAATATAATTGGACGAGAATTATTAATATAAAAAATATTTATTAATTGACATAAAAAGAGATTTTAAAAAAGTTTATATAAAACTCTAAAATAAATTACCTTTTTTAGAGTTTTTTAATTAAAGAAAATCTAATTAGAGAAGAATTATTAATATAAAAAATATTTATTAATTGATATAAAAAATAAAATAATTTTTCTAAAACTTTATCATCTATAACCTATCTATTATGAATATATTTAAAGAAAATAAAATAATTTCTATAAAACTCTATCACAAATTACCTATTTTATTTTTTTTAAAGCTTTATCACATATAACTTGTATTTATCTATTTATTATGAGCTTTTTAATAAAATAAAATATAATTAGACAAGGATATATTTAAAAAGTAATAATAATTTTTTAAAAGAGTTTCTATAAAATTATAACACAAGTTACCTATTTATCTATTTATTATGAGTTTTTTAATAAAAGAAATTCTAATTAGCCAATAATTATTTATATAAAAATATTTATTAATTGATATAAAAAATAAAATAATTTATCTTAAACTATACCTCAAATTACCTTTTATTATGAGTTTTTTAATAAAAAAAAATCTAATTAGACAATGATATATTTAAAGAAAATAAAATAATTTATATAAAACTCTAACACAAATTACCTATTTTATTTTCAATAAAACTCTATCGCATTAGACAAGGATATGTTTAAAGAGTTTCTATAAAACTCTAACACAAATTACCTATTTACTTATAAGTTTTTTTTTAAAAAAAATCTAATTAGACAAGAATTAGTAATATAAAAAAACATTTATTAAATGATATAAAAATAATTTTTAAAAGAGTTTCTTCAAAACTCTAACACAAATTACTTATTTATCTATTTATTATGAGTTTTTAATAAAAGGAAATCTAATTAGATAAGAATTATTAATATAATTTTTTTTATTAATTAATATAAAAAATTAAATAATTTTATAAAACTTTACCACAAATTAACTTTTATTATGACTTTTTTTAATAAAGGGAAATCTAATTGGACAAGAATTATTAATATAAATATAGTCTATAAAACTCTATCACAAATTAACTATTTTATTTTCTTTATTATTTTAGTATTTATTTATTTATATAAAAAATATTTATTAATTGATATATAATGAATTAAAATAAAAGAGTTTCTATAAATAAAATGAATTAAAATAAAAGATTTCAAATCATTATTAAAACAACTAAAAAATAGGTAATAATTAAATAAAATAATTTATTAAATAATAAAATAAGTTATAAAACATTCATCACGTACATCGCAGTACCTTTACCTAGTTTATATAAGTGTGTGTAGTGTATACCGTGCATATTTATTTATGTTAGAAGGTTCCGTGATATAAAAAGTTTGGTATGTTGAATGGAAACAAGCAAGTCTCATTTTGGATTGTTATAGAATTGTCATTGTTGATAGGCCCGTCATAATCCATGTGCACCTGTTGATTTTATGGTACATACAAAACTAATCGGACTCGTGGTTTCCTAACAATCATAATCCATGTGCACCTGTTGATTTTATGGTACATACAAAACTAATCAGACTCGTGGTTTCCTAACGATGATAGATTATTTTGATATGTTGTGATTACTTTAGGATTAGTGTTAAGCTAATGCCTTAACTAATTACAGTGATTATTTTTTATCTATTAAACATTTTGCTCCATGTTGATGGTTAAAGCAAACTTGAATGTCAACATGATTAATATTTTAAAAGTACTATTTTCAAAGAACATTAAGGATTTAACAGACTATTTTGATTTGATACCATATATAAATTGTAATACGGGGCTCCCATCCAATTTTAAAAATTTTAAACTCATAATTTGTTATGTTCATTAATAAATAAGAAAATAAAAAAAAAATTATTGTTTTTATTATTATATCTAATAATATTTATAATATTATAATTTATAAATATTGTAATTTAAAACTTGTATAATTTAAAATAATATTATACTTTCAGAATAGAAGATTCAAATATTTTATTATAAAGAAAAAGAAAAAAGAAAAAAAACAAAAATACGCGACGGCAGCATTTCTGACCATGTTTTTTTTTTTTTTTTTTTTAATGGACAATTTTTTTCTATTTCCTTATTTGAACAGACCTTAAATAGAGAGAGATTTATATAGAGCGTTATCTTTCTCAATATAGGGAGCGTATTTTTCTCAATAATATATTTTTGCAAGGCAAATGCATGTGAAGAGAGGTTTTTAGTGAGAGAAAGTATTATTACCGTATAAAAATCAGTGGCAGTTTTCTCAAAATAAAAAAATTTAAAATAAAACAATTTAGGTTTCTTTTTTACGAAAAAAAAAATATATATATTAAATTTTTATTCACAAAAAAAAGACGACGGAGAAAATTGCTTTTAAAATACACAAAATTACAAATGCCACCCAAATTACCAAATAATATCACCAATTATATTGGTAAAGTTTAGTATTTTCTATTTACAATAACGTAAAGAATTTTTGCTCAAGCAAGTTTTTTTTTTCCTTAATTTATTTATTTGATACAAAACGGTCACGTTTTGGCTAAAAGAAGAAACGAATACGAATTCAACTTTCTCTCTCAAATTCTTTAGTATATATTTGGCTTTTAATATTTAAAAGGAACCTTCCCTAATCAAACGCTAAATTTCACTGTGAACTGAGAGGATAGGCGGCCGTAGCCGATATATAATCTCTATAAGAAGCTCTCTCTCTCTCTATAAACTAGGTTTTCTGCAATGGAGATCAAGCTGTCATTCCCGGCCGGTAGTCCGCCGCTGCCAGTCATTATTGCGGCGAAGATTGCTGGAGTTTCTCTCTCAATCGATGCCACTCTCACTTCTGGTTCTCCTCCCACCTTCCACTTCTCTGATGGGTAAAATATATTATCTTTTATTTTCTTCATATATATATATATATATATATATATATATACATATTTGTGTTGCATTTATTGTTCAATTTTCCACCCTTTTCTGTATTGACGAAGATTGTAATTTTCCAAGAAAATGAATATGATGATAATTGTACACATTGATCTGTTTTTCCATATATTTGTGTATGTATATGATTATATGTATAATAATTATTGGTCGCGGATTTAGCCCTAAGTAGAGTTCTTTTCCCCTTCAGTTTTCATTTTTACTAGAGAGAAAATAAATAAATAAATATAAATGGAGAAGAAGCAAGAAAGCAGTTTTTAAATCTGTTTACTTAATCTATTGGGGGTGCTTTTATTTTAATGGAAAATATTATTTAGCCATATAAGCGGAAGAAACATAATGCTGGAAAATCCTTTTGCTTGTTTTGTTACCATAGAAAATAGATTGTAAAGAAAATATGATGGAAATTTAGGGTGAAATTTAGCAAGAGAGCAGTTTTTTTAATTGCCCACACACACTGTCACGCACACACATAAAGCAGCTGGGTTATTGTCATTAATTGTATAATAGCATCCTTAAGTTGTTTGTGAATACATGATCAACAATTCTTATTTTTTTCCAAGAAAGAATAATCGGTTTTGGTGCTTACTTTTCAGACGTGAATTGTGTGGAACCAATGAGCTGCTACGCTATCTTGGTGAATCAGCGATCATTCCCAATTTCAATGGACGGGATGCCCTTGAATCTGGCCAGGTGGCTTTCTATGCATTTTCTGAAACTTAGAGTATTAAAATTTTGTTGTAATTTATACATCTTTTTATTTAAGGTTACTCCTGTTCGATAGTGTGCTTCTTACTGATATTCCTTTGTTTTTCTTTCTTTCTTCTAGATTGATAAATGGCTACAATATGCCCCTATCCTTGCTTTAGGTTCAGAATTTGAGGGAGCATGTACCTATTTGGATAAGCACTTGTTGAAGTGTACTTTTTTGGTTGGTCATAATCTGTCAATTGCAGATATAGCAATCTGGTCGGGTCTTGCAGGTATAGGTTTCAATCTCTATCTAATTTAATGTCTGCACTAGTGGCACATATCTAAGATAACTCACTTGTGAAGCATTTATGCTCCATTTTCCCTGAGTTATTAAATTTTGTTTAGTTATGGGGTACAATTTGCTTATCATCATTTCTACTTGATAACTAGATATCATGATATATAGAAATGGCTGTATAACTTCGCAGTTCAGGCCTGTGAATCATCTTATCCGGGGATCTAAACCTTCGGTATTAATGAACAGTATATATTATTGCACACCTTTTATGATTGTTTTGTCAATTTCGATGATTATACCTTCACTTTTATTGCTTACCCCAGACCTTAAAGCACGTGTGAATTGCTACATATAATCTCATTATTTTGTGCCCCTTATAAGACTCCTATAAATGCTAAAAGATCAGTTATTTGCAGTTACTGGGAAAAGATGGGAAAGTTTGAGGAAGTCAAAGAAATATCAAAACCTAGTGCGGTGGTTCAACTCTATATCTGTAGAATATCATGGTGTCTTGGATGAAATCACGTCAACATATGTCGGGAAAAGAGGCGTGGGAAAGCCAATAACACCTGAAGTAAAAGAAAAGGAGCAACAAGGTGTTAATAATCATTCCAAGAATGTAAGTGGCGATGTTAATGAAAAAGGGAAAGCAGGTGGCCGGTCAGCATTTGAAGTTGATCTTCCAGGTGCTGAAGTCGGAAAAGTGATGTTACGGTTTGCACCCGAACCCAGTGGCTATCTTCACATAGGCCATTCCAAAGCTGCACTGTTGAACCAGTACTTTGCTCAAAGATACCAAGGTCAGGTGATTGTGCGCTTTGATGATACAAATCCTGCTAAAGAAAGCAGTGAATTCGTGGATAACCTTCTGAAAGATATAGAAACCTTGGGTATTAATTATGTGAAAGTTACATATACTTCAGATTACTTCCCAGTGTTGATGAAAATGGCTGAAAAGTTGATTCTCGAGGGTAAAGCTTATGTTGATGATACACCACGTGAGCAAATGCAGAAAGAAAGGATGGATGGAATTGAATCAAAATGTAGGAATAATAGCCCAGAGGAGAACATGAAATTATGGAAGGAAATGATTGCTGGATCTGAGAGGGGTTTGCTGTGCTGTCTCCGTGGCAAGTTGGATATGCAGGATCCAAACAAGTCCCTTCGAGATCCTGTATATTACCGTTGCAATCCGATTCCTCATCACCGAATTGGATCAAAGTATAAGATATACCCAACTTATGATTTTGCATGTCCATTTGTTGATGCTGAAGAAGGTATAACGCATGCGCTCCGATCGAGTGAGTACCATGATCGTAATGCTCAGTATTACAGGATCCAAGAGGAAATGGGAGTTCGAAATGTTAGTATATATGAATTCAGCCGGTTAAACATGGTATATACACTTCTTAGCAAGCGCAAGCTTCTATGGTTTGTGCAAAATGGAAAAGTTGATGGGTGGGATGATGCTCGTTTCCCAACTGTCCAAGGAATTGTGCGCAGAGGACTGAAAATTGAAGCTTTGGTACAATTCATTCTTGAACAAGTAAGAATCATACTCTTAGTAATATTCATAAAAAGTTGTTAAGAATTATACTCTTAGTAATATTCATTCTTCATCAAAAGTTGTTATTTACTGCATCACATTGTGCAGAAGTATGTCTTTTTTTTTTTTATTTTTTTTTATTTTTTATTTACAGAAGGATGTCATTATTTTCACTCTTCATCTATTACTAAATAGGCTTCCTTGGTTTATTATTCCATTAAAGCTTAAAATCTTAATTTAATACTTTGTTTTAGGGGGCATCAAAAAATCTCAATCTCATGGAGTGGGACAAACTCTGGACCATTAATAAGAAGATCATTGACCCTGTTTGTCCCCGACATACTGCTGTGGTTGAAGAACGACGCGTTTTGTTGACCCTAGATGATGGCCCTGAGAAACCATTTGTCCGCATCATACCAAGGCATAAGAAATATGAAGGTGCAGGGGAAAAGGCCACTACTTACACAAAGAGTATATGGATTGACCATGCTGATGCTGCATCTGTCTCAGTAGATGAGGAAATTACCTTAATGGATTGGGGAAATGCCATAATAAAAGAAATCAAGAAGGATCAAGATGGAAATATCACGCACTTGGCCGGTGTTTTGCATCTTGAAGGATCTGTCAAAACCACGAAGTTGAAGCTTACCTGGCTACCTGAGACAAGTGAACTTGTTAATCTTTCTTTGGTGGAGTTTGACTATCTAATTACAAAAAAGAAGGTACAGTGCTAATTTACTTATTGCCTGAACTTTTTACGTGTTTTACAGCACAAATGCATATTCATTCTTGTCATTGTTTTAGATCATAGGAATCTTTGATTATCTTCTGTATTAATATAATTGTAAATACTGTGCTAGATCTACAAATCCATGTTGAAACATAAGGGGGGAACTGAAAACAAACTTCACAATATGATTTTTTAATTTTTTTATATTTTTTTATTGGTGATTATTTCATCACAACAAAAAGATTCACGAAAACGTGTTATCCGTTGGATGTGGAAAAATTCCAAACCTAGATGTAGAATGGGCAATTGTTTATTACTGTGTTTGTGAATGAATGTTGGGAATGTTTTCAGGTTCATGTTTTGTTTTAAAAAAACCATAAATGATTTTTGGATAGTCAAATCATTATATTCTAGCCTCAATATAACTAATGTAACATATGTAGTTATAGGTTACTGCGATAATAATTATGTTATTAGTAACTTTTGAAATGATCTTAGGCGTCATACACGCATTTTCTACACCTAAAACTCTGAATGAATGCAGAGTTGAAAGTGTCAGTGTTGTGTCAACATGTGTTTAATCCACAAAATGTCGTTATTTTAAGTGTCATAAATATTATAGGTTATTTATTATTTACTTGGAGATTTTCCAACTGATTGCATTTGCAGCTAGAAGAAGATGAGGATTTCATTGATGTGCTTAACCCATGCACGAAAAAGGAGACTGCAGCACTTGGGGATTCAAACATGCGGAACTTGCAGCGTGGGGACATACTGCAGCTGGAGCGGAAAGGTTATTTCAGATGCGATGTTCCGTTTGTTAGATCTTCAAAGCCTATAGTCCTATATGCAATTCCAGATGGAAGGCAGCAAACTGTATCGAAGTAAGGCCTTACTTCTAATTACGAGTTATTTGTGAAATCTGTTGGGAAATTCCCCTCATTTGACACCGCAGATTAAAGAACTATTGATGTAATACTGATTTATCTTTCTAAACTCTACAGAACTTGCAAACCTACATCTTATCATTTCTTGTCTGTCATTGTTGCATTTGGTTATACATGAGTTTTTGCTAGATGTATGGCTAGAAAATATCAATTCTTTATGGCAGTGCGTGTTCATTTGCCCGGGGTGGGTGTACACACACACACACACACACACACACACGCACACACATAAATAGTGATATATGTTTGTAGGCTTAGGATTGTTCAGTGTGGTGTCTCAGATTTGACTCGATGGTTGTTATGCCCTTAAAAATATGTCAAGGCCTATATGAAGAAAAATCAACTTCATGCGTGGCTTAGTTGGACATTTTTACTGCATATGAACGTGGAATCATTATGTTTTTTTTCTTCTTCCCTAGTTGATACTCTCTCGCGCGCGCGCGCGCGCACACACACAAAGGAGTTGATCTGTCCTTGGGCTCAACTATATATGGCATTGGGGGCAGTGGCCTAAGGCCCACTTGAGAAAGGGTCAGTAAGATTGTGAGTTCCATGGTAAATTTTTTTATTACTTAATAACCTTGTAAAACTTAAAACTTTAAAGATTATAAAATTTTAAAAATTATGCATAAACTTTATTCCTTCTATTATTACTACTCCAATGTTGTGTTTTCTAATTCATTTGAAATTCTTCTCGGTTAACATTAATAGAAAATTTATTTGATTCGACTGACTTTGATAACTTAAATTCTCGGATTTACACTATTTTGCAACAACAATGTTAGGATAATATTGTTACAAAGTGTAATTAGAACTAAATTAAAGAATACAATGTCAATCAAAGAATAGTAATGGATACAAAGTCTTGTTAGAAGACTATGTTGTCTCGCAAGAGCATTTACTGGGCTACAAAAATTAAGGTGATTTTTCTCTAAGATTTTGATTCTTCATTTGGAATAATTGCAAGGTAACATTAGTCAATTTTGTCATTCTTAACATTCAATATATGAAAAGTATGCGTTGAATTTTCTGTTTACTTTTCAATTCTTATTCTTTAGTTTAGATTCAATTAGATTGTTCTTCTTGAAAGTTATTTATTTTTTATTTTTTATTTTTTGCCTGCTATTGTGTTCCCATTAGGGAAGTAGTATTGAATCTCTCATGAACTTTCATGTTTAGTCCTCTTCATAAGATCATATATTTTGAGAGAACCATTCTAAGTATATATAAGGTGAATTTTGATTGATACGAATCTTTATGCTACGATTTTGATGGCTAAGAAGATGAATAAAATTAGATTAAAATTTACAATCGGTCAAACTTAGATGGTCATATAATTCTTACAAATTTCCACTCGAGATCTCACACATTTAGGCCTCGACCTTGATTACGAAGCAACCCCCAAATATTCCCCCTTTCTAAATTTCTCTCTAATTCTCCCTCTTTTCTCTTTTCTCTTTTACTCTTCTTCAAATTCCTTTGATTCCCTCCAAAAAAAAATTGAAAAAAAAATTTGTATTCCTTTTTTTTTTTTTTTTTTTCCAATCAAGCCTTAATTTTTTCTCTTTCAAAGTCATCATTTTCCTTTTCTTTTATTTTCTTCCTCTTCTTCTTCTTCTTCTTTTGTTTTTTGTCCTCTTGTTAAAATTTCTTCTTGCTCACGTATGATGTAGGTGTTTTTTGTTCTCTTTCTCAATTTTCTTTGCCTACATCAGCAGTGAGGTGCTCATCCATATGTTTATTAGTAATAAATGCGAAGGCATTTTAATACTTTTGCAAAAGGAACCTAGCTCTGATTGGGTATGTTAAGAGTGATTTTTCAAAAACTTGTTGAGATGATTTTGAAAGACTTCAAAGACTTTGAGTGTAATTTACAGGATAAATTGTTGGCCTAAACAAAGAACCGACAAGAAAACACACACACAGGCACCGCCATAAGTTGTAGTCTAAGAGTATTTTTTTACGTTACAAAGTAAAAGGTATTCCGCTCGTCCCAAAATTTATGTCCATCTTTTTATTTTACGATGTTCATTATTTCCAAACTATCATTTTGACATTGATTAGTACACTGATTACAGTATACTCATTTGTCTTTTAATCTCCAAACATCCCAACAATTCTGAGACAGAAGGAGAGTATATATACACACACACACACAAAGCTTGTATGAGTATATACATGTAAGTACACACAAAGCTTGTATGAGCCCTTATGAATTACTGTATAAAACTTTGTTGAATAAAAAAATTATAAAACTTTGTTTGGGAAGTGAGCAGGCCCATGTTTGCTTGCTGTTGTCATTGGGATTTGGGGTTTAGGTTAAAACGAAAGCCAAAAAGGGTGAAGAATCCATTATGTAACAAATGATTATATACTATTGGGACAGTTTGCCACCAAAAAGCTATTCAACTGAGTACTTTGGGACTGTTTTTAATGAGGAAAACCTAATCCAACTCTTAATAAAATATACTTTGAGATGTCATTATATGAAGTACAAAGTATTAAAATCAATTTAGATGGTTCACCTCATCACTCCTCAACTCCATTATACATGTACAGCAATATGTGTGTGTGTTGTGTCTGTTTTTGAGAATTAGATAACAGACCCACCATATGTTGATTCCCGTAGATGGGGACTTTTGAGCCTATTCTTGCTGTTGGACCCTACTAGAAAAATGTTTGTGCGCAAAAGTAAAGTTAGACTTGTGTAATGATGAAGCAAATCAATAGTTGTAGCATATGATAAAAAGAGAAGGCCACTTTTTCAAATGTTTGGTGGAACCTCTCGTCAAATCATGTGCAAATTTTATAATTGAAACCATTAAGACAGGTCCCAACAAAATAAAAAATAATTCATATGCCCTATTTGATCAATTTAGGACTCTATTGCCATCAACCCTTAACCATTGAAGCAAATTAGGAATGTGTGACAGTATTGATGCTTAGGAATGTAGTAGTTAGAGAGGAGAGGAGAGTGGAAGGTTCGAACACGAAATTTCGAAAGAACAATTCAACCACTTAAACAATAAGAAACTAGCGACCTTTTGAAAACTAAAATTTTATTCAGGGATAATTAGAAGAAACAATAATCTCACACATAGGTTACAACATTTTCTGGGCTCCCAAACAAATTAAATCCTTATGCCTACCCACCAATCAGATGGACAACAACAACAACAACATGTTTGTCACCAGTACACGTAGCAATGGTCTACTTGGGTGCAAACCTTGACTTAATTTTCTTAACCTCCTTGGTACCAACCTGGAATGCCTTTGTCAACACATTGTCCGGCACAGGCGGCGTGGCGCCGAACAGGGTCATGGCGATGGACTGGGTGCCGGGCAGCTGGCTGTTGAAGGCAGAGATGACGGCGGCGGGAACCTTGCCATTGTTCTTCTGGAAGTGGACTAGACCTTTGGGGAAGGTGAAAATGTCGCCCTGCTTGATGTGCCTGGGAATGAGGACATTGGCTGTGGTTATGAATCCCACATCCAATTCGCCGTAGAGCACGAACACCAGCTCGGTGGCGCGTGGGTGGGTGTGAGGCGGGTTTATGCCGCCCGGGGCGAAGTCAATCCGGGCCAGGGACACCCCCAGGGTGTTGAGGCCTGGGATTCTTAGGACATTGGCGTTCGTCACCAGTCCACCCATTGAGTTGTTTGTGAGCCCTGGCTTAGCCAGAATGTCAGAGTAGAAATCTTCAGCACTAGCGTTTGCTTTGCAGACAAATCCATTCACCTTCACAGCTGTTTCACACACACACACATACACATACATACACATGAATCCATAAATTGATACACATTACCAATTTTGCATTGGTTAATTGGTACAAAAAGAGTAAATAAATAACCACTACAATACTTAAAAATGAGTATTAACTATTAAGTTGTTTACTAACATGAACCATTTTCTGCTTTGCTTTCTTTGGAAAAATCAACACTGTTTTCATATAAATGTATGAGCCCCAAGAAACTGACAACTGAACAGATTTTAAGTTCTCAATTATCATAAAACAAAAACTGTTCACGAAACAAGTCCATAATTGATGATTCACTTTATTAATTTTTGTTTTTTTCTTAATAGGTTGATTAAAGTGAAACCCATAGTTAAATTATGCTAAAAGTCTCTGTTTTGGTATGAGTAAAAGTCAATGCCAAAGATCTGAAGAAGGGGGAAAAAAATAAAATCAACTATACACACACATATATATATATAGCTAATCACAATGAGAAAAGGGCTATTTATATAAGTAATTAGGCTTCTAAAAGTATCATTTTATTCTAGAAAGTGTTAATTATAAGCAATTATGAACACATTTGATAAGAAGAAAACAAAATTATCAATTCTCAATGAAAAACTTTGAAATTTCAACGCTAAGTAGTATCAGGTATGAATGAAGAAAAGAAATAGAAATAGTATTGATTCGTTAATACCAGAAGTGAGATCGGCAACACAAACGTCTTGAAGCGAATCAGGATCTGCGAAAGCAGTGTTGGAGAAAGTAGCAAAGATAATCATCATCATCATCATCATAGGCAGCAATACTCTGTAAATAGCCGCCATAGCTGCAATACTGTATATATATATATATATATGTATATATACGTATATAGAAAGGTGAGTAATCAAAGACTTGTAAAAGGAAATGAGAGGAGAGGAGAGGGGAGGAGATAAAAGGTTGGTTTGAACAATAAAGCTACAACAGTGGGTATCTAATTTATAATGGTGCTGGAAGAGTCTTCTAGAGAGAGAGAGTGTTAGAGAGAGAGAGAGAGAGGGGGGGGAACGTTGACGGTAATTGAGAATGAAAGGGCACGAAACATGCCTTCTTCGACCCAAAGTAAAGGCATCAGCTAGATCAGGCCCATATTGGAACCCCACAAGAGTCAGAGAATGCCTCTATTTTGGGCCTTTAAACCCTATTTTGTTCTGGCTTCGTGTCGTGAACGGGCGGGATCTGACCCACATGACCTCTTATATTAGTATACATATGCCCCCCCCCCCCCCCCCCATATTTGGTTTGAGGGTTTAACATAATTTTTTTAGTCTAAATATTCATTGACAAAAGATAAAGGCTAATCCAATAACATAGAGAAGTCAAGGCGGCCCGTGACTTGGACAAAAGGGTGCCTTGTATTAGTTGCATACTTGTGTGTGTGTGTGTGTGTTATCCTGGTAAACTCGGGGAGGTAGAAACTCGAATGCGGGGGAAATTGGGTAATACTCTACTTGTATATGCTCGTGCTATTATATATATATATATACACACACTATATCATTTTTGGTTTGAGGGTTTAACATAATTTTTATAGTCTAAATATTCATTGACAAAAGATAAATGCTTATCCAATAACATAGAGAAGTCAAGGCGGCCCGTGACCTGGACAAAAGGGTGCCTTGTATTAGTTGCATACTTTTGTGTGTGTGTGTGTGTCTATATATATATATATATATATATAAATTTGGAAGGGAGAAACTCGAATACGGATAAATTGGATAATGCTCTAATTGCATATGTTAGTATATATTACAATTGTATTTGACATTAGTTCAAATAATATGTTTTATCTTTGTTAAAGAAGAGATCGAGTGTTTGATATCAATTTATAGAAACATGTTCGATTTTGTAACTTACTTATATTTCAGCTTTTTAAACAAGATTTGAAATGTGGTAGAAAACTTAATTACTTGTCAAAGATATGTGATACAAAGTTGAAATTCGAACTCTCCATCATTTTTAATGAAAGAATAATCATAAATACTTTAACTACATAGGCATAGACATTTAGAAGTACTAGATCATTTGTTCAAACAAAATTAATGGATTGTCAATTCGATCTAATTGTTGCAGTTGAGCAAAATATAAAGCCAATAAAGTAATGGGAGAAGACTCTTTATTTATTATTCTTGATATTTTGTTTTTAATTGTGTCTGTGTCTTACCAGAATAATAAATACTATTATTACCAAAAACAACTGAAGTTAATGGACCAACAACACTATAATTGTCATTGTGTTACTTATTACATGCACCAAACGTATTAAAAGGTTAAAGTGATTTATTTTTACTATTTTTAGTTGAAATCGTAGTTTTTTTTTTTTTTTTTTGGGTAAATGTTGAAATCGTAGTTGTTACTTCTTAGTTTTTACTAATTGTAATATGACGTGTATCTTAAGGTATATAAAAAAAATGATATGGTGTGTATCTTTGTCGATGGTTGAGGAAAATGACTCGAGTTAACGTGTGGAGACTTGACAGATTGCTTCACAGTACCCTTTGGTAAAACTTGGTTGGTCCCCCAGAAAATGATAGAAATTTTTTTAAGGCAAAGACAGAAAAATACAACCAATCCAATCCAAATCTACTCCCAAAAGGGCCAAAGCTTCTCTTTGAGTTGTTGCATCTCTATGATGACTTTTCATAGGCGGCTACCTTGTCTTGCAACACAGCCATTCTCGCCCTCAAATTCTTAAATCACCAATATATATATATATATATAGGCCTCTTATTATATTTGTCTATTTGATCATTGTATGTGATTGATCACCAAAATTTTATAATTTGGTTGGTATGGATCAAATGTTCATGACTAGGCTAAGTTAAAGAAGATTTTAGTACAACATTGTGACAATGGACCAAGTTCATTTGACTAAATATATATGCAAAAAAGAAAAGATTAGGATATTGTAAAATAACATGGAATATGTCTTTGAGATTCTCATTATTCGTCTCTATATTAGTCTTCTCTTATATCAGCAATTGTTCGGTTCACATTATAAGTGATTTTAACATACCAAAAGGGTTCAATGGTATATATAACATTATGACCATACATATCTTGAACCTCAAAAAAATAGGGAGAGATTCGAGTCCGAGCGTAAGCAGTGTGCATGAGTAAACTTAACTAATTTAAAAAAAAAAATTCAATCGTCCAAAATATAAATTATATTAAAAAAAAATAGAAATCCTACTAAGACGTTTCATCTTTTTACTTGAATTTTTATTTTTCCCTTTTCTGGCTTAATAGAAAAAATAATCTTATTTAGAAGATTCTTATATCATCAAGTTTCATGAGGTATCTATAGGGTTGCACACACAAGTAACTTACATTGTGATCTTTGATTTATGGTGTTATTCAACAAAATTTGATAAAATAGTCTATTGATTTGAATTATGACAAAAATATAACAAAGATTGAGGTATGAAAAGTTATCAAAGTTGATACTGAGCTTGACAAAACTCATTTCTGTCCAAGATAGCTAGACCCAACTAAACCATTAAAAACTCAAATTGACAATATATATATATATATATATATATATATATATATATAGTGGCAAATGACTAGTCAAAGTTTCAAGATTTGTATGGAGTCAATTATTACTTGGCTCAGTTTTCAATAATTTTGAACAACAGCTTCTGGAAATTATAATAAAAGAAAAAGTCTCCGGAGTTGTTTTTTCTTCCTTTTACCCTGTTTCCTGGAAGTATATTATCAACCAAATGAGTGTTTCAAGTTTTCATGTAGTTTAGAGACCAGAAAAACATTCCCAAAACATTGAGCCAAACAGTCCCTTAACCTTTCCTCCAAACTTTCTACAATGAATTTTCATGGACTTCATGGACTCGGTCACGATGTCGCGTTGTCTTGCAATATGGACAATTTTTAAAAAGACAATTTTGCAAAAGTCTCTGAAGTTGTTTTTTCTTCCTTTTACTCTGTTTTCAGGAAGAATATTATCAACCAAATGACTGTTTCAAGTTCTTACGGAGTATGTTGTTTAGAGACCAGAAAAACATTCCCAAAACATTGAACCAAACACTCCCTTAACCTTTCCTCCTAACATTCTAGAATGAATTTTCATGGACTCGGTCACCACGCGTTGTCTTGCAATATGGACAATTTTTGACCACTAAAATCATTTTATTTATAAAACCACACACACACATATTTGACAACTAAATCTCATACATAGACTGAAGTTCATATTAATTGTTTGGTTTCTGACATTTACTTTAGGAACATCAATTGGCTTAATGTACTTTGATGATCGTGTGTGTGTGTGTTTATTGTTTATTAATATAGTGCTGTTGATCACATGACTAAAAAAAGCAAACTGAAAACGATTTTAGTACCACTGTATCAAAATGGACAAGTGTGTTTTATTTACTATCCACAAATGCAAAAAAAAAAAAAAAAATGATTCGCGTTTTGTAAATTAATATTGATTATGTCAAGAGATTCTCGTTTATCCTTGTATACACTAATTATGTTATAACAAAGGTTGTCTGGTACACCTACTTGTACTTTTCTAACATCATAGCTGCTTCAACAAGTTTAACAAGCCACACCAACCTACTGCAAGACTGGAACCATATATATGATCAACACCACTATCATATTCTTTTTTCTTTTTCTTTTTCTTTTTTTTATTCTTTTTTAATTTAATTTTAATTTTTTTTCGCTAAATAGATAATTATCTTTACTTGGAGACTTCTTCTATTATCAAGTTTTACATATTATCAACAATTAATGCAAGCAATTGATGTATGTTTTGATCTATATGAGTTGTTTTTTTTTTTTTTTTTTTGACAAATGATCATATTTTCAAGCAGACAATGAAAGATTGATGTAGATTTATTCCATATGGAAGCAAAAATGCCATGTGAAAATTAAACGCGACAATCAATATATGTTGCTATGAAGATCCTTCACTACAATGGTTTTTTAAAAAATAAATAAATAAGGCACTTCCCTGAAACCCTACTTGTTTCGATATCAGCACTAGCACGACACGGGTCTTGTTTGGCGAAAACGAGAGAATATGATGAGCTTCACACCATGCTTAATTAAGTTTTTTGAGAGGAAAGTGATGAAATGAAATGACATAGGCTTGGATTGGATTGGTCTCCCCAAATAAAGATCAGATATGATGGGATGGATATCCATACTGCAACGGAAATAATTCTGGTTCTTAAGGGAAAAGACATCAATGTAAAGAAAGTTCCTTCTTGCTTAGATCAATAGCGCTCGAATTAGGCAGACTACTTCTCAATGTTTCAGATGTTTAATAGTATGTACGTTGAAACAGTTTTAATGTTTTTATTACTTTCCAGAGTACACTAGGGAATGACGACATTTGAGATAATATGATACGTGCAATTTGAAACTCAATACATATATACACACACACACACACACACACACACACATAGAAACAACAAAGACTGCAAGAGAGATGATCTGATCTTTGTTTGGTATTCCATGGATCCTTTTGGTCATTTCTATTATTTTACTTTTTCTTTTTTTTTAGTTTTGCTGTAAGGGTATTTTTGTCATTTCATTCTTCAAATTGATACTAGAATGGGCTTATTTGTACTTAGATATATATGTAAGAAAATGTCTGCAATATTATTCAGATGCAGTATTACATCCATGTCCCTATTCAAGAACCACGATCATCTTCTCTTTACCATTCAGCTTAAACCACCACTCACACTCTCCCCAACTCGCATCGTGATCGCCAATCCATTATAGGGTTAGGGTTTCAAGAAAGGCACAAATGGGAGATTAGACTTCAAAGAAGGGGTCATTGGTAGAAGGGGTCACGTATCGAATTAGGGATCAATCCTAATTTGATCGGTTCCTAATGAATTAGATAAATTTTAATCTGTCGCGGATCCGTTATCCCATGAATCGAATTAAATCCATGGATTGGATTTAATCTAAATTATCCATTATTATTATTATTATAATCAATATTATTTATTTGTCTTTTAACCATAACATAAATAAAATTTTAATTTATTTATATTAATTCATACATTTAAATAATTATTAATTAGTATATCTTTAGAATCTATTAAATTATCATTAACTAATTAAATTAACTAATATATTATTTAAAAAATATATATATATATAGATATATATTTCACGGATCAGATCGGACTCACGGATCGGATCAGATTTTTAACAGCTCAATCCGTAATCCGATCCGTGAGTTACGTATTTGATTTTTTTTTTAATCTGTTACCGATCCATAGGTGTAGCAATTCGATCTCAAATCGGATCGGATTCGCAAATTATTTGTCCACCCCTAGTTATTGGTCATTTGATTAAACCCAATAATAATAGTGGTGGTCAGGGGCAGAGCCAATTAAGGCTTGGGGGCACGTGCCCCCCTAACCTGGCCCGCCCAATAGAATATATATAGTTAATTTGTAATTTTTTATAGGGCAAAGTAGCCTTTTCCAAAAAACCCCTTGTCTTTTTTTATCAAAAAACCCCCCTCGACTTGTAACTTTTTTCCAATAAATCTCTCTTGTCTAATTTTTTATCAAAGAACCCTCCTCAACTATCTGAAAGGGGTAAAATAGTTGATATTTAGACCAAAATGCCCTTTTATTTAAATATTAATTCTCCCGAATTTCAAAATTTCATATATCACAAACCGTATATTTAAAAATTATAAATAATATATGCACGAGAGAAATAGGCAATCTAAAAATTAATCCAACAATCTTCTTTTATTTTCTTAAAATAAAATATTCGAGATATTTGCAAGAAAATTTTCAGAATTATTCATTTATATACAGAGCCGAATATATAAAAAATTTAACCCCAATAGAAATCGATTTCATGAGATATCATATTTTGCGTCAAAGTATTTAAGTTTTTTTTTATAGACTTACCATTTTAAAATAAAATAAAAATGAATATTCGGTTCTGTTGCAGATAACACGAGTATTTTATAAACAATAAAATAAAATAAGATTGTTGCAGTAGATTTTTAAATTGTCTATTTCTCTCTGGAAGTTTTGTTAAACAAATTTTATGTTTCTGGAATCCTTGTTTTATAAGCTTTCCGTGCATATATTATTTGCAATATTTTGATGTACGGTTTGTGACATATGAATTTTTGAAGTTCAAAAAATTAAAATTTAAATAAAAGGGCATTTTGATTCAAATATCAACTCTTTTACCCCTCTCAGATAGTTGAAGGGGGTTATTTAGTAAAAAATTAGACAAGGGGGATTTATTACAAAGGGTTACAAGTCGAGGGGGGGTTTTTGGTAAAAAATTAAACGAGGGGCTTACTGAAAAATATTGCAAGTCAAGGGATATTTTATGTACTTTGCCATTTTTTATAATATATGTGAAATATTATATATGGTGCCTCCTAAATTTTTAATTTTTAAAATTATCTAAACTTTTTCTTTCTTTTGTTTAAATTTCTTTTTTCAAAAAAAGTCAAATTTCCCTTTTTGAATCATACTTTAATTTTTTTTCCTTTCAAATATATCTTAATTTTCTTTACTTTTTTCTTCTTAAAATTCTTACTTTTTTCTTCTTAATTTTTTCCTTTTTGCGTGTTATCCCCTCTTAATTAAAATTTTGTCTCTTCCCCTAGTGATGTGGCGGTGAAGGAGCTAAACCAGAGAACCGGAGAAATTATTCATTGTTACTATTATAAGGATGATGATGATGCGCTACACATGATTATAAACACTCAACCAAAGTACCACATCGGTTTTAATGTATGTCCAATCTACTTGAGAAAATTAACCAACGATCCGGTACTAGTTTTAACTTCTGCAAAAGAAGCAAAAAGGTAGACACGAAAAAAAGTATACAAAAAATAGCTTCAAACAAACGCGGGTGACATCTGTCTTTGCTGCACACATGGTCATAATCCCACTTCATTCCACACTTGTAGCAAAAACTGGTTTCACATCTACATTCCAATTAACAAATCAAGAATCAGCAACATAGATCCCAACCATTTTTATATAAAATAAATATATATATATATATATATAAACATGCAGATCCGATCAGAATCTATTCAATCATACAAGATCGAGTTATTCTCGATAATAAATTCCTATTTGATTTGTTATTAATTGTGATTCAACAACATTATTGGTTAAAAGCGTAATTTTTGGTTAAAAAAATTTAATATAAGAAGAAATTAGCAAATAATGCAAGAAAAAAATATATAATATAGAGTAGAAAATTGGTATTTGAATGTGAAAGAGAGAAAATAGAGATAGAGAAAAAGAAAAGAAAAAAAAATAAAATTGATAAAAAACACCATTAATAATATGTGAATATTACAAATTATGACATTTATATTCCAGTAAATACATATTATGTATGATGTTAAATAATATATATAGCGTATTATACTTTAAATTATATCGATCATATTGAATAATCAAGTATTTATCATCATTCATATCTTTGTTTGACTAATAGATTATTGGATTCAGTTATCAAATTTTGATTATTAAATTCAGATCCAAGTTATCAATTCGAATCGAATTTAATTAGATAAAAAAAAATGAAACCTGATATGTTGAGAGGTGTACTAATAACGTATGTGTATATATATATATATATATATATATATATAGATATATGCATATTGAGAAGGAGAGTGGGCTAACCTGCATCTAATAAATGAACAACCTTTAGCACGTTCAACACAATGTTTGCATGCGGGACATCTCATCCACTTCTTCCTCTTCTCAACCACCCCAAACTCCAAATCACTACTACTATCTTCACATTCATAGTCTGCATGCCACGGTTGCTTGCACTGGAAGCAAAACAGCCTCTTGCAATGGGGACACTTGGATCTCCTCACAAGATCCCCTACTCCACACTCAGTCACAATTACCAAAGCCGAGCAATCCCGGTAGGGACAGTAACATGTATCCAACCCTAGAAGAGCTAAGTTGCAGAGCATGTCGCACCACTTGTCAAAAAGTGGTGCCGGGATGATGTGCCTGCAAGAGAGAGGATCCAACAGCTGACCACAGACGGGTGAATAAGGACATCTGATTTTGCTTCGATTGTATTGTTCAATGCTCACTTTGATATGCTTGGCTATGCAATCATTGCAGAATGAACAAGCACATCTAACATTGTTTTCAAACTTGTTGGTTGATGTTGCCAACATGGTTTCAAAACATATGCTGCAACGGAATGTTGATGCTTCCTCTTCATCCTTCAATTTGTGTTTCGAAAACTTGAACATCTGTACACAATTCATTCAATGGTATATATATATTCAAACAAGGATATTCAAACATAAATGTTACAAAATAAAAATTCAGAATTACTTACGAAAATCCTCATATTGGATCAACGCTTTCGGTTTTGACAAATAACGTAAGGGCTCTTTAGGGTTCGGTGGGTACCATAGACGAAGAAATATGAGTAGGCTTCAGTGCCCTAGGTCTTCTTTCTAATTATTATTTACTTGCTTAAAACGTCAATTATTAATTTCCTTTTTTTTTTTTCCTATATATATTTTTTCTATATAAATTAAGTTAAGATGTATCATATAATTGATTTTTGAAACATTATACTTTAAAGTTGTGATGTTTAATTTCAAGTTATGTTTATTTAATATTACGTAATTTAATGTTTGTTCAAGATATGTTTGTTTAGCATGTTATTATTTTTTCACTTTTTTCTACTTATTTAAAAACTGTCATTACTAAAGAAATTTTGTGTATATATATACATTATATATCTCAATCTTTGACAAATTTAAATTTTGTGTAATTACATTCCCAAAAAAAAAAACAAATTTTTTCTACTTATTTAAAAGCTGTCATTATCAAAGGAAATTTTGTATATATGCATTATATTATATTATATCTTAATCTTTATCTTTATCTTTTGACAAATTAAAATTTTGTGTAATTACATTACCAAAAATAAATAAATTTTGTGCAATCATTCTATCTACAAAACAACAGAAGTCTCAAAACATTTACTCCCCGAAATCTTTCCTCAATTAGTTGATATCAACAATTTAACCCACAAAAAAAATACAAAAAAAAATGAAAATTTCAAATCCACAAGCCATCCTCCCCTATATCTCCCTACAATAGCATCAAACTACCAACCAACAAAAAAAAAAAAAAATCAAATCAAATAATAGCATTCACAATCAATGCCGATTTCTGTTCGGTGACCCAGAAGCTTGATTCAAGTTTCAGTAACCAAATCACAAGCTCTATGCTGCAGTTCAGTTCGTCAACGAGCTTCTCAACATCGGCGAGCAGAACTAACCAAACCAGACCCAGCAACCTCCATTGTTTCCGGAATGTATGGTACATCTACTTTAAATCGGAGTTTCTTTGAAAAGGGACAATATTTTGCTTGTTTAATGAGGTTGTTGCCAGAATTTACAAAGCTTGGTCTTTGGTCGGATCAGAGAGATTTCAATTTCAAAAGTAAGTAAGTTTGGTCTTTGACCGGATCAAAGAGATTTCAATTTCAGAAGGTGAGAAGCCTAGAAGAAAATAATGAAATATCAAGAGGATATAGAATAAAATTTTGGATGAAAATCACTTTTATGTTTTGGAGAAAATTTAAATTTGTATTTTGTATAAATTTCAAATATGCATGCATATACACCTGCCAAAATATCCTTTTTACTAAAAGGGCCATGTCAACAGCTTCCAGAGTGGCTTTTAAATGAGAGTGTATTATTACCACGTGAACGTGACCATGTGTGCTCTCACTGTCAAATCTTGGGGCAATTGTTGAGTTACATAGATTGTCTGATCTTTTGTATTCCATGGGTCGTTTTTAAAGAATACATTTTGGAAGACTGTTAAGTTTTAGAGCATTGAAAAACGTGTGAAATATGGTATGTTTGCTGGTTAAAGATAAAGTGAAGCCAATGCTTATAATATCACAAAAGAATCAATGATATCATTACACATTAGCTATAATAGACATAAAGTTACTACTCCTTACCATTAAAGTTGGGAAGTATTGTTATTGTTTTTGTTTTTATTTGTTGTTTATTGTTAAAGTTGGGAAGTATTGTTATTGTTTTTGTTTTTATTTGTTGTTTATTGTTAACGTTCATGGACCATTTTTATTAACATAATTATTTTACACTTCAACTGTCATGAGTCTATGGTCCAAATATGTAATGTACCTCCATCTTTCAATTGATGTCATGGTTGGAATTCTTCTCATTTATTTTTTCCCTTTTGAAGATCAATCACTCAAAACTTTCAGAATGATGAATTTGTCTCAAAATGTAATTTTCTATATTAATCACTATTTTCACCAATTACATGGGGAATTCAATGCCAGATCTATCAAAAACAAGTATGGAAAGATGGAAACAAATACAACACTATTGACTATTAAACTGTACCAAATTTTAGGGTAAGAGAACAAAAAGCCAAAAGGCAAAACAAAACGCTAGTAGACTGCTAAAAGACATCTTGTGAAACCATTCATAGCCCTACACTGTGCAAACTTTGAAACGCTCATCCAGGACATGCACATTAACAAAGGAATCAAGTCATCTTCAATTATCAACCTGCCGCAGTATCCATAGCTCTTCTTCATGTCAGAAATAGAGGAAGCATTCGTCAAAAGTTGTCTTCATATGGATCATCATCTCTAAACATGTATCGACTGAAGTGCTGGACCTTAAATTTCCACTCCCCTTCTGCTGGATTGTAAGAAACGAACTCAGCACCTTGGTCTTTTGCTGCCTTGATCAGCATCCCTCTGTATCTATCAACCTTCGGCCCATCTGTGTTCTGTTTCCCGGTTTTTTTGTCAGTGCATGTGATGTTCAGAAGAGTTACCACTGCAGGCTTGTTGAGACCTTGTCCAACAGGGGGTTTCTTGCTCTCATCCATATACACTATCACCTCACGGTTATTAAACTGGACAAGGGAATTGAGATCAAGCTGCCGCACATCTGTCTCCCCAAGAAACTTGACACTGCCATAGCCATGCCGTCCAACCACAAAGTCATTCACACGAGAGCAGAACCCTGGCTCGGCCCTTTCCTTCAGTGCCAACTCCTGGATTTGAGGTTCTGTATAGTATTCATGACGTGGGAGATTTGGCATCAGTGCCTTGACATCGACCACATGTTCGCACGTCATTGCAGCCTCACCAGCTCTGTGCCCAGTGACTGTAGTATGTGAGGCACCCTTTTGGATGGAATCATTATCATGTACCCAGTCATGTGTAACGTTAGGTTTGACACAACTAACACTCTCCTTTTCCGTGCTATTTTCACCTGAATTTTCTGCAAAATTGCCATAAAGAATAAGACTACAAGCATAAACACTAATGAATGGAACGTATTAAATTGAATTATGAGAACATTGCTTAGACTTTACAGACTATCAATAACCATCACCCTGTTCTCTTTGCTTCTTCTATGAATCACAATAGGTGATTACTTCTTGTTCCATTTTGTTTGTGCTACTAATTAGAAATTCCCAAGACCAAACAGCAAAAAAGGGTGATTAATTTATTTATTAATATTTTTTTTTCAACTAAGTCCTACACTCTCCAGGGAAACCACATAGAAACAGCAGAGTCTGCACAGACAAGGAATAACAGAAGGGAGAAAGATCTTGGCATTTCACTATTTGTAGATTACTTAATCAAAATCTTTTTACATTTCTAAATACTTGACTATCGGCTAATAGAAATTCAAAATTCTCTACTATAATAATTGACAAGAATAATTGTTGAGGCATTCGCCCAGAACATATATTACATAATAAGAGCTATACTTCTATCATATATTTCACATGTAAAATATTTTACATGTGACATTAAACATACATTGGGATAATATATGTAAGAGGGGAAGGAAAATAAGATTTCTCAATTTCACAATGCATAAGTTGAGCCACAAAAAGAATCAAAAATAACTTCATCAATCTATGATCTCCATACCTTATTCATAATGCTTCTACTAGTCTGAACAATAAATTAATAATTCTTTTTGCTGATTGAAAGTTTGCTAATATATAAAAAAAAAAATTATGACAAAGTGACAAAGGATTTCAGATGCATCTCAATCATTTGCTGCTCATTACAAATTAAATTTAAAAATATATTTATAGCTACAAAATACATTTGCTCAGGCGCACGATTATAAACTGGTGAGACTGGTGATTGACAAATTTGAATAACTTCTTTTATTTTGCAAAAATAAATTAAAAAAAATTGTATTACTTTGACATAACACAATCCAATGTGGAACAAAAAGTAAGGGAAATATTTTCTTAAGAAACAAAATTAAGAGATCACCACACTTAGTACCAAATGGAAGCACTTACGATTCTCATAGGCATTACTAGATGCATGCACCAGTGGAGATGGTTTTTCTGGACTAGCTTTTGGAGGCCATTTTTCCGTGGGACTAATAACGAAAGCTCTTGGATTCTCTCTTGGAATGAATATAGGCATGCTAGCTATTCCTTCATCAGCACTATAAAAAGGAATCTGCATAAAGATTTAGGAAACAGATGAATAAATGTACAACATTTATATATATGGTCTTCTTTCTTCTTTTTTTTCCTAGTTGCTTTCTTCCTTCTTTCTTCTTCTTTTTATTTTTTTTAATTTTTTATTGTGGTTGGGAGAGAGAAAAATAGTATTATATATATCCATATTAATCCCAAATAATTCTCACCTTTGGTCCATCTCTTTTAGGATGATATTTCTGAACCACCGTAATCTGTCTACGAGACAAGTGTTTAGAAGTCAGAAGAGATGAAATCCTGGTGGGAGCAGACCTGTCCTTCACCTGATTGCAAATAAATGTTATGATCATTGATACACTAAACACTAAGTACTTCTTTTTGACACACTGCTAATAAATAATTACTAGAAAACCAGTATGACACTTCTAAACGTTTAGCACAAGCCGCTAGACAAGAGACACGTATACAATTTGTTTGGATGCATACAAATATGTCCAGCTTTCTTCACTTGTAAAATTTTCAGAAGCATACACATTTTTCATATTTTATCCGTAAGATGTAATTGAAGTTCATTATAAAACACTAAGTGTTACAACATTTAAGCGGATATGATCTTCTTCACGCAGCCATTTTGTTCCATAACATACACAATACCTCATATCCTTGTCAATATGTGTGAGCGCGCGCAAGCGCCTGTGAATTCCATAAAAGACACGTGTATATGTCAATTCTCAAAATCAGCCATACCAACAGCCAATTGTCCTCTGTAAATGTCACACTCATGTTTGTGTCCTCAACTCATACTTAACAGATTAACAGCACATTCTTACAGAAGCATCGCATTGCATCCAGAAACAGACAACTTCAGACATGTAAGACTTACAGGCATGCTAGAAATTCCATATTGAATTGAGGGTGTGGATCCAGGGATAGTTGACATCGGAAGCACTGCATGTGGATTTCCAAAAGGACTAGTAACAGCTGGCTGCCCTATTACAGGGCCTTGAGCGGGAGACCTGAAAAACATGTAATGACACAAGAAACCAAATGAATAAACCATGAATAAATGAAATGAAAGAAGATAATTCAGCCAAGACAGGAGTTCCAAGTTGTTCTTTATGTTTCAAATTATGACCGAGAATACCGATTAGCCGGAATGACAAAAGCAAGAAACCTTTGCTTTTCTTGGTTCAATATCTGGATATTAATCAACTGAAAGGCCCTAAATGGGTAGTTTGTATCTCTATAGAAATGGATCGATTTCATTAACTTTACACAGAATTAAATGTGAGCTAATCCTTATTTTTTTATAGAACATTAATTCTATTTGCTTTTTTCACCAAATTTATTGGGCTAGGTTGATATTTCAGTTTTTTCTTCAGTTATAATGATGTTCAATATAGACATCCAACTTGATCATTCAATTATTACGTATAACAATACAGAATAATTCATCTTTCATCGACAGGTCACCAGTTGAGAATATGTCTACACATCAAAACCTGTAGAACTAAAGTCTTAAACGAAGAAAGACATTATGGTGCCTATGAATCAAACAACGAATCATGCATGCAAAACAGGTCCTCCCAGGGTAAAATGCACCTCTTTAGAACTATAGCAACCTAGCCCAAGACTTTTTTAGGTTAATAAAATAAATAAAACATTGTCCAGAATACAAAGTGCAAATCAGTAATAAAACATACCGTTGAGAAGGATCTACCGTCTGAGTAGTTTGCGATGGCTGCAGAGTGGAGGAAGGTTGCACATAGAAAATATAATCAAAAAAATATCCAGTTCCTATACATGACTACGATGTAACAATCCAAAATCAAACTGGAAGGAATGTTAAATGAAAAAAGCATAAAGAAAAAAAAAAAAAAGCTTGAAAGTAGATGAGTATTACTTATTTCCTTTTGATAAGAATTGACATGCTATTATTAAATAAACAAATATCTCATAAAAGGAGGTCAACTACATTCAACAAACATAGTGAAGTTGCCACTGTAGAAGAATCATAATTTTTAAACCTTGAATATCATGGGGTTACTTACGGTAGATTGACCAGAATCTTTGTACTAATCAAAAAGGGAAAAAGAGAACTTACTAATGTTTGAATAGAAGCAAAAGGATTGGTTACGCAAAGCGGGGAATTGCCAGGTCCAAACGAAGAAGAGCCCTGCCCACATGAAGAATTTGTCTGCTCAAGTGAGGAAGTAGCATGAAATACTTGGGATGACTGACTGCTAAAGGGACTTAAGCCAGAGCTAGGTCCTGAAGCTGCTCCTGGAGCTGTAGTAGAACTGTAGATGGAGGGCGACAACGAAAAAGAGCCAGAAGTTGTTGCTTGGAGGAGAAATGGATTGGAAGTGGTTGAGGAAGAAGTAGAACTGAAGATGGAGGGTGACGATATAAAAGAGCTAGAAGTTGTTGCTTGGGGGAGAAATGTATTGGAAGTGGTTGAGGAAGAAGTAGAATTGAAGATGGAGGGCGATGACACAAAAAAGTTAGAAGTTGTTGCTTGGGGGAGAAATGGATTGGAAGTTGTTGAGGAAGAAGTAGAACTGAAGATGGAGGGCGATGACACAAAAAAGTTAGAAGTTGTTGCTTGGGGGAGAAATGGATTGGAAGTGGTTGAGGAAGAAGCAGAACTGAAGACGGAGGGAGATGACACAAAAAAGTTAGAAGTTGTTGCTTGGGGGAGAAATGGATTGGAAGTGGTTGAGGAAGAAGTAGAACTGAAGATGGAGGGCGATGACACAAAAAAGTTAGAAGTTGTTGCTTTGGGGAGAAATAGATTGGAAGTGGTCGAGGAAGAAGTAGAATTGAAAATGGAGGGCGATGACACAAAAGAGCTAGAAGTTGTTGCATTGGGGAGAAATGAATTGGAAGTGGTTGAGGAAGAAGTAGAACTGAAGACGGAGGGCGATGACACAAAAAAGTTAGAAGTTGTTGCTTGGGGGAGAAATGGATTGGAAGTGGTTGAGGAAGAAGTAGAACTGAAGACGGAGGGCGATGACACAAAAAAGTTAGAAGTTGTTGCTTGGGGGAGAAATGGATTGGAATAAGTTGAGGAAGAAGTAGAATTGAAGATGGAGGGTGATGACACAAAAGAGCTAGGAGTTGTTGCTTGGGGGAAAAATGAATTGGAGTTGACTGTGGGAGTCCAAGGATTCACAGATGGATGGCCAGGTGTTGTCGAAGGAGTAAATTGACCCACAGTACCGCGCCCATTGCTTGATTGACCCACAGTACCGCGCCCACCTGAATGAGTTATCAAATAAAGAAAAATGTCATTCGTACATGCCATTTTTGAAGTCTGTAATAAAATCAAATAAAAGAGAAATGCAGCCACACACATGCACTAAGTGGTAAAGCATACCTTTATCTCCTAACTGATAATCCTCCCACCTCAACCCTTCATGGCTTTTGTCTTTGTGAACTGACATGGCGGAGATCGACTGCAGTTTTCCTCCAGTTCGTCTGTTACTCTCACCATCTACCTCAGCAGTTGGAGTATACTTCTTTACCCTACTTCCTCCAAATTGACCACCAAAAGCTGACTGACTAATGCCTGCTCTTTCAGATGCTTGCAGGGTTGTCTGGACTCCTGCAAAATAGATACCAATTCGGATGACTTGATACAATGCCCTCATACCTGTCAAAAGATATTTAACATTGCATATTTGTGCAAGCAGAAAAAAGAAATATGGAAATTACTTACCAAAAGGGAAAGTCTGAGTCACAAAAGGAGATGGTTGGCTAAAGTTTGGAATGGTAGCCGGGGTGCTTGTAACACCAAAGGCTGCATTACTTGTTGCATTAAGGGTCGGGCCAGCAGTAGCAAATGCAGGTTGACTTGATGTACCAAAGTCAAATACAGTGCTTCCAAAATTTGATTGGGTCTGTTGGGATGCACTCCCAAATACAATAGGTTGATTAGGATACGAACCAAATCCTCCAAATGTAGGCCCGGACATAGAAAATCCTGTGAAGTGGCACAAGAGAGAGTTTCCAGCTATAAGACAATCAAGAAAAGATGGGCAGAAGAAATATATATATATATATATATATATATATATATTACCTAAAATTCTAATAATATGGTACAAGATGATCAGAAAAACTCAACACCATTATCTCAATTGCCAAGAAACATATAAAAAAGCAATGCGAAAGAGGCAAATTATGTGCCAAAGTATGTTAGTATCCATATAAACAGAGATCTGAAAAGGAAAAGAATATCTAACTTTTTCTAAACTTTAATCCATCAAGAATATTTGAGTTATGGATGGTGAATGTTCCTTGACCATTTTGTAATGTAAATAACCATAGCTTGCAATTTGAAATATATGAGAATAAACGCATTTAAATCAATCTCCCACACTTTCAAGCTTGATGGAATCTGTAGTATAAAAAAGGTATCTAAGATAATTCTCCTACAAGTGAAAATACGATCAAACTTATACTGTAGATATGTTTCCCTATGTTCCTCCCTACACAAGAAACTTTTAAAAAATATCGCACTGATAAAAAATTGTCTGAAACACTTCCCAATAAATGAATGGTAATGATTGGTAATGTGAGCTCTTCTAAGTTCATATGTACCCCTTCCCAAGTGTAAATGGAACTTAAATGGAACTTGTAACCATTAAATAAATCTTGAATTTCTTTCCCCTCTCTACACTAATAAGATTCCAGAAGGGTGACTTGATAAAACCTGCGGTCTGAGACTACATATATGCTCCAAAACTTCATTCCTGAACCTTTTCAAGGACACAGGACATTTCACTAGGTCCATAAAGAAGTCAAATACACACACACACACACACACATATATTCGAAGAGAATCTAGTGTTGTCAAATATAAATATAAAAGAATTATTGTTCCAATTTAAGTTAGGGAAATGGTATTAGCATTCCACTTTTGTATTCTTGGCCTCCAGCCCCTTTTTCTTTTACACTTCACTTTGAGGGGTAATCGTGTAATTTTCTTAATTAAAAGAACCATTTGGAGTGTAATAGTGCAGAAGTGGAGTGCCAATTATGTTATTGGAGCTCCGAACAAGTAAAACTTCACCTTCTCTGTTAAAAAAGGAAAATACAAAACAAAATAGAGTCATATCACATATGTTGATCAAATGTAACCATACTTTGGTTATGAAATCACATCATAAAGGAGACCCATGTACAAGCAAGACACCATCTGGATTGGTGAGAAAAAGCTAAAAATATGGAAATCAACAAATGATTGAGAAAAGAAACTAACATACAAAACAATTCAAAATAAATATGCATCATAAAAATATATTAATGTGCTAACTAGAAAAGGGCAATGAAGAGCTACCAGAAGCAGGGTTTGAAGAAGCACTAAAAGCAGGCGTCGAACTTCCAAATGTAAATGCAGGAGACGATGTGGCATTGAATGATGATGCAGAAGCTGAAGAAGAAGTTGCACCAAACAAGCCAGTTGAGGTTCCACCAAATATTGATCCTCCTGTATTGCCAAAGTTTGTATTACCAAAGTTAGGATTTCCGGTTTGCCCGAAAGAAGTTGCACCAATCAAGCCAGTTGAGGTTCCACCAAATATTGATCCTGCATTGCCAAAGTTAGGATTCCCGGTTTGCCCGAACACTGATGGCCCCCCAAAGGGGCTACTAGCTGGCTGTCCAAAAGCTGTTATACAAGAACGAAATAATCAAATAAAATTATTAGAATGACCCTCATATATCTGATGGCATATGAACAAAAGGACAAAAAAAAAAAAAAAAAAAAAAAAGGTCTATCATGACATGATTGAAAAGGAAAATCGCCAATGATTGCATCAAAACAGTACAATTATCATGACAACTTTGAAAATATAGTGGCCTTAGCATCAACAAATACCCATTCGATTCCTTAGTTGGTTTCTTCAATTTACAATTTGACTAAAAGATAAATCAAAGAACATGAGAACTTACAATTGAATGTGACAAGCTTAAAACAGTTGGTCTGAACCCAAAGACCAATCCATCATAACCACACACACTCAGTATGAGAACATGTTATTGCAAATTTCAAGAAAATATCAAAAGAACATAATTAATCAGAGTATAATTACACTCGAATAGTGTCCTTAGCATACGCAAATACCCATTCGATTCCCTAGTTTGGTTTCTTCAATGTGCAATTTGACGGAAATATACATACATACATACATACATACATATATATATATATCAAAGAACGTGAGTACTTTGAGTTGAATGTGATAAAAGATTAAATCGGTTGGACTAACCCAAAGACCGAGTCATCATAACCACACACATAATCAAATATGAAAACAATTTATTGCAATTTTCAAGAAAATATCAAACAACATAATGTTCCAGAGTATAAACAAAATCTGAATAAACCGAATGATACAGAGCATTACAGAATAATAATTACGAGAAAAATTACACTATATCCCGAACAAATAAAACAATAAAACTAATGCAAGCGTATATATATTCATAAGAGATTTGATTAAAGAAAATTAATTAGACATTAACAATATTTGGCATATCTAAGCCGAGAGAGTACATGAGAGTTCAAAATGAATCTAAACTTCCTCAAGAAAAAAATAGTAATAATAATAATCAAATAAATACATATTAACACATACCATTAGTGGAATTGAACATCTTCAATCGCGAGCAGAGTCGACAAGATCACAAGAATCGCATAAAGTCAGCATATACCAGGGTGCATGTGTTTTAGAGAGAGAAAGAGAGAGAGAGAAAGAAAGATATATATAGAGAGAGAAGGGTACGGTTTCAGACGAGTTGCTTACTATTGACGCTAATAGTAGCGTTGTAGTGAGAGGGCGACCGTGTACGGTTTTAGAAGCTTACACTCAACGCTACCAAGGTCGGTTTATTTGTTTGGGGAATTTTTTAAACTTATGCCCTCTTGTTTCAATTTATTACCAGATACCCCTTCTAACTTTTATGTTTTTCATTTGATCTTGCATTGTTCTGAATTTATTGGATAAATTACATTCACCACCACTAATGTGTAGTTTAATTAAATAGTTCTCCCTTATTAATTCAAACTTTATAGCATCGCATGCAATTAGTAATTTGTGACATTTTGTGACATGATACTTGTTAGTTATTACTGTATGTTAAACAAATTTAATTGTATTTTTTTAAACTTTGACCCCACTTTTAAACTAAAATAACATTAACTATCATTGTCAAGAGGATTAGGATTTGAAATGGAGTGGGTTTGATTCGAGACCTGATTTAATGTGAAGTCCATTTTAACTAATTTGAGTTTGGATTTTTTTTTTTTAATCTAAATTTAAAATGGGTTAAATATGGATAATCGTTGACAAATTCATCAAGAATTTGGGACTAAATACGAAAGTGAGTAACATTTAAATAGGTCAACTAATATTTAATCTTTTTGAATTTTATTAAAATTATATGGGAGGCTTATGAATCATTTTTATATTTACTCTATTTGAATCAGGGCGGTAATCTAATGATACTTTCTTATCTTGTGGTCCAAGACTATATTGACCAATAACAAATTGTCACGCAAGTAAAAAATAGAATAAAAGCTAACACATTTGCTTGTGTTGTAGTTTGTTATTAATTAGAATCATATTGTCCAAGCTATGTAAAAATTTATGGCCTCCAAGTCCCTTTCGCGCATGGTGGGTGACTGAGTGCTGAGTGAGTCATTTTAAAGGCATATTTAAAAACTTTTTTTACTTTAAAAAAAAAAAAAAAAATTTGAATTTATTTGTCAACTGCTCCTTGTAAAAATAGAATGAACAAAATAAATTTGCTATTTGTATATCAAAATAGGAAGAAGAAAAAAAATGTTATAACAAAGACAAGTGTCATGAGTTAGTTGAATGCCTGCACGCCACATAACACAAAAGCTCCTGTATGTACCGTCATTCACAAACAATCCACATATATTATTTAAATTGGATATTTTTACACGATATGAGAGATGAATTCAATATGTCTTACCACTAAAAAACAAAAATGGTTGAACGGTATAAATACAGAGTTGAATTCTATTCAAGTAAGCATCCATTTTTTCTTATAAATTTAAACCATTCAGAAATAAGTTCAAATAGGGAAAAAAATATGGGTGTGTGAGTTTTTTGTCAACGTAAATATAAATAAATAAATAATAAGATCAATACACCAAATCAATTGGAGAAAGGATTGAAAAAAAGAAAAAAAAAAAAGGTTCCTCAGAGATTTGAAGTCCACCATAGAATTATTTGAATAGGATGTTAATACAAACCAAATATTGCACTAGGAGAGAGAGAGAGCACCAAGAAACATATGAAAAATCAAGAAAATTCCCATACAGCAAACTGCTGCTTCAGCAGTAATATTGGACCATCTTCTAAGCCATACTTTATAAAACAAAACTGCTAATTTATTTTGAAAACATACAACAAAAATTCATTTTCTTAATGAAAATATTCACAACTATAACAATCTAGCCCATGAGACACTCTTTAACATAGTCCAGAATACAAAAAAATGTAAACCATCTGACTAAACCTTTTTTTTTTTTTCCTAAATATCTGGCTAAACTTTTGTTTCCTCTCTGGGTTGTTTTGTTCTTCTTCTCTTGTATTGCGACACCTTTGCCTCCTTTGAATAATATCCTGCTTACAGAAAGAATACGGTTGAACAGACGTAATCTGACCACGAACTCCAGTAAAGGCTCCGCAGCCACTTAAACCTTACAAAATGTCACAAAAAATTGAATGTCAGCTGCATGGAATAAGAGCCAAAGTATTCTATCTACCAAAAGAACAGACTAGGAATACAATGATCTAAAACCGACCTGCTGATGACTGGCCATTGTTACACTAGGAAACGCGCTTGCTGTCTGAGTAGTACAAAAGGAAGGCTGCATGTACAAAATATAAAGAAAAAAATGTTGTCAATCTCCATACGTTACATCAAACTTGAAAAATCAATAAATTGAAAAGGTAATAAAAAAGAAAAGAGAATATTTGAAAAGGGGATGATGTTATTCCTTTTTTCCTTTTTCCTTTTGATAAGAATAGGGAAACAATTATAAAATAAGCAGAGTAACTAATGGAGGTCAATCGCATTCAACAACCATATAAAAAAAGCTTGACTATTATCGCTCAAGGGGAAAGAAGAAAACTTACAGTTGTTCGAATGAAACCAGTAGGATTGCTCGTAGAAAGTAAGAATGGCGTGGTTGATGAAAAGCTACATCCTAATCCAGATCCAGTTGATAGTCCAACAGATTGAGTGGATGAAGGAGCAGTGCCCGGTCCAAACCAAGAAGAGTTCTGTCCACATGGAGCATTTGTTTGCCCAAGTGAGGAAGCAGCTTGAAATACCAGGTATGAATGTCCACATGGAGAACTGAAGATGGAGGGTGACAACACAAATGTAGGTGAGGTGGATGTACCAAAAAGGTATGGGAAGGAGGTTGCAAAATAAGAGGCTGGCACTATTATGAATGTAGGTATAGATGGTGAAATCGTCCCAAGAGGATTTCCAGAGGGCAGTGCATTAAAGCATGATGAACTGGATACAGGAGTACAAGACACTACAGAGCCTGGAAAGCTCAAAGATGTTGAACGGGGGGCAAAAGGATTGCAAGCGACCGAGGAAGAGAAGGGATTCACAAATGGATGACAAAATGCAGCTGAAGGAACAGCAGGGTTTGACTGTGTAGTGGAAGCATTGAAGTCCATCCCATCTGCAGATTGAACTGCAGGGCTTTGCACACCTGAATTTGGCATCAACGGAAAATGTCAAAAAGGCCCAGAATCAAAATAATATGAAGCAAATATATTAGCATTAGAATATGTGGAACATAAGAGACTTCAATCTTATGCAAGCATATTAGCATTGGCATTTCTTGTGTGATACCGATACCCTTCAAGTCATGAAATGTCCTCCCGGGTGATGCAATGGATCTGAGCTTGTACCACTTCCTCTATAGTGGCAAATCGGTTTCTTAATTCCCTAGGACTAAGGGACTGAGACAGAGATCTCATCTCTCCCAATCTTTCAGTAATTGTGATGAGGTCCTTGAACATAGTCTAAAGAATAAAATAAAATCACAAGCACTGCTTTATTAGTGAGTTGCTCATTGTTTGCCAGAGGGGACTATTTGTCATTGTGTTAACGAATGCATTAGAAAACTTACACCGCTTGTCTGGTCGCAGGGCAAACAAAGAGAAGAGCTGCTTTTTATTATCAGGGGAAATTATGTGGGTGAACTGTTAAAGTTCTTCAGATTTAATTATAACAATTCTTACTAAAAGGTTTCTTTAACATTCAAAATTGTGCAACCAAAAACTAAAAATAAAAACGTAAAGCACTCACCAGAAGGACGAGACCGAGTCACAAAAGTAGATGGAATAGTTCTAGGTCTGTTGCTGCGAGCTGCCGAAGTTGATTGGCCAAACGGTGGAACGGGAGGAACGTTAAATCCAGCTGTGCTTGATGCACCAAAGCCAGAAGTGCTCGGTGAACCAAAAAGGCTGTACCTACCTGAATTTGTTACTAATAAAGAAAATGTTAGTACATGCCATTTCTATAATAAAGCCAGACATGAGAGAAATGAAGCCACAAATATACACCAGTAAAGCATACCTTTATCCCCAAACTGATGATCCTCCCACCTCAGTTCTTCATGACTTTTATCATGGTAGAGGGGCATGGCAGAAATTGACTGCAGTTTTTCAGCAGGTTGTATGCTACTGGAGCCATCAAAAGTTGTGGTATAAGGTGCTATCCTACTGCCTCCACATCGACGGCCAAAATCTGACTGTCCAATGCCTCTGCTTCCACATCGACGGCCAAAATCTGACTGTCCAATGCCTGTGCTTCCAAATGTTTGCGGAGTGGTTTGGAACCCTGCAAATAGATTGGGAGTAAAATAGTGCTTATTGAGCCTGAACAAACTAAAGTACTTTAGAATTAAATATGAATGCCTATTAAAAGAATCTTTAACATTCCAAATTTGTGCAATAAAAAACAAATAAATAAATATAGACAATACTCACGAAAAGGGGAAGCCTGAGTCCCAAAAGGATATGAAGTAGTTCCAATTAAGCTGTTGGTTCCAATTAAGCTGTTGTTTCCAAATGCTGAAGTTGATTGGCTAAAATTTGGAACGGAAGCAAAGCTGAATCCTGGGGTACTTGATGCACCAAAGCCAGAACTGCTTGATGTACCAATGGAAGGAGCGCTTGATGATCCAAGTCCAGATACAAAGGTATTTGGTGCTCCAATTGGAGCACCAAATGCACCTCCACCAAAAGCTATTCCTGTGCTGCCAAATGTTGATGCTGATGAGGAGCCAACTGCAGGGATTCTGGTTGCATCAAAGCCAGAACTGCTTGATGTGCCACTGCCAAGTCCAGATACAAAGGTATTTGTTCCTCCAAATGCAGAGGTGCTTGGAGCATCAAATGCAGCTCCACCAAAAGCTGGTGCTATAGACACACCAAAAGCTGTTCCTGTGCTGCCAAATGTTGATGCTGATGAAGAGCCAATTGCGGGGGTTCTTGTACCACCAAAGTCTGCAGTAATTGCTATGTCAAAGGCCAGGGTTCCAGCAGTAGCAAATGCAGGTTGACTTGATGCACCAAGGGGAGCGTGTGTACCAAATACAGTGTTCCCAGAAGTTGATTGTGTTCGTTGGAATGCACTTCCTGTAATAGGTTGATTAGGAACCGAAACAGATATCCTGAGTGTAGGCATCTGCCCAAGTATAGAAGATCCTGTGAAAGTTACACAAGAAGGAAAGTATTCAGCTAGAAGATTATCAAAAAAGGTTAAGGAAATAAAGTATTAGCACAAATAAAACGGTATTGTAGAAATTAAAAATGGATTCCACACCTAAGTTTAAGTCAACATGTCATAAGACGATCACAAAAGATCAATACAATTATATCTTCATTTTTTTTTTTTCCCTGAAATTGTCAATACCATAATCTTGATTGTCAAGGACCATATAAAAAAGCAGTGCCAAAGAGGAAACTTAAAGTCCAACGCATGTTTGCATCTATAACAACAGAGATGTGAGAGAGAAAATAATATCTATTTTTTCGGTATTTATCAAACCTGTTCTTAACTTTTAAGCAATCAATAGAGTGAGTTTTTAATTACCGAATAAAAATAAATAAATAGAGTTATGGATGTTGAATAACCATAACCTGTAATATAAATAACTGTGATATTGTGGACAGAATTTGGTTTCAGCTTTTTGATCCGCCAACCCGTTGATTCAGCTTTGTGTGGGCCCAAAGGTCTGGGGGTTCGGGGGAAGCGCCCCCATTGAAAATATTTTGACCCATTTTTTGCTTGCAGGTCATGAACCATGTTTAATACTCTCTTGTAGCCCGCTATATAAGGACATTTATGTGAGATATAAATTTGTAATTGACAAATTTCGTTGTCAAAACGAGTCCGATCGAATTGTAAATTTTCAGTTCGATTTGTCAAGAATCAGGATCGGAAGTGGAATTGAAGAAGTGATCGTGTTCATGCTTCAATACACTCCGGGATGATGAGAAAAATGCTTTAGAAAGGTAAGAGAGTGTGTGAGTACACTTGGGAGGTTTAGAATTAAACTTTTGGGAAGACTTTACAGCCCAACTTGAACTGGTTCAAGTCTCTTGAACAGGTTCAACTTTTGAGGCTTTTTAGTGTTTTTCAAGACTAGCCAACTTGAACCGGTTCAAGTGTCAAAGTTGTTTTCCTCGAAAACTCACTGGCCAACTTGAACAAGCACCCTGAATTGGTTCAAGGGACAGTTTTGGTAACTCTGTTTCCTACTCTGCTTTGACTTCCTATTATGTATAGATTTTTACAATAATGATCATGCACGAAATTGACTTGTTTTCCAAGTTAAATTAGGTTTTCAAAAGTCTATAATAACATGTTTTCTCACTTAGGTTTTTACGACTTTTTGCATACAAAATTCTATTTTAATTGAGAGCCATCTTTGTGAGATTTTTCAGTATTTTTTCATTGAGAGCATACACACTATACACATGAGTGATTTAAGGTGTTGTTCTTATTCTGATCAAAGTACGAGTTTGAAGATATCATCAATATCAATTAGAGAAAGCATAATTCATTCTTTCTGCAACAAATTCAGATTTGAAGAAAAAAGGTGTTTAGACCACACTTTGAAGGGGTAAAGGCATTCACGGATTGTTGTTGATCTACCAGCAATCCTTCTACAAAGCTCAAGGAGTAAGTATGAAGTTGAGAGCTCTTGGACGGGGGAGTCGCAAAGCCAAGGGTGTCAGCAAGTTGGGTCTCGGTAGAGTGAAGGGGTGTGAGCCTGAGTCAAAGTTCAGTGTACTTTGCTTCAAACATAGTGGATCGTTCACGCTCGAGACAGCGCAAAAATCCTCGAGGTTTTCCAATTGGTTTTTCTCACTAAAATCCCGGTGTCACTCTAACTTTACTTGCATTTATTTTTGCTTTATGATTTGATTAATGTACTTTTATTTTGGTAAATTTAATTTAAGCAAAAATCGGATAAAAGCAAGTTGAACCTATTCACCCCCCTCTAGGTTGCTAATCCATATTATATTCCACAACCATTCCACATTGTACAACTCTCAATTTATGGTTTGGTGTGGGATATTGAGAGACACTGAAAATTGCATAAAAGAGAGCGAGAGCGAGAGATAGGATTTGGGTGCTAAAACTTGTAATCTCCAGATTTTTGCATATTGTGAAACCTTTTGCAGGATCTTTACCGTAGACGTAGGTTTGCCAAACTACGTAAATATTTGTGTTCTTTGTGCGTGGCGTGTTTATTATTATGTCGTGTTTCGTGATTTATTCCTGGTTCGCTACATTTGTTGTAACAATAACCATAGCTTGCAATTTGTCGTAACAATAACCATAGCTTGCAATTTGAAACAAATGAACATACATAGTTAAGCTTGGGAAAGTCATAAAACCTCACCTTAGCTTTCTCTTATATATGTATTCTACATTAATCCAATTCGACCATACATATTTAAACTTGGAAAAGTCATAACTTTCTCTAATATATGTATTCTACATTAATCCAATTCAACTATACATATTTAAACTTGGAAAAGTCATAACTTTCTCTTATATATGTATTCTACATTAATCCAATTCGACTATGCATATTTAAACTTGGAAAAGTCATAGACATGAGATTCGAAAGAGATTTGAACCAACAAGTCATTCATTGTTCGTATTTCACGCGCGGCAACGGTTTTAGAGAGAGAAGAAAAGCTCAGAGCCTCTTCTGGTCATGAATTATAAACAACATAACAGAAAATGATTGGAGAGAGACAGAGAGAATTAAAAGTTAGACTGATCTCTGGTTATATATAATAGAAAACAGAGTACAGAGAGAAAGTTTTTGTTATAGAAAGAGACATATACCAAAGTGAAATTGAAGGAATACCCATTCTCAGAGAGGGGAAAGAAGTAGGTGTTCTGGGTATTAAAACAAGAAGGAAAAAAGAGTAATTTTATATAGACCATAACGGACATTAACGTCCATCACTTAAAGGGGAGGTAAGTGTGATTATCCAAAATTTACGAGGGGTAAGTGTAATTATCCAAAACTTATGAGAGAAGTGTAATTATCCAAAATTTAGGGGAGCTAAAGTGTAATTGTGTTAATGGATGCATTAGAGAACTTCCAATGCTTGTATAAACTTAAGGCAAACAAAGAGAAAAGTTGCTTGTTAGTATCAGGAGAATTTATGTGAGCTAACTGTTAAAGTTCTTCAGATTTAACTACAACAATTCCTACTAAAAGGTTTCTTTAACATTCCAAATTGTGCAACAAAATATATATGTGTGTGTGTGTGTGTGTGTGTGTGTGTGTGTAATTCACTTACCAGAAGGAGAAGACCGAGTCTCAAAAGTAGATGAAATAGTTCCAGGTAAACTGTTGCTGACAGCTGCTGCCGAAGTTGATTGGCTTGATGTTGGGATGGAAGGAAAGCTAAATCCGGCTGTACTTGATACACCAAAGGCAGTGCTTGGTGTACCAAAGCCTGGGATGTAATTACCTGAATTTGGTATCAATAAAGAAAATGTCATTACATGCCATTTTTATAATAAAGCCGAACATAAGAGAAATGCAGCCACAGACACACACCAGTAAAGCATACCTTTATTCCCAAACTGATAGTCCTCCCACCTCAGTTCTTCGTGGTTTTTATCTTTGTAAAGGGACATGGCAGAAATTGACTGCAGTTTTTCAGCAGGTTGTGTGCTACTCCAGCCATCGACAGTTGTGGTATAAGGTGCTATCCTACTTCCTACACATCGACGGCCAAAAACTGACTGTCCAATGCCTGTGCTTCCAAATGTTTGTGGAGTGATTTGGACTCCTGCAAAAAAATTGGGAGTAAAATAGTGCTTATTGAGTTTGAACTAACTACATTACTTCAGAATTACATATGCAATGCCTATTAAAAGAATCTTTAACATTACAAAATTGCTCAATCAAAAACAAAAACTAAATATAGATAATACTCACCAAACGGGGATGCCTGAGTCCCAAAAGGAGATGGAATAGTTCCAATTAAGCTGTTGCTTCCAAAAGCTGAAGTTGATTGGCTAAAATAAGGAATGGAAGCAAAGTTAAATCCTGGGGTACTTGATGCACCAAAGGCAGAACTGCTTGATGTACAAACGGAAGGAGTGCTTGATGCTCCAAATGCAGGGATGCTTGATGCTCCAATTGCAGGGATGCTTGGAGCACCAAATGCATCTCCAGATTTAAAAGCTGGTGCATTGGACACACCAAAAGCTGTTCCTGTGCTGCCAAATGTTGATGTTGATGAGGAGCCAGCTGCCAGGGTTCTTGTAGCACCAAAGGCTGCAGAATTTGTTGCACCAATGGCCGGGGTTCCAGCAGCAGCAAATGCAGGTTGACTTGATGCACCAATTGGAGTACACGCACCAAATACAGTGTTCCCAGAAGTTGATTGTGTTTGTTGATTAGGATCTGAAACAGAAAACCCGAATGTAGGCATCTGCCCGAGCATAGAAGATCCTGTGAAAGTTATACAAGAAAGAAAGTGATCAGCTATAACATTATCAGGAAAGTTGTCAAGAAAAGAAAGTATTAGCACAAATAAAACAGTATAGTAGAAATTAAAAACGAATTCCAAGTTTAAGTCGATATGCCATAAGACGATCGCAAAAGGTCAATACCATTATCTTGATTCTGAAGGAACATATAAAGGAGCAGTGACAAAGAGGAAACTTAAATGCCAAAGCATGTTTGCATCTATATGAAAAGAGATACAAGAAGGAAAAAAATATTTAATTCCTGGGTATGCATCAAACTTGTTCTTAACTTTTAAGCAATCGATAAAATGAGTTATAAATAATGGAAAAAATAAAATAAAGTGATTATTCATTGACCATAACCTGTAACATAAATAACCATAGCTTGCAATTTGAAACAAATGAACATACATGCAGTTCAATTATTCTCCCACCCTTTCAAGTGTAGTGGAATTTGTAGTTAATGAACTTACCCAAAATATCAATTTTATAGGTCTGTTTTGCTACGCTTGTCCCTACATAGAAAATTTTCACAAAGTCTAGCACAAACAGAAAATTGACAGAAACACTTTCCCATTCAATTGGTCTTTCTTTCTCCTTAGAACGAGCTTTGCACCGAAACCGTACATCAATCAAAACTGCAGTTCAGTATTTTTTTTCCCCTTTCTACATGCCAGAAGGGTGACTTGATAGAATCTGAGAAGGTTTGAGCCCTACATCTATGCTCCAAAACTGTTATTCCTGATCCTTTTCAAGGATATAGGCATGAACAGAATTACGTGGGGCGGGTGGAGACATCTATCCCTACTGAATTTTTTTTTTATTTATATTAGACACCCAAAATTTTAGTAATATACCCCACTGAATATTTGGTAAAGTACCCCTGTTATGGTAGTTTGAAAAGCTTTTATCTTATTATTATTCAAGCCTCCCCACCCCCCAAACAAATAATTTTCTGGCTTCATCCTTGGATATAGGACATGTCACAACAAAATATGTTTTTTCTAAAGAATCTAGTGTTGTAAAACAAAACATTAAAAAGGTATTGTACCAATTTATGTTTGGGAAAATATACTAGCATTTGGCTTCATCAATTGATGGGTAATTGTGAGATTTATTTTATTAAAAAGATTATGTGTGGAGTGTAATAGTACAAAAGTGGAGTGTCTGTATCACGTCCCTTTGTGTTGTTGGAGCCCCTGCCAAGTAAAACTTGACCTACTCTATTGAAAGAGAAATATACAATAAAAATATACTCATATCACATAAACAAATCAAATGCAACCATACTTTCTAAAATACAGAGCTGTGCAACCAAGAAATGCAGGACCATGCATGAGCAAGACACCAAATGGATTGGTCGTGCTGTAGTTATTTTCTCTAAAAAACTTAAACTATGGAAATCTCAAATGATTGGAGAAAGCAACTAATATAAAAAACAAATCAAAATAAATATATCATATATTAATGTGCTAAACAGCAAAGGATGATGAAGAGCAACCAAAGGCAGAGTTTGAAGGAGTAAGAGACGATGTGGCACCAATTGATGATGCAGATGCTAAAGAACAAGTGGTTCCAAGCAAACCGGTTGAAGTTCCACCAATTATTGATCCCTCTGTTGATGAATAAATAGGAAAAACTGATGCGGAACCAAATTGGCTACTTTCTGACTGCTTGAGAGCTGTTATACAAAAACAAAGAGAATGGGAAAATATATATATATTAGAATATCCCTCATGTATCTGATGCTATATAACCAAATGGAAAGTGAAAAATAGTTTCATAGTAAGTCTATCATGATATGCTTTATAATGAAAAATCATCAATTTTTGCATCAAAATTGTGTACCACAAGCATTACATCTTTAAGCTGTTGAAACCTTATAAGTGTCACCAAAAAGCCCAAAATCAGAATTATTATAATATGAAGCAAAGATGTTAGCTCTAAATATTTGGAACATACGAAACTTCAATTTTGGAAAAATATTATAACATTAGAATCCACAAATTCAGTTCAATTCAATTTAAGTATAGCATTAGAATTCATGAACGTCATTCATTTCCTTAGTATGTTTATTCAAGGTATGATTTGATTCAAAAGTTTGAAAAAGCACAAACTTTCAGTCGAATGTAATAAGGACTAAAACAGTTGCTATGAACCCAAAGGCCATTCCGTCATCCACACATAATCATTGATTAAAATTTCCAAAGAAAATATCAAAAACTTAATTTTCTCGAGTATGGTTGTACCTCAAAAACCCGAATGATGGGGAGCTTTTCAAAATATTATTAACAACAAGAACAGTGGTCATCTCTACCAAAGTAAAAATTAAATAAATAAATAAATTTTATCAGGAAAATACAAGAACAGTGGCATTAAATATCCAAAACAAATAAAACAAAAAAACCAATATATTTATAAGACTTATAAATAAAAACCAATATATTTGTTAAGACAAACGTTGGGAAGCCAAGAACACAATCAATAAACAAGAAACATGACACAATAAAAACATGCCCCAAATTAATAAGACACGCAGATTTACATGGTTCGGCAAAAAACCGATCAAAATCAGGAGATTACAAGTTTCACCTCCCAAACCCTCTCTCACTCTCTTAAACGGCTACAACAGGAGTCCACGATTCACAAGAAAAACTGGGTAAAAATTCCGCTGCAGCCCAGGCCGAAACAAAATTCGGGAACTTCACAATATTTATAAGAAAATTGAGAAAAAGAAGTTGAAATCACGTAAGGGTCATAAAGGGAGACATAGTCACATGCACACAAAATATTAAACTTTCAAGAAACTTGCTCCCTAAAAATAATCTGAATACTTTGAAGAGAGAAAGAAACAGCAATTCAAAAAACACAACATATGGATGTCACGTATACACATACATTGATACATATATACTGCATATTCATGGAGATTCAATACAAGAAGTACTTACGATTAGGGAAACCCGACATCTCAAATGACATTTTTTTAGAGAGAGAGAGACACAGCAAAAAGCAACTTCGACAAAGTATATACTTGTGAAAGATCGCAGTGCGATTCACAGAGGGTTTTCGCTTTCCACAGTTCTGTATATCTTGTATTATACACACAAGCATGTAGCAATATATACCATATACGAATTATTATTATTATTATTTTCCAATATACCATATACGATTGGGGGTTGCCTAATGTTAAAGCTAATGTAGCGTTTAAGTGAAACAGAACCGTCTTTTAATAGGAACGCTACAATGCGCGCTACCAAACGGTCGGAATTTTAAATTTCTATTTCAAGAAAATTAATTAATTAATTAAACTTCTGCCCCCTGATTTCAGTTTATTATGGATAAATCATATTCACATAACATAATTATAAAAGTCTCTCCTATAGAACAAAAATTACCCTGATGTCATATGAGAATTGAGATTAGTGGATTGGGATATTATATTTCATGGTCAGAGATTATATTGTTCAGGTCAATCAAAAAAATGTCACTTAAATGTGATAATTTATTTTATTTTATTTATTTTTTTGCATGACAACTTGTGATTGGTTAGAATCACATAGTCCAATCATTTAATAATTTCTCTAATAATTTATGACATGAAAAGTTAATTCCAAAATCTTAAATATTGAGAAACAATAAAGTAGTAGTACTATTTTATACAATGCTAATCGAAATTAAACTTACAATCAAGTCCAGTTCAAGACATGATTTTGACATTGTTTTAGTAACAATAATAATGAAAAATAATCATATTTAGTCCTGAGTGAACGTGAAACTCAAAATTTTGAGAGGCCTTGGTTCCACAAATTTTTTGATATTAGTAATATAAAATTTTGGGCCCAAATTAGAGGCCTAAGTAAACTGCATTGGTAATCGGGAAAAAGAAAACGAGTGAGATTTTTTTAATGAATTTAGGTTATTATAATATTTTAATGAGGAAATGTCACTTATTTCTCTTGAGGTTAGGCTTAATCACAAATAATACCCCTAACATTTTGAAAATTATAAAAACCTCCCTCAAGGTTTGCTCCGGCATAACACTTTCCCCTCCCGGTGAAAGTCAATGCCGGTTAATGACCATTCTTTTATGACGTTAGCCATTTTGAAAGTGAAATATCACATTCGTTCTTAAAAATATTAAGAAGACATTATATTATCATTTTTTATTAAAAATTACTTATATACTCTTGATAGAAAAAATTATTAAAAATTATTAAGCCATGGACCCATTTTTTATCTTTGAATATGAATCACACATTTTTCAAATAACTTATACGGTGATAGGGGACATTTTGGTATATTTGTGTTAATAAGTGGATGATAGATAAGTAATTGGTAATGAAGACGGTGGTTTTGTTGTGGCAGCGATAAAGATGGTGGTTTTGTTGTGGCGGTGGTGAAGATGATGGCTCAGGCAACCTTTGGTGGGGCTAAAGATGGTGGATATGCTTTGCATGATCAGGGCTCAAATATGAGAAACAACACAAGAAAGTTCAAACTTTCGAAAGAATAAAAAAATGTTGTTAGGGTAAAAAAGTAATTTGATAACAAATTATCATTATTAATATAATAATGAGATATTTGCAGTACATTCACACATATTTCTAACTCAACTCTAGTAACGAGGCCTAACCTCAAAGGAGGTAAGTGATATTATCCCTATTTTAATTGATAAAGGAGTATGGTACATGTTTGATGAGATCGGTATTATATTCTAAGCAAGGGTTAAGTGCAAAAAAACCTCATTTACTATCAATATAGTGCAAACGGTCCCTGTGTGATAAAAAATCCCTATACCATTAATTTGGTGTAAATAGATCCTTGTATGGTATAAAATGACGATAATACCCTCCCCTCAGTTAAATAAATTAATAACTATAAATACATGTCATGTAAAATGACCCTTTTATCCACTTAACAAAAAAAAAAAAGAAGAAAAAAAAAGTAGAACGATAATTCGTCCTAATGTAAATATCCTACTACTACATATCTCTATATATGATAGGGGTGACAAATGGGTGGGTTGAGCCGGGTTTAGATTGGGTTTAAAATGGGCGGGTCAAACATGGGGTGAAGACCCATATTCAAACCGTTCATAACGGGTTAAAAATGGGCGGGTCAAATGTATAAGGTCAACCCATTATGACCCGTGGACCCATTAATTATTATTATTATTTTTAAAGGTTTTAAAATGTTATTTAATAACAAATAAAAAAAAACAATCTCAAACATTAATATCGACTCGTTTTAGAGAAAGGGAAATGAAGGAAAGAGAAGAAATTTCCAGAGAGAAAAACTTCTTTTTTTCCCTAGTTGGTACTCACACACACTTGTCTCTCTCAATACTTTAACCCCTGACCTCCCTTTAAGAGGTAAGAGGCTGATACCGTCAGGCCACTGGCCCGTTGGTAGAAAAAAACTTAGAGAAAAGGGATTGATGATAAACAAATTTAGAGAGAGGATCACGAGTAGGGGTGCAACTTGGGCGGGCTAACCCAGCCCAACCCAAACTTAGCAAAAAATTTGAAATTTGGGCTAAAAAATTTTGACCCGTGAAATCCGCCCGACTTGCCCAAAAATATTGATGTTTTAAAAATAAAATTTTCTTAAAAATTTTGATATTTACAAACATGGAAAAAGAAAATGTAATTTGCATATTTGAAAAAAAAAAAAAAAAATGACCCGTGAAACACGAATGACCTACCCAAAATATTGATTTTTAAAAAATAAAATTTTCTTAAAAATTTTGATGGTTACAAATGTGGAAAAGAAAAATGTAATTTGTATATTTGTTATATAAAAAAAGACTTTGTGAAACCCGACCGACCAGCCAAAAATATTGATGTTTAAAAAATAAAATTTTCTTAAAAATTTTGATGTTTACAAATATGGAAAAGGAAAATGTAATTTGTATATTTGTATTAAAAAAAAAAAAAAAATTAACCTGTGAAACCCGCCTGACCCACCCAAAATATTAATGTTTAAAAAATAAAATTTTTTCAAAAATTTTGATGTTTACAAACATGGAAAAAGAAAATGTAATTTGCGTATTTGGAAAAAATATATATATATAAATTTACCCGTACAACCCGCTCGATCCGCCCAAAATATTCGGGCTGGGTTATGGACATAACCCATTTTAAGTGAGAGAATTTTAGAGAGATAAATGAGTTGAGTGCAATATAAAATAGATGTATGATGGGTGAAATATAAGTTGAACATGGGTAACCATATTTAACCAATCTTGACCCTCAAATTAAGTGATTAAAAATTACCCAACTCAATTTTGTTTCATCTTAATATATGGTTCACCCAAAACCATTAATAAACAGGCGTGAACGAGTTTATGGGTTGTGACCCATTTTGTCATCCCTAAATTATTTGAGTATATATTTCATATACAGTATATCCAATTCTCTCTTTACAGAGTCAAAAATCACCCTATTTCTTATTCTCAGGAAACCCATGGAGCACTTCTTGAAGGCGGTGGACGAAGTTGGACTGAAGGGCATTGCTTCCCTTTCACAAAAGCTTATTTTTTCTCCTCTCACAATGGCATCTCATGGAGATGGTAATTGCTCCTTTTCATGAGAAAACACTCCTGCTTATGATTTCATCAGCATTTCATATTGATTTGTTTTCCTTATCTTCTGTACCATGTCTGGCAGTTACTTCTGTCCCAACGTATGATTCAGTCAGCAGCAAGCTCCAATTGAAATGAAAATGAATTGCGGGCGGACACCTTGCTTCTTGTCATCAATTTGGGGGGCAAAAGCAAGTCTTCACACCCAATAGCTATATGGGTTAAGTGCAAGAAACATCACTAAAGTATACTTTTCATAGCACTTTTATCTCCTATTTAAAAAGATGTGCAAAAAACATCCCTAAATTATGACATTTGTGTAAATAGGTCCTATTTATAAAAATTGAAATAAAATGCCCTTAGCAACACATTTTATAATATATAAAAATATATAATATATTGTGAAATGACTAAAAAGGGGCTCTGCCCTTCTTCTTCTTCATCTTAGTGGTCGCCGCCGAGGGAAGGGAAGACTGGAGAAGATACATACATATACACACATACATAGACATAAATATACAGATAGATATATTTATTTATTGTAAATTTACAAATTATATATATACACATATCCACTACCAACCATAGCCATTGCCAACCAAACCAAATTCCTCAAACACCAAAATCTAGCCTACAAAGCTAACCACCAAAAGCTGCAAGACCCATTCGCAAACCCCACATCACCATAGTCAGCCGTCGCCGTTCGCCACACAGGAATACCGATTCGTTGTCGCTGTCTGTCCGTTAGTCTGTGGTTAGCTCGACGGAGACCGAGAGTGACGAGGACTTCCTCGCCTCGCTGACTCGCCAGTTGACTCGGGCCACTCTGCAAGAAACTCAGAAAAACACTCCTCGTCCTTAAAATATCGAGGTATGATGCTATAATCTATGATTTTGCTTGTTTTTGTCATGAAGTTCATGAGAATGTGTTCAAATTCAGTGTTTGTGTTAACTCAGAAGACATGGGTCTTGTCCGGATCGCCTCAATCGACTCTCAGTGGAATCGGAAGCTGGTCTAGCAATGGAAGCCCAAACGGTCCTTCTCAGGTATCGTCGCCGCCGACGACGCTTGGAGTCTAATTAACGCAACAGCTGGACAGGTGGCTAGGTTGAAGATCACCGACAGCGAACCCAGAAACAGAGGACTCCTCGGACCCCCTCGCAGCCACAATCCGGTCTATCATTCGTCGTCGGAGACAACTGGGTTCGGTCGTGAGCATGTGAGGCCTCCGTCTTTATCTCCCTCCCCGGCGACGCCTCCGTCTTTATCCCCTCTCGGCGACGTCGACATCAACCTCTCACTCCCTCCCCGACGATGTGTGTGTATATATATATATATATATATATATATGTTTGTGTATATATGTGTAATTTGTAAATTTAAAACATACATATATATATATATATATATATATATCTGTATATTTATGTCTGTGTATACATATGTGTATATATATGTATCTTCTCCAGTCTTAGCTTCCCTGGCAACCACCAAGATGAAGAAGAAGGGCCAAGCCCTTTTTTAGTCATTTCACAAAATATATATTTTTATATACATTATAAAATGTGTTGCTAAGAGCATTTTAGTCCAATTTTTATAAATAGGACCTATTTGCACAAATGTCATAGTTTAGATGTGTTTTTTGCACGAAAGGGTGCAATATGCACATAAACATATTTTGCAGTTGACCCTAGCTATATATAGAAGAACAAGGAATTTTGATGCTCTCCAGTTTAACAATAATATGTTGTATCCCTTATATTTTCATTTATTTAGTTTTTATCGTTTTTATAAGGCTACTTTTTGTCTCTTCCCATTATCATTGAATATTTTCTGCCTATTCTCTTGTTTCATTTTGTCATATCTACACCCAATTCATGTTTCAGTTCAGTTTTTGGGCAAATGCAAATATTTACACCCCAATAGCAATGGAAATGTAAGAAGGAATTTAGATGCTCTCTATACTGGAAAAGCATCTGTTTTGAATTTTTGATTCTCAATATATTTTTGCAGTACTTGTAATACATATGCAAAAAATATATCTGATTTTTATTTTTTGTCCTTTCAAGAAACTTAAGTTTGGTCTCAATATATATTACAAGTACTGGGAATGCACAATATATTTTTGCAGTACTCAATATATTTTTTAATGCACATATGGGTGAAGGGGTGAAGGGTAAAATGGAAATCAAAAGGGTAAAATAAGGTTTTTATTTTTACTTTTTGTAAAAAGGTGGTCACAAGAATTTATTTGTACATTTTTTTTAAATTTTATGAACTAATAATATGAACATTTTCAAGAAGTAAGAATTACTTGTGCACAAAGTCACAGGAGAATTTTTTTTTTTTTTTTGCTCTTAACCCTTCTAAGCAGTAAAAGGAGTAATATGTTTGATGAGAACTGTGTTATAATGTCTTGACCATGATCAACGAAAATTGACAACCAAAAATGATCCACCCGATCCACCCACAAAACTTAACCCAAACCCAGATCCGGTCAATAGCGGGTGGATTCTGAGAAGACTCACTCCTCTCTCCTTTTCTTGCAGAGACGACTCGTCGACTAATTGAATGTAAGTCGATCGCAATGAACAGCTCGTGGCGGCGAAGAGAGCTCGTCTTTCTAATCCTCTACGCGGTCGTCTTCTACGTTATTATCATCCGTCGCTCCCTTCAACTCTCCCACGGTACTCTCTGTCTATATATATATATACATATTTGCACATATATATATGTATATGTATATACTCGCTTTCTTCTTTATCTTTACTGCATTATTCTCTTTCATAATCCTGTTTTGTCCTTGAATTTATTCACTGTTATTGCAGATCATTATGACAAACTTCGTGGTCTACGTCCCGGATGGATCGCCGGTCGACTTAATGTATGCTATTTTCTTTCATTTTTTTGTGCTTTATTGTTCATTTTGATGTATTGTTCAATTAAATGCTTATATGTTCACGATTTCCATTGATATTTCCTGAACCAGTCATCAGCAATCTTTTTAATAGTAGGCTTAGAAATAGGTATATTTGAGTAAAACCCATAAGCGGCATGATTTTTTATTGCTTGTATTGAATTTATAGTTGGGTGGTGTACATTTGATCAAATTCATCCATATGGTATTGAAAATAATTGACTGTATGCATTGTCAAGTCTTGGAGTTAGGAAGATTTGTTGGAGTTCAGAGGGGCATTTAAAATATTGGGTTACTTACAATTCCATAGGTGGATAATTCTCAAAATTCTGGACTTGACTCTTGAACGCTTCGCCTATGGCTGCTTAGAATATGTTAAAATTGAATTCAGGCTAAAATTGCTAAGGACTGTATGAGTTGTGTGCTCTATTTTAGTCATTGTTGATAGGTTATGTACTGTTCAACTATTGTTGGTAAAGTTAGGTTTTAGTCCATGTTGCCGATTTATGTATCAAGATAACATGTTTCTCCATGGAGTTTCTAGAATTTTGACTATGTTGTGAATGGAGAACTTGATATAGGAAGAGTGTTTAAACTTCCCAATATCCTCATTACCATCCAATTAAAATGGGTGAATGACTGGAAGTGTAACAGTTGTGGCTTGTGAGTTTAGTTTACTTCAAAGTAGAACAGGTGAGAAGTCAAAGCAATGTGACTTCATATCATATTAAAACGGGTGTACAACTGGCGTTGTAGCATTTGTGGTTTGTGTGTTTACTTTTCTTCAATGTATAATAGATGAGAAGTCAAAGCAATGTGACTTTGTATCGGACTGAGCTGAGCTTCTTTAATTAGCTTAATGGATTGGGTCACTGAAATGTTATTATTTGATGTTGTTAATGAATGTCTGCCAATCTTCTTCTAAATTTGGTATCACTGGTAAACTTAGAAGATAAATTGATGATGATGGTTTACTCAGGAAATGGGACTTGTTCTTCATGTTGTTGATAAAGGTGAGAAATAAGATTGAAGTGAGCAATGATGATATAAAGTTATTGTTGTAATTAACAGATTCAAGGAGTTAAAATAAGGATTTAGGAGACTTTTTAATTTTTTTCCTTCTAGGGGGAAAAAAAATTGATAGACGTAAGAAATAAGGAGATGCGACGATGCTGTATCTTGACATGAAAGGTTTCATTCGGAACTTATAAATCGTTGTAGGTTTGAACAATGCAAGATTGATCAATGCCAAAATCTTTAAGAGCTTGTGGATTAACCATACTATGTCAAACTTGAATATCCAAAGAATGCGAACCTGATTTCTTTATTTATCATGGAAAGCTTGATACTGATCGTGACGTATGCAACCTGCCACAATCAAGCTATTTTGGATTTGTTGAGGTTGAGTATAGCCTTACTTCAAATTACTAAATTGTCTGTGTTTTCTTTTTCTTTATTTATTCTTAAAATTTTGTAATGATTATATTTTTTCCGGAAATTGGTAATGATTATAGTTTGTTTCCCAAGAAATTTAATGATTATAGTTGGTCTTATTAAAAAGGATGATGAAATTTTTGTTCCACTTTTATTATTTTTTTCAATTAGTTTTTAAAATTTCTTCTTATTTTGGTTAAGATATAATTCCCTGGGTCTTTGCATTTTACCCAAGATGAACTTTAAATATTCTTCGAATTTTCGTTACAGTTGAGTAAGATTATTATTATAATATATTCTTTGGTAAATTTCAGTTAAGAAAGAATTACATTTACTAGTTCCTCAATAACTAATTATCTTTCTTGTACTAGTAAATCTGATAATAGGGGAATGAATCCAACCATGAAACGCACTTTCTTAATTGAGATTATCTTCTTCACAATTGAGAGGCTTAGTTTCCATTTCATAAGAGTGAGACTGCCAGTGACAAAGTTCGAGTGTATGAGTGTGTTGAAAAGATGGTCCTGGGGTAGCAGTAGAGGGGATTCATAGAATGTGGCAGTTCAATTCAATCTTCAGCTGTGATTGAGTTTTGGCCAAGTTTGGACAGAAACATACAGGACAAGTGGGAAGATGTTAATTGGGAGAATGGCTGATCCTTGATATTGATATATATGGCCACATGAACTGACTCCAGTTCTAGATATCTGACTAAAATTTCATTTCATAACTAAGGGAAGAAAAAGACAAAAATCTTATTGTTATTTAGTTGTTGCACTTTCTTTTTCTGCATTTTTTTCCTTGCCTGAATACACACACACACACACACACACACATATATTTATATTTTTGTATTTGAGTTCATTATGGAGAAATTTTTATGGTGATGATGATTTGAGTTCATTATGGAAATATATCCGAAGGCTTTGATATGATGACATGATATCCTATTAATAACATATTCCTTATGTTAGTTTGATTGCCTAATGTTCCCTCTTTCTTTCTGTTCTTTTTCTCATGTAGGATGTCTCTGATTCCCAATGGAGAAATTTTCGTGGGAATTTACCCATCCTTACCATTGTTTTGGGGATTTTTACTTCAGTGGCGAATATGTTGAGGGCGTACTATAATTTAAATGCGAAGACAATGTCCATTACATGGCTTTTGATTTCTTTGACTTATATATTATATCTACACGGAGCTTGGTAAGTGCTATATTCATCATAATGCTTAACATATCATACTCTTTTCTGGGTTCAGTGGTTTCTTATCCAAGTCCTTCTCTCTTCTTTGTAGCATCATCTTTGTCCTTTCAATTGCTTCAGTTAATTTTCTTATAGTAAAGGTACGTATTGTGCTAGTTTTCGACATACTTTTTGTTATTTTATTCTATCTTTTTCATTATTTTGCAGCGTTTACCCTCCAGCAGTTTGTTATTCTCTAGTAGTATGTTGTATACACGCTTAAAGAATATTGATTGCTAGCATTTTTGTTAGAATATCTACTAGATGAAATTTGATGCTTGGTCATGGAATAATAATAATGTATGTAGTACGTTTGATTTTAGGAGAATCATTATACATTTCCAATGGTAGCATTTGCATTAAAATTTCCTCACAGTTTTTAAATTGAACAAAACATATGGATTTATTTATTTAATTTATGGAAATTCAATATTGCTTCATGAATTTGGCTGTGTGCTATCCCTCCCTTTATTTTTAATAGATACCAGAGAGAAGTAACTTACTATTTTGTAAAATTTGGGTACTTATTTAAATATTTTATTATTTGATAATGTAAAATTTGGCCACTTAGAGATGAGAAGGGATTCATATATTGTAAAGAGGCTCTTGAAAATATTAGGTGAATGTGAAATGGGTTGGATGGAAATTATAGATCTTTATTACTTCAAGTCATTGATTAAGATTCATCCACAAAAAACTAGTGAGTAGATTTGGCCGTTGCAGTCAGTTCTGTAGTTTTAAGAGAATTTATTACTCTCATGCTTGCATGAGAGTGAGAATTGACAAAAACATTTTACTTTCTGCATCATACTGTTGGTATAACTCCTTGCAATATGTGAGGTCATACTTGTTGCTTTGTATCTTGCTCTTCTTCTTCTGTCTCTCTCTCTTATCAATCTGAGATTCTTATCTTATAATATAAATGGTTCTCAGGTTTGAAATCTCTACAATATTGAAGCTTAAAACCTTGTTGAAGAGACCATGTTCAGGATCTGTTTGATCATTTTTTTTTGGAGGGGAATATCATGTGTCATAAGCTTATAAAGAATTCTCACAAAATATCTTTCCTTGTAGTAGTTGTAATTCACTTAGTAAACCACACCAGGTCTTTAGTTGTGGAGTGCCAATATCTTTTCTTGACATTTATGTTGTCTGGATTTGAGGGGAATATAAAGTGTGTTTTAAGCTTATAAAGAAAGCTCAGAAACTGTCTTTGCTTTTAGTTGTTGTAATCATTTATTTAAACCACATGAGGTCTTTATTTGTGGATTGTCAATAACTTTAATTGATGTTTATGTTTTCTGGGTTTGCTTACTATGTTCACGCACAACAAGTTCTGTTTATTATAAGACCTATTGGAACTTTGTGATCCCTGAAGCTCATGTTGATGTTTTATCACAAAAAGTGGTTCTAGGTTCATACTTATTACATGTAAATTATAAGATATGATATAAAAGTAGAAGTCATGATTGGTTTTGAATACAGCAAGAAGAATATAGGAAATGAAAGCTCACGTTTTCTTGTACTAATTTGGCTTATATGAAGTGTTAATGTCTGTATGGATCCTGTTGAAGTCAAATAAAATGGGAAGAAAGGAAAGTTATATACTACTTCTGTGGAATAGGATAATATTCACATTGATGAAACCTTTTAATTTTTTTTTTATCACAAATAAAGTCAGTCGTAGGATGGGAGAATCTTGGCTCCGATCTTTTCTTCAATGTTAGTATCAACAGGGATATTTTACTATTGATGAGACAATGATATTAGTGCCTTGGTGGATCCCTTCCAAGGTGGTTGGGGATTGAGAATAACTTAACAAGTTGTGGTTTAATTTTTTTGGATGGGGTGCCACTGGTGGATTGTCTTGGTTAGGAACTTAGAATTATTATTATTTTTTATTGTTCTGGTAAAGATTCTTCTTTGGGGTGCCAATGTAGTACAGCTAAATATGGAAATTGCAGCAGTGATTAATTGTCCTCATGAAGGTTGTGGTGGATAGTTTATAGATTCTACATATCATTGTGTTGATAACAATTAGAGGTAAATTCAGTTTTCATGTGGTTAGTAACGTACTTCTACATATCATTGTGTTGATAATGATAAAAGATCCCAGCTTTATGGTTGTTGTTATGGTATGTGTTTGGCAAAGGAGGGCAATGTTGAGCTTCATAGTAATGTCAAGATTTAGATATATTGAGAGATTGTCGTATTTATTTATTATATTATTATTATTTTCCGGGATAAGTAACAGGCAAGCACCCATGTCCAATTGAGATTTGCTCTCTCTACCTTTTTTGGGGTGACTTGAGATACCATTTAAGTTATATAGTGATATTAGCTGGTGGCATATAAATATTTGTTTGTTTTGAGATTGATGTTGAAGAAATTGGAAATCGCGCAGAAGATGTATTGAAATATAATATCCAAGAGATGGATATAAGACAACAAGGAATTGCTTTCTTTAGCTGATGGTGATGCAATTGCTATTTACTTAGGCTGATGAGATTCTGTAATACAAAAACTTGTTTTTTCAAATCTCAATTTAAGATTTTATATTGAAAAATTAACTTGTTGAAAATTATTTGAGGTTAGTATATATATGAAATACATATGAAGTAATGTTTCTGTTTCCCTATAATCCAGGTGACTGTACTTGTAGATGAGCACCAGTATAGATCTGATCTCTCCACGCTATGTAATTTGTTTTTTTTTTTTGAGAAAAGAAATATATATATATATATATATATATATATATTAGAAAGTGATCAAAAGGGGAACGCATCCCGAAGACTATACACGTGATATGATGCTTGTACTTTTCCTAGCATGATATGATGCTTGTTTAAATTAATCGAAATGTATTCTTCAAACTGAATCTTATAGCATCCATCTTAGTGACATCAGGTAATGGTTCAAATCCTTATAATATTTTACCAGATTTTTGTTTATTCAGATATTTGGACGGACAATGTACTTCTCATTCATACTATGGATTTTCAACATCTCATGTCTTTTGTGTAACCGCATTTATGAGGGATATTCGTTCTCCAGTATTGGGTGAGTTATATTTTTTCAATTACCAGTTGCTTTACATAGTTGAATGGATTTTTCAGCGCAAGCCGTCAAACTTTTTTAGCATTTCTGCTCAGTCATGATTTTATTTCTTTCTTGTTCATAGGCAGCGTTGGGCTTATTTGGACAATTTTCGGGGTACCTTTAGATGGCATATCTGCTTTAACTTTGGTACTTCCTTTCCCTCTTTCATTTCTTGGAATTTGATGTACTTACAGTCTAATCTCCATACATTCATGCAGTTCTTATTGAATATCATCTTACACTGTTTTTCATATTGTGTTGGTAACACTTTTGTATGTAGTTATGCCCGACTTCTGTAGGCTGGCGCATGTTCCCGTTAGGTTGTTACTTTAAATTATAGTACACTAGTTATTACTATTTTAAGGCTTGTTATACATATTTAGGCTCATTCCTAAACAACTTAAGTTTTTAGGCTATTGGTAAGTTGGTAGTTTAAAATGGTATTGAAGCGTTGATCTAAGAGGGGTTGGGTTCAAGTCTCCATATCTACATTGTTTTCATCATTTGGTGTTGTGATTTTGCACTTTTCTATTTGGTTTGTTCGCTTGCTTCAAGATAAGGTCACATGTAAAGATAGTGTTAGAGCTCGATATACATTGCTAGTCCAATTTTTTAATAGCCTAAAATGCTGAACTATCAGTGTCACGGGAAATTTATGTGTAGATCTTTTGGTGACCTTATTTTGTACTTTTATCATATATTGTGATATGTATATTTATGATTGATTTTGGGACAAAGTTATATGGTAAACTATGTGATGTATTACAGGTAGTTTGCTCTAATACCAAAATGATGCAGGATGAGTAGGGCTGCTTCGATACCAAAATTGATGTAGAATGAGAGAGAAGAGAAGAATAAGGGAGAAGAAGAAGAAATAGTGGGAAGAAATCTGTAATCAATCTCAATATTCAACATTGGTCAAAGCTGTCAACTCATTGTCACAAGCTACATATATATAAGCATCAAAGTAGAACCCTAATCAAACTCTACTACAAAAAATAGAATCGTAATATATTAAATTTCTAAAATATTCCTACAATTAAAATTTTACCTAACTAATAATAATAATAAACAGAAATACAAAACTTTTTCCATTATGTAATTTATTAATTTTATTGATGAGGTTTCTACTTGTATAAATTGATAAAAAAAACGTCTTCCCTTGTAAATTTTTGATTGCCATTAGCAACTCTGTTTAGCTCATAGTATGTAACTGTGCAAGTTCTTTGATGATATATATACTATAAAAATATATTTAATTTTGGTAAGTAATTCTTTTGATGATATTGTTTATGAATTTGATAACTCAGAATTGACACTTTATCCAGTAGCAATACTTTGTTTAGTTTCGAGAAAACGAAGCCTATATTTTATTTACTTTGATTAGTTATTAGAATTCTTATTGGGTTTATTTTGTTGACAGTTGTTCTGCGCATGATAAGCTTTGGATATGACTACCATTGGGCACATAGCAGTGCTCATTTCGATCAAAAGGTAATTATTTTGCTGCTATTTTCATTCCATAGAAGCTTTTGTTTGCATTATTTGAAGAATTGCTTCTCTTCTGCCAAAACTTCACACCTTATTTTGTGACTGTTTAATATTATGGGACAAGTTTCATTTGCAGTCCTTGAATTAATAGCTTTGTTTCCTTTCTTATATACATCCCTATTGGACTATACATTTGGCATATTCTTTCCATGTTTATTTAGATCACTTTTAGTAGAAAAGATTTGGATTGAAGATGGTGTAATCTTCCTGATCCTTGCCATATTATGGTTTCAACAAGTGACAAACTTGTTCTTTTTCCACATGCAATTCAGATGACACCGTGTTTTGGTTTTATGCTTTTGCAACAAAGCATGTAGTATTCTAAAAGATTTGGAGACTGAACTGAAGGCTGAACAGTTTGGAGTTTAAGATTCTGGAAATGATTGTTGAGGCAATAGTGTTATTTAAATTGACTTTAAACCCCTGTATTTTAACTTTCTATATGTCTTTTGAATGGAATATAATGTGCTTTCAACTTGCTATACAGTTGTGATAAGGGATTGTGGATAATATTTGGATGTCCCTTCTTTAAACTTTTGAACTGTTTTCTCAGTACACTGGTCTCCTTTATGTTGTAATTTAGGTCCGAGTGAAAATTTTGGGTAATAGACAGAGACATAGGAGCTCTGGACAATCCAAGATTGTACCTTATTTTTTGTATGTTCACATGGTTATGCTTGGCCTTTTTGTGTAATCATTTCAAGCCAACATAACGTTGTTTTGGAGGAAATTTATTGAATTCTTATGTGCTGGTGGAGCTCACACTATAGTGCGGCATTAGGAGCTTATCTTTATCTTTTTCTTTTTCCCAATTGTTTTGAAGTTTCTATATGGTTGCAACCCTGTAGTATGTTCCACAGAAGTAATTTGTATTGTTGAGCAATACAAGGTTGTTGATTGCAATCTTAGAACTAGTGGCCTAAGCATAGTGGACAATCAATTGACACAATATCGCTTCTTCTGTAAGTTGATAGTTCTTTGTGTTCTTAACTGCATCCTGTGGTTTGTTACTCAATAAATACTGTTTGACACATGCAAAAAGTAGTTCAGGAATTAATTCCTTGTTCCTTTGATGCCAGTGCTTGCTGATGTTTAACCTTTTTGTTGATTTCAGAAGCACATGCAACGTTGCCGCAATTGTTCATCGGGACAACCATGCTATCTGCTATTACAGGTAACTGCCACTTCTACATGAGTCCTAGCATGATTGTGCTTTTTATCTGGGCTAATATCCTTGATTGTATAAACTTCTGTATTTTCCCAGGGAAGAAGCGTCAAGGATGACAAGTTCTCTTTTAGTATATACCTGTGTTATTTGGTATATGCACCTCTCTATATCGCTGGACCGATTACAAGCTTCAATGCATTTGCTTCACAGGTTTGTGATGGTAATTTATTAATTTATTCATATGTATATATATTTGGGTATATACATATTGGTCCTGGCAAATATCACGCACTCCCACTTTGCCTGGGGACTTGAATCCTCAATCTTCCAATTTGGGAGACTCTTGGTGGTACAAGTTTGTGGAGTTTAATTGTTGTTTATTCTCCCTTTTATCTTATGCCCTTATAACTATGCTTGGTGTCCTTTTACCATAACCTGAGTTGCATCCATATACTAATTAAAAAAAAAAAAAAGTGAATTGCATCCGTATAATGCTAAAGGAATTCCTGTATTCATGATATTGAAAATTGCATGAGAAATTCTGCCGCATGTATCCACATGTATATACAATGAACTACAGTAATCGTTAATTTGTCTGGTTGTGTTTCATGCTTGAAACCATATGCATAAAAATTATCAAAGATTACTTAGTTGCCATCTTTATTTTTCATATATTATTTTGGCAAAATTTATCTGAGGATTCATAAATCTAGATTCCTAGAAACAAGGATTGAATTTCAGATGGCATTCAATAGCTTGTGAAGGGGCCATTGCCTGGTGCAATGGTAAAAGCTCTAATTGTCAAGCATGAGAGCGGGTTAAAATCGAGAGAGCATCCCCTTTGTGCAAAAAATGCCAAAGGTTAGGTTTGTATCAGGTCTACTCCCAACGCCTTCAATGGGGGTAATGATCCTTCTATCTATTAAGTCCTTAGATGTTCCTTAATTATTCCAATAGCATTATCGGACTGGCACTACTGATTGTAGGCTTGGGCAGTATCTTCCTCCACCTACAAGGGGAGGTGCAGGGTTCAAATCTAGGTTGGGATGGAGGCATTATTAAGGGGAAAAAACATTATTGGAATATTCCTTGTAATTGAATGTTATTAATGTTTTTCGGGCTTGGATTTTTCCTCCGTCTTTCCAAATTATAACCAAAAAGCTCGGAAGGCAGATTTATTGACCTAACTGGATTTATTTTTTACTTGCTATTTGACTGTCCTATCCTTTTTGGTATGAAATCAAGGAATCTCAAACAAGTTTACTTAATACAATGTTCATGCAGTTGGATACACCTCAGAAGAATTATTCACTGAGGCAAGTGGCTTGGTACGGATTGCGTTGGCTTTTTAGTCTTTTACTAATGGAACTAATGACACATCTGTTTTACTACAATGCCTTCGCTATCAGGTGAGCTTTTACAAACTCAAGGATATGCCTTATTCTCAAAGTGTACTTTAATGTTGTTTAATTTTTGTGTGATTTAACTTATGTTACTCCACCATGTAGTGGCATGTGGAAATATTTATCTCCTATGGATATCTTCATTGTTGGATATGGGGTAAGAGCTTATATTTTAATTTCTAGGGTCCTTTATTAAATACTGGTTAGCTTCACTATCTGTTATTCAATGTTCAATCAAGATCATTTTTTAAAATGATAAGCAAGGCAGCATATCACATTACGTCGAAGTTACAAATATCACAATTTAGGGATATAACAAGGTCATTGATTCAACCATGAGAAGGATAAGATATTTGAGAAATGGGCTTCCTATAAATTTTGAATTTTAGGGCATAATATGAAATGTGTATGTCTAGGAAGTTTCGATGCCATAAAGATCCTTCGACTGCTATCTTTCTGAGGAACTGTAATATAGAAATTATCAGTACTCCCCATATAATGTGAATTTTGGAGTTCAATAAGGGCAATTTAACAGTCTAGTAAAATGTGAGAACTTTTGGGCATGACCCAATTTATTGTGAAAGATAGAAAGAAAGCAACAAAAAAAAAAAAAAAAGAAGGAAGAAAAGAAAAGAAAAAGAAGAAAAAAGAAAGAAAGTATGAGTAGACAGATTGGATTTGAATGTGGATCTGCTCTGTAACTTATGGGTCGCTTTGACTAATAACTAATTGGTTTGGGAGTACTGATCCTTCGAGACTTAATACAAGTCAACTTCTAATTCCAAAGATGCCGTTCATCTTGAAATGGCTACTTTTAAAGCAATGAGGAATTCCCCATTTCCAAATTACTGAATCCAGGAAGAGCTATTTTGTTCTGTATCTATAATGGAAAAATGTACTACTCTTGTTCTCACCCTTTGCATGAAACCAGTAAACATGTAGCGATATAATATTGTCATTAACCTCTTCAAGTATTTCAATTTATTTCTCTTGCTAATTCAATTTGAAGTGGGAGAGCATACAGCGAGTTTTCAGTCAAAATATTTCTTGAGACCTTAAATTCCCTAAACATCGTGGTAAGAACTTTCGATCATGTCCTTTTCTTTTAATACTGCAACAGGTCCTAAACTTCATGTGGCTCAAGTTTTTTCTTATCTGGCGATACTTCCGATTCTGGTCACTGGTATTTTTTTTTTCCAACAAGATCTTTTACTTTTGATTTCATAATGTTTGTGTGCTATCAGGATCTTATCTTAGGTCATCTGTTTGCAGTTTTAGTTATAGCAACTCTAGTGTCCTTTATTAATACACCTATTGATGGAAGTTGTTATTTGTTTAATGTGATTGTAGCTCAGTGGCATTGAGGCCCCTGAGAATATGCCGCGGTGTATAAATAATTGCTACAACTTGGAAAGTTTTTGGAAAAATTGGCATGCTTCCTTCAACAAATGGCTTGTCAGGTGTGGCTTTTAGATCTTTTATCTTGTATTCCCATGCACTTATGCTTTGTTCAGTAGGAAGGAAGGAAGAGGTGTGGAAATAAAATAGGAAGGAAGGAACAAACTTCCTTTGTTCAATACAGATGATACAAGGAAAGAAAGGATAATAGGAGGGATGTGTCATCCTTCATTCTTTATAAATTTTCATTGATCCAAAAATGGGCGGAAGAAAGGGAGGAAGAAAGTTGGACTATTATAGAAGTTTTAAATTAAATACCATCCTAAATTACACAAGTTTTAAATTGCAGTACTATCCTCTATGAATTACAATATTATAGATATTACTGGAAACAATGGTAAAAACAATTTAAAACTTTATCTTTCCTTCTCTCATAACGAACATAATAAATTGTGAGCTTATTCTCTTCTCTTCCATCCAACCGAACAAAAAGAAGGAAAGACACAATCTCTTCCCTAAGGATGTCTCATCCATCCCTTCTTCTCTCCCTTCCATCCAATTGGTTTCTTTCCTACCGAACGGAACATTATTGTATTTCAAATGGCAAGTAATTTTAGTGAATGATTATATTTCTAGGTACATGTACATTCCTCTTGGAGGTTCTCAAAGAAAGCTGCTCAACGTATGGGTTATCTTCACATTTGTTGCCATGTGGCATGATTTAGAGTGGTATTCTTAATTTATTTCTAGCCCCAGTGATTCATATCGTATCATAGAAGCACAAAAATTTTAACTCTGTTTCTCGTCTGACAGCTTATTGCCTTGGCTTTAGGAAGCTTCTTTCGTGGGCATGGTTAACATGTGTAATCTTTATCCCAGAAATGATGGTGAAATCAGCAGCAAATACTTATCAGGTGACATTACCTTTAGTAATCTATTAACTGTGTTCACTATATTCTCCCTATGATTACCTTAATTTTAAAAGTTAGTATGTACTTGTGAATGCTAGGTTTGATCTGACAGCCTGCGAAGTCATAATTCTAGACAATGGTTTTGGCTGTGGTAAGTAGATCCACTTAGTTCTGAACCAACTGAACGTTGGTTTGCTTGGGTCAGTGGCCTACCAAGCCGACTCCAAGTCCTTATAGTCAATCCCATGAGTCAACCTATACTTGGTTTTCACTAGTCGTGCTCAATTTTAACAGCAGGGATCCATTTATTTACTATAAACTCCTATTTTGTTGGATTGGATAGCAATTCTTATATGCTGGGGAAAACAAATTATGAGAGCAGTGTAGGGCTCTGAGAAGGATGTTACATCAGAGATCCCAAAATTTCTGAGGGATTGACTACTGACTTCTATATGGAGGTTTACGTGTCAGTATAAATGCATAATTGCATAGGATATGTAGGATAATTCCTAAGTGGTTTGTGTCAATCATTCCAGCTATTCAGGCAAATTAAAACCATATATTCCTCGATATGCCCTATAGTTATGAACTTAATTTAGCCTGATACTTGAGTAACCCACCTTACCCTGCCCCCAATAGACGGGTATGGGATGGAATTACTCAGTGTAAGAGCAGGTTTCGAAAGAGAATTGAATACCCAAATTGGGTTCCGGGCAGGGTGTGAATTAATGAACATCCACACGAGTTTTTTGGTTTAAAATTTGTTTTATTAAAACATCCTTAATAAAATTTAAAATTAGCTTTACTACCCAGGGCTGTAGCTTCTGGCACTTTCTCACCTTCCAAAGTAGAAGGTCGAGGGTTCAAGTCCCCATGGGGGCAACGTGAGGTGCAAGTTTCATCTAGGAATCTATATATATATATTTCTGGTAAGGACTAAGTTATATTTCTTGCCCTCTCATTTATACTTATTTTTATGGTTTTACTCATTCACAATACATTTCCACATTATCTATTCCTAATCCTATTTCTGCATCTTCCCTAACACTCTTGCATCCCTGTAGTTGCCAACTGTCAATGACACACCATTGCACTCATGGTCACCATCATGCTCACATCATTTCGATAAAACTATGCCTTTCATAGCAACTTCTTAGCCCCGAGCCCTTCACACTAGAAGTTGACATTGTGTAGAGATGTCCAAGAGGTGGTGACTTGTCTGGAAATACATAGAACAAAGAATTTTTTTGAAGTACAAATCACTGTTTTACAAGTTATGGTAGGGCATACTGTAGGTATCTAAAGAGGCTTCCTTCTCTCACTAATTGAGCTTGATTTGCTATAGGGCCATAGGCTGACTGGTGACTCATGAGTTGGAGCAATTTTTGACAGTATTAGGTGAAGATCTCCTTGATAATATTTAGTTTTATTCGAGTTCCTCTATTTAAATCTTTGATTCATGGTGTACCTCTTTTTTTTTTTTTTTTTCCCTTTTTTTGTTTTTTTGTTGATGATGGTGCTGGGCCTCTTGGTGCACCTCATAATCCACCACTGGCACATGCAGTCCCCCCCATCCCACATGTACTAGACAATTACCCCGAAAAATCCCTAGCAAGGGGATTCGAACTCTCAACCTCCAAGATGTGAGGTGAGAGCCTTGCCATTACGCTACCCTCTTCGGGTTTTACAGTGTCTTTTGAAGTCACTTTTTATACTAACATTCTTGATTTATAATTGCCTCTTCAGCTATCCTTTAAACCCTAATAAAGGGCTTAAATTTTTACCTTTGCCTCGAGCTTCACTTACCATATGCAATAACAATTTCTCAACTTAAAGAAAAATAATAATAATAATAATATAGGTTGAGCAAGTAAAACCATCTCCATGAGCTTCCTAATTTGAATTTCTACCGGTGGAGTAGACCTCTGAAAGTGAACAATTGGAGTCTTCTTGAATAGATCTTGCAGTGAATACGTGCTATACAATAATTTGTGTTGCAAAGCGAAACAATGATGATCTGAATAATGCCACTCTGAGAGATACTTTGTAAGTAATTAAAAAGCAAGATCTTACTATGCTTCAAAAGAAAACTCTTAAGTACCATGGTTGAATAAGATCTGTGATGCTGAACCAAAAAATTGAGATAATGCCCAATGATACTGTCTTCATTGTTGTTGAAGATACAATAAAAATTATGAGATATGGATGTTTTAGACGTGGAAGGTGGAAATAATCATGTGTTGTAGGCCTTAATGTTAATTATGATTAATGATCATTATTTTTATCTTGAATTCTTAATATAAAATTTGCATAGATTATTAGGTTTATCTGGTATTTTGAATGTTCCCCAAGCTGATCTTTTTGGAAAAAGTATTTGTGCCTCAATTGAAGATTTCTATATGAATCATTGTTTACCTATATGTAGCAAACTTGTGACAGCATATTTTATATTGTTGTCCTCTTTTTTTTCTTTTTTATTTTATTTTATTTTATTTTTTTATTGTGAGAATGCTATCACGGTTTAATTTCTATATTATCAAAGTATTTTCTTTTTTGTCAGGCGGAGAATGTTTTTGGGGAGTTTGTTTTCCGTGAGCTTAGTGCAGCTGCTGGTGCTGTCACAATCACTTGTCTTATGGTTTGTGTTTTGCTTATGCACCTTTATGTCTTCTAGTTTGATGTTTGATCTCTTAGATTTCTGCAACTAATGTCTGAAATTAAGTTGACATGTTATGTCTTTGTCTTAGATTTCTGCAACTAATGTCTGAAATTTGTGTAACTGAACATTTTAGTGGCATGTTCTTCGTAGTAGCATCAGACTTGAAAATTACTTGGGGAAACCCAGACATGTAAATTACTCAGGGAAGCGTTTGGGAAAATGTTAGGGAGCTTTTGTCTTTGTTTTGTATAAACTAATTTGATAAAATTTGTAAGTAAGCCAGATATTCTGATATTTGTTCTTTCTACTTCTCAAGTGTAGCATTTAGTTTTATCCAGCAAATTGTATCAAAAACTTTATCCTGGAAGATGCAACTGGATACTAAATTATGCATAACATTTCTTAGTAATCAATTATTCTCACTGTGTTTTGCATGCCATTTGAATATGGCATTGTTGTCAAAGACGAAATCCTCACCCTTAATTACTGAAATAATAATAATAATAATAATAATAATGGCCATTACGTACATCATGTTTAGTGCCCTATGTTTACACAGTTAGTCCCAAGCATGGAAAAAGGAGGTTTGCATTACGTAGCTCGACATCCGGCGTAAAACTTGTCATGAGCATGAATCCTTGTTGTAGTGGCCATCAATCCTTAAATGATGATTGTAAACAGATGTCAGGAAATAGTTCTAAAATCATCTGAATGCTGTGATAAACAAAATTGAATCATTTAAATTCATGTCAAAATAAATTAGAATGATTTGCCTCCATCGTCATCTTATACTATCCCCTTCCCCCATAATTTGCCTTTATATGGTTATCTGGGAGTATCCAAGAGAGTTTTCACATGAATTTGCATACAGTAATCTCCCAGCTTTTATATCTGCAGGTGGCTAACCTTGTTGGCTATGTTATTGGACCATCAGGCCTTAATTGGTTGATTTCTCAATTTCTCCGGGAAGAAGGTTTACAGCTCTTATATACCGCTTTTATTCTCTTAGCCACATGCCACTGTTGGTTAATGCGATCTTTTTACTTTTGCAGGACTGCCTACTCTTGGTGGTATGTTCTTGTCCTTTTATGTTGGAACAAAGGTGAATGACTAATATTTTGTCACTCGGTTGGATGGATTTGAAGTCTCCTTGTAAAAGTTTTCCCTAACTTGAGACGCTAACCATTTTGTAGCTTATGTTCCACATCAATGATGCTGAAGCAAGGGAGGCACTAAAGTTAAGAGGCCATAAAGGTTCATTTCTTGTCCCAGATTGCAAAATGCAGATCATTAAATTTTTAGCTTTGCAACAAGTCTCTACTGCTGATATTAATAATATTTTACGGAGTTTAGCACTCTGATTGACAACTATGACCATCTAATGCATTCTCTTCAAGATTAAAACTGAAATTGCAAATAGAGAAGATAGCCATACAACATATAATTATCATCATTTTGTCAGGCACTGCCTCCTGTTTATATGCCATAAAAAACATAACTATATTTTGTATTGCAGACGATGAGCTCTTGTGCTGTTCCTGCTCATTAAATTTGTTGTTTGCAAATGTTTACACTTTACATACCTTTGTGGAAGCTTAATTTATTTGAAATTTTTGTAAACAATTTTCCATTTAATTATGGTGACCTTCGATGATGCACCCCGGGTGCATTAAGAAACTGTTCACTCCCTCAAAGCAACATGAAGTAAAACATGTTTTTCGACATGCAGGAGATTGTTGCTGACACTGAACCCAGATATTGGTTTATTTGTAGTCCATGGTCATGTCTAATTATCCACATCAAACTCGAACGTGTGTTTTTCTGCTCGGTTTGATCTCACTCTATGAAAGCATTAAAGGGTTGTGAAGACATTTGTGCGTGTTCAGAAGTATTGTCTTTTATTCGTGTTCTCGAAGACCAGCATGGGGCATCTGAGGGGTTCAGCAAGCATGGAGGAGTCGGAAAATTCTGTTCTTGTATATTAGTTGCACCGTAAGTTGGACGGGACCTTCTCGAATGTATACTTTCTGACTGTCAGATATTTTTCTGGGCATTATGATCATTGTGATCGACACAAAATGCATTCTGAACTTTAACAAAAGGTGGATTGTCGCTAGTTATTTGTATCCTGGGAAAGTCCATAATTATTCTTAAATGATTGCTTTCTTATTTCCTTGATTTTTTAAAGGTTTCATCACAGTTTAAAAAAGACAGGATTATTTAGAGATAAGATAGAGAGAAAAGAACGTTGTTTAGTCCACGATGAGTTGCTATTGTAAAACGAACAAGAGAAACACAGTGTTCATCCAATTGCAGTGAAGGGATGATTATTGAGTCTCTCTCATTTGCCAACTGGTAAATGATTTTATTTTTTCTGAAAAAAAATAATTAAATAGTTAGAGATTTGGTTTTTTTTTTTTTTTTTTTTTTTTTTTTTTTTTTTTTTTTTTTTTTTTGGTGAAAAAAAAACTTGTTTGGAGTGCTATACATCACCTTATGAATTTAGTGATGGAAAGAAAAGGGCACGTAATAAATACAAAAAAGAAAATGAAAAATCTTCCTCATTAGATATTATCTAGGAAACAAGTATACACGAGTATGACACATAGTGGGACGGTAAATTTTAAAAAATATAAGAGGCATGGATGATGGATGTGCTGAAAATAATAATAGTGTATATATATATATATATATATATATATATAATGATAATTTTTACTTATTTTATCTATAAAATCACTAATTTGGAGATTTAAATTTGTTATTTTTATTTTTAAAATTTTATATTATGTCTACTTAACAAATAATATATTTTAAATTGCATTGAATTTCATTTTTGTATTAAAAAAAAAAAATGTAAGGTTCTAAAAGTGTCTAAAGTGTGTCATCGATATATAACGGTTGTGTCTAAGAAAAAAACAAATTATTTAAATTTTAGGATACCTTCAGCTGCCGAGTTGTGTCTGCATGTCCGACACATATATCATTCCGTCACAAGATCACTGGGTGAAGTGTTCGTACTTTTAAAGTTATTATTATTGAAAATAGAGGGAAAATAGAGAGAAGTAAATGAAAAATATTGAATTGTTATTGCATCTTTATCTTCAAACTTTTTATTTTTAATTTTTTTTTTTGGCGCAACTTTCAACTTTTACTTTCTTGATAAAGTAGTTTTACAACTGGTTTTGTTTTGTTAGGTTTGAGAGACGCATTTTTTCTGATGGACCATACATGTGTAAATATTCTTGTAATAGGGAAGCGATTAAATCCAGAAAAGGCCTTTGTATAGAATAAATTAATTGTCCGCGTTTGTTTGTGATTATGATTATTATTTTTTTACAGGTGTTTGTTTGTGATTATGAAGGAGAAAAAAATTTGATATTGTTGATGAATACAGATTAGCCTGTATTGTTGTTATGTGATCTATAAGCAACATATGCTTTAGAACCTTTATTTTTAAATTTTTTTTTTCTTTGGGGTTGTGATTTTTTATCAAATTAAATTAAGCAAGAAAATATATAATTTTCTCATTTACCAAAATATTCAATTTATTTTGTGTGTATAGTCTGAGTCTGAGATGATAAATGAAGAAAATTTACAAGAGTGGACAAAGGAATATTAGCTTATAAATGTTACAAGGCTGTCTTCACTACCATGTCATTTTAATAACTTATTTGAAGAACATTCCTTATTCCTTAAACTATATATTGACAGTTCCAACGACTGCTGTCTTTCACTACTACCATATATACATCGACATGCTCTAGAAAAAACATTACCACCACTTCCCCAAGTTGTTTTTTTTTTTTAGTAATTTATTTTTGTTAATATAAAATATAATCATTCATTTTTAACTTGTAAAGTTGAAAGTTTTTATTTATTTATTTATTTTTGTGATAGAGAAATCTTTTCTTACAAGTCTAAGACATTCTCCATGTGAATTTGATGTGTGACAAGAATTACACGATAGACACGAACACGACTCATCACATGAATAATTGATGTAACACTGAATTAAGGACTACTTAAACTGAGATAAGTGCTTGCTGTTCTAACGGTGCTGCTTATCGAGCTTGTAAGGTCGATCAAGACCTTCCCTAGAAGGCTCAAAGAAATATAGTACATATAAAGAGACATTATCTTTTATATTATTTGACGTCATGGTTGTATACTTTTACTACTCTCAATAAGGATTAAAAAAATAAGTTGTTACAACAATTAGCTTGCAGATCACAGTTGACCTTTCTAACAGCTAAAAATAATAATAATAATAATAAGAAAATCACTTGTATCTCAATAATCTTTTTTTCATCCTTGTTACAACAATTAACTTGCAGATCACAGCTGACCTTTCTAACAGCTAAAATAATAATAATAATAATTAGAAAATCACTTGTATCTGAATAATCTTTGTTTCATCCGTCACTCAAACAAGAAAATACAATATTCTTAGCAGTGCCAAATTGATTCCCCATCTAGAAGGGTAAAGTTGACAAAAAGCCAAAATTGTCATTGTCTTTTCTAGTTTAAGAATTGAGAATCAACATTGTTTTTTTAAGACAGAAGTAAAAAAGTTAGAGAAGTGGTATATATTGACACAAGGATGAGAGTGACATCCATGCATTTATTTTATTTTAAATAAAAAACTTCAATGGGAATGGGGGCTCTAAAAACAACAAAGATGCTTTCAGTTGTATTGTAAGCTTTGAAAAGTGATTGGATTTGGGTGATGATTATCATCTTCACCAAAGATAATACTCAACTCCTTACATGATAAAAATATATATCATCTTTAATTATAAAATTAAAGATGAGACACATATTTACCTATGATGATCTAATTAAATATTAAATTTTAATTTTATAACTAAAATGAACGCGTTCATTTGTTATTGATCCACTTCATAAACAAAGACTCAAATATTATGCCTTTCGGCGATTGGAGTGAAGTGCTCATATTTTGCAATATGAGTTATAAAAAGAACTTGAGTTCAAAGAAAGAAACAAATGCTATGGTATAACTATCAAATACCAAAAGCTGATATTACCTCCTCTACCTTTCAAACTAAAAGACGAGAAATTTCTTACCATGACAAATAATAAGTCTATCAAGCGTAAAGGCCCTTGCCACACGAATTATTGTTTTTATGTTCAAAAAAACAAATGATACTCTATTCTAATTAAGGTATAGTACGTCGGATGTATTCAAATGCAAAAATGATACTCTATTCGAAGGTGGTATAGTACCGTGAATGTATTCAAGTGTTGTATGTGAGTGCATCTAAGAGGAAACTTTGTTTAGTGTTCAATGTGAGCGCATCCAAGAAAAAACTTTGTTATGTTTTTCCTTGCACGTGGAAATATTATTAGTTGCTCTTTGAATTTAAATATTACCAACAACCAAACATTAGATGAGAGAGAACAAATTTATTGGCGATCAATCTGATGCCATGATCGTTACATACAAAGTTTCTTCTGGACTATAGTTAGGACACCCCCCCCTACATTAATTGACACGCATTACTTCCTCTCCTGCTAACAAAAGTGACTAACAATTTAATTACTATCTCTCCCAACTCCAACATATCCCTATATCTCAGCTGCCATGGTATCTCTTTAGCCACTCTCTCTCTCTCTCTTACACACACACACACACACACGAAATACACACATACATATATTTTAAATGTTTCATGCATGTCATGTGCTGCAGGGGGACGAGGAAACCATAAAGAAAGATTACAAGCCTCTCAGCTGCCTATCATCTAACAATGAAAGAGGAGGATTCAGAGCAGCTTCTTTCATGTATGGTAAGCCAAACCGAATCCGGATCTTTTGTAGTACAACATTATACTTCATTTGAGAATTCTTGTTACTACGCGCGTAATCACAGTGTATGATGTGAACTGTCAGAAGCAGTATAACACTTGTGTTGAACTGCACTTAATCACACTAGCTCAAGCCAAATTAACCACCAAGTTAAGGCAGAACTTGTTTTACCGTAAAGAATACCGATATATTTTTGTAGTGTCTCAAATAGATAGAGCCAACAAGAACTCTTTGTCACAAAAAGATCACACATATTTTCTCGCTCTCCTTTAAGAGTTTCTATCACTTATTGCCACATCGATTGGTAACAAAAACAAATCAACAAGTTCAATTTTTTTTTTTTTTAAACGATGTTATATATATATATATATATTAATTATGTGAGTTTGAATTGTATTCATTTTTGTTTGAAGTGTTGGTGTCACTGGAGAACATGGCATTCATAGCTATGATGACAAGCTTGTACCTCTACTTCAATCACGAATTGCACTTTAATATTGCTGGCGCTGCAAACACTCTTACAAACTTCTTGGGAGCAACTTTCATACTCTCCATGGTTGGTGGCTTCGTTTCAGACACTTACATCACCAGATTCCATACTGTTCTCCTTTTTGGACTCGTTGAAGTATTGGTAATAAACTAACTCACCCTTTTTACTTTATTTCCAAATTGATATATATATATATTTCAAGCCAAATTGATATCTTAATTTGGTTCTGTTTGTATTGATATATAATGTTGTATATAATGTTTGCTCTTTGTTTGAAAACTCATTCAACTGTTAGTTTTTAATGGACCAAGTGTTTATTCAATTAAATGCGTTTGACAACGCAATTTGAATATCACTAAAAATTATTGATGCTGCTTGGTAAAATTTTTAGGGTAATATCAGATGCTGGACTTTGAAAATTAAAAAAAAAAAAAAAATTTTGGACACGGACACGCGTGTTCGAGACTTGGACACGTGTCTGACACTTCTGTGAAGTGTCCAGAAATTATTTTTTATTGGACACAGGGTGGACATGGCTCGGACACGTGGAGGACACGAGGTGAACATGGCTCGGACACGCGGGGACACGGTGGGGTATATTTTGTAATTTTTTTTAGGGTACCTAATGTAATTTACTAATTTTAAAGGTTTAAAAGTAAAATTTTGAAAAAATAAAAAAACAACTACAGACAACAAAGTATTACACAAAAAATTTATTTCTCACTTCCTCTCTCAGTCTCTCCTCTTCTTCACTTATCTCTCTATATGAACAAGACATTTTTTTTTTAAGTTATATGAACAAGATTTTGTGAAAGATTGAAAGTATATATGTTTATTCATATACATATTTAGCATATTATAGCTATGTCTCTTCTGCACATCTTCGTTTGGAATTTGAATTAACTTTATTTTTCATTTACTTTCTGTTCTGTCTTATCTATGTTTTTCTTATAACAGAGATGATTTTATTGAAATTGGTCTTGTTATTTGTTGTTATTTTATCTGCAATTTTGTATTCATATATACCTGTTTGTTATTAAGAAAATGAATGTGCAAGGTTCTAGTAATTATATTTTGAATATATAATTATATATATATATATATATATATATATATATATATATATTATTTTATGGGCGCATCCTCGCCGTGTTTGTGTCCTATTTTTTTGAATTTGCTGTGTCGCCGTAATATATGTACGTTGACTCCTCTAACTTACATACTCAAGTCAATTTGGGCAGCAGAAGTCAGATCAAGTCAACTAAACTTTAATAAAGGTTGATTAACGTAATTTTCACTAATTTTTTTTTCCTAATTGGGTACTCACACACACATACCTCTCCGGAGGCTCGAACTCCTGACTTATCTTTGAAAAGTAAGGGCTTGATACTGTTAGACCACTGGCCTGTTGGTTATTTTTCACTAAATTAAGCCATGCATAGATAATAAAGACTAGCTAGTTATTAAACGGAGGAAAAAGAATAATGATAAGTAGCTAGTTTGAAAGTTGAATGTATCGAACTGATTTTTGTGAGTGAGGAATAATGTTAATATCATTCTTTATTCCCATGATTTTAATCAAATTTGTCCGATTCTCGAATTCTGTATCATTACTCGATAAAAAAATTTAAATACAAAATTTAAATGGTACTATCAAACATTTGTCATTATTTGCATAGAGTGAGTAACCTTCTTTGAATCTGAATTTTACCCGACCCTTGTGGAGGATGCATGGTGCCTGAGAAATTTAGTCGGGACAAAACTCCGAATACCCAGTTACCTATATAAAAAATATACTTGGTAAGTATATGTGTATGTATATATAAATATCCCCCGAAGCAGATTTTATGAGCTAATCAATTATTATTTTCCCTTTCTAGCTCTCTTACTTCCTTCATCTCCAATGCTCAATACAAATTCATTCTGGGACTTTGTTAATATAAAAAGAAATGAGACAACAATTTTAAACTGCATTACAATGCTCTTAATGATTACAGTAATTTAATTAGAACACAATTAAGCTCTTGTGTCTACACTTGTAGGCTTTGGTGTTGATGACAATCCAAGCCCGTTACAAAAGCCTGAAACCAGAAGACTGTGGCAACAAGTCCTCTTGCATGGAAGGCGGCATAGCAGTGTTGTTCTACACCTCACTGTGTTTGTTGGCATTGGGTTCTGGTGGGGTCAGGGGTGCACTTCCTGCACTGGGTGCAGACCAGTTTGATCAGAATGACCCAAAGGAGGCTAAAGCTCTTGCAACCTACTTCAACTGGCTCCTGCTCTGCACCACCTGTGGTGCAACCGTTGGAGTCACTGTCATAGCTTGGGTTAGCACAGATAGAGGCTGGTGGGCGGGTTTCTTAACATGTACATTGGTTACCCTTGCTGGTTTTGTCGTTCTTGCCATTGGAAAGTCTTCCTTTCGAATTCAAGTCTTCGGAGATAGCCCTATGATAACAGTTGCACAGGTCTCTCTCCCTCTCTTTGAGCATCAACCCTTATAGCCGTTGGAGTCACGTGCTGAATTTGGATCAAAATCCTCTCCCTTCACGTTTTTCTGCAGTTCTATTTGGTTGGTAAAGTTCATTACTATCAATCGGTTAATTTCGTTACTATAATGGTGTGAAATTCACTTGTTTAAATTTCGTAACTATTTGGTTACTGGTGACTTTTAAACCATTATAGTAACGAAATTCACCATTACTAGTAATGAACTTCACCCACCGGATGGAACTGAAGAGAATTTTAATCCGTTAAATTTACATCAGCTTCGCAATGCGACTGCTATGAGAGCATGGATTAACTAATAGCTTCCATGATTCAGCTTTTTCCTTATATATATAACTTATATTTTGTTAATTGATTTTGACAGGTGATAGTTGTGGCAATCAAAAATCGAAAGTTGACACTTCCAGAGAATGCTGATGAACTGTACGAGACCAGTGAAAAAGAATCACTTATTGTAGGGCAAAGAATTCCGCATACCAACCAATTTAGGTAAAGTTATTGAAATCCATATTGAATCATTTATAGGAAAAGGGATGTTGACGAAAGTGAGTTGCAATAAAGTAGTCAAATAAGGCATATGATTATTTAAATTTTCTTAGTTGAATTAATCGATTGACCAAATATAATAGCCTAGTGGTATCTTATTTTCTTTTTCAAATAAAAGACAGAAAGTCATTTTACAAGGGAGTTATCAAAATAATCGGTCGCACTGAGCAGGAGTGGAGCCTACATACGAGTGTACTCATATGCTCCACTCGAAGACTGCTTGCCACTCTCAAACTTGACTCATTTGGCTCCCTTTAACCAATTTCAAATTTGGATTCAAGCATGAAGTTAAATATTAGGAGAAAAAAAAATGATGTTCACGAATCCAACAAGTCAAGGGTTTCTTGAGGTTAGGCTAAATTACCTGATATTGTTGTTAATGCCATACATCTAATGAAAAAAAAAACACACACACACACACATACACATATATATATTATTCACTAGTCAAATATCTAAACATTTTGTATTTATGTTACAAGGTGCCTTGACAAGGCTGCAATTGTTCCCAAAGCCTTTGAACCCTCGGGATGGACAGTCTGCACAGTGACTCAAGTCGAAGAAGTAAAGATTTTGACAAGAATGCTACCCATTATCGCGAGCACAATCTTAATGAACACATGTATGGCACAACTCCAGACCGTCTCAGTACAGCAAGGGTTCAGAATGGACCGGTTTATAGGCAAATTCGAAGTTCCAGCAATATCAATCCCGGTGATCCCACTCGTCTTCATGTCCATTCTCATCCCCATCTACGAGTTCCTCTTCGTCCCATTCGCCAGGAAGATAACTAAACATCCCGCCGGCATCACACAGCTCCAGAGGGTGGGAATAGGGCTCGTCCTCTCCATCATCTCCATGACCATAGCCGGACTGGTGGAAGTGAAAAGAAAGAATGCATCACTTAAGAATCCATTGAAGCCGATCAGCGTCTTCTGGCTTTCGTTGCAGTATGGCATTTTCGGAATCGCGGACATGTTCACACTGGTGGGATTGTTGGAGTTCTTCTACAAGGAAGCTCCCGCGAGCATGAAATCGCTCTCCACCTCGTTCACATGGATTTCTCTGTCTTTCGGATACTTCTTGAGCAGTGCTTTCGTCGATATCATCAACGCCGTCACCAAGAGATTAGCTCCGAGCAAACAAGGATGGTTGCATGGACAAAACATTGACACCAACAATCTCAATCTTTTCTACTATTTTTTGGCCATCCTTAGCGGCCTCAACTTTCTCATCTATTTGCTTTCGGCCTCATGGTACAAGTACAAAACCGAAGACTCTGTTCCTGAGCCCAAATTCAGTGAGCCCAAGAAGATGGATGTGGATGATTTACCACCTCCTCCAAAGGAAGAAAGTACAGATAAAGACTCCACAGTAGAACTGATAACGGGTTCTAAAGAAAAAGAATAGAATGTGTGTTGGTCCAATAATGTTTTCTCTCTTTTTTTATGCTTTTATTTGTTTTTATTTAACTTCTTTTTTTTTTTTTTCTGTATGTAATCTTTGGATATTGTTTGTGAGAAAATGTTTAAACTATGCATGGTTAGACTGTAGGGGTATTGTGGTAATTGAGTCAAATTTGGTAAAACTCGGATGTTTTTGTAATATTAATAAGAATTGAAAGGCGTGTGCGCGCGCCTGTCAAGAGTCCTTCTAGCTGGCATGATGGTGATTAAGATTAATGTATGGATTTTGCACGTCATGCATGATATCATATGCTAAATTAACATATTTTTTTCCACTATCACTATGATTAAGCACAAAAGTTAGATGGTAAAATATTGACAATGCAATCCAAGATTGCAGTTTAGTGGTGTCTTGTTAGAGGATTTTGTCCTACATTAAATTTGACTGTAAAGGGTGTTGAGATTGTATATATGCAGTTATCAATTCTACTTAACAATTTAAAATTTTGGACAAATCACAATCACCCAATTTGTACGTGTTTCTTTTATCTCTAAAAGTAAAGGTGAATATCATCAAATCAGTAATAGTATAATAGTTCTGGGTGTGTTAGGTGCACGTTGCATTGGCATTATCAATTCATATGTACCATATTGTCACGAAGTGATTCCTAAGATGCTTGGAGGACGGAAGACACGCATGTTAGTTGGCAAAGAGCAGAGTTTGACTGGAAATGATTTCAGGGAAGGGGCGTGCAGGAGCACATGATGGAACCTCTTCAGAGTTTAGGCAGGTCGACTCAGTTCAGTGCGAGGAGCTTGTCGCTGGTCATGGACTTGACTATGAAGAAGGGAGTTGGCCATTCCTGCACAAACTGGTCGGGAGCTGGAGTCGTTCCCTTGACGAGGCCAAGACAGGTCGAAACCAGTCAGCATGTATCCTTAGAATGGCAGGTCGTGGTGGCTGACCAGGGCGCTTGCGCGAGCTGAAGCAACGCCTTGGTGCCGCACGGGTCGTGCCGCTGTGCCAAATCTCTAGGCCCGTGACAAATGGTATCAGAGCAGGACTTGGGGTAAAGCACGGTGGGGTGCCCCCTTGTAGGTCCGGGAGGGGTCAGAGAATGAAGACGGTGCACTGAAGTTGCGTCGATGAGGAGGAATCAATGCAGTTGGGGGGAGAGCCTCCATCTCCCTAGGAAGAGGCGTCCGTTGAAGTTGCGCACTGGAGGGCCGGAGGGTCGCGAGCACCAAAGTTCGTGCTTAGTCCTTGAGTGATGCAAACCATGGTGAAGGGTGAGCATCAAGTTGGCAAAAGGTCTTTGCTTGCTCGGGATGTGGTGGAGGCGGCATGACGGAGAAAAGTCACGTCATTGAGGAGTGGATGTCCCCTTGGTCCGAGGCCTATCATTGGGCGAGTGTAGTGCAGGGAGCTGCACAAGGAAGCAATGGTGGGAAAGCGAGCATACCGTATAGAGGCAGACTTTGGAAGGGAGTGGACGCAGTAGTGAAGCTCCGCATTGTGATGAGGGCATCGCAGGATTTGGGTGGGGGAGAGTGTCACGAAGTGATTCCTAAGACGCTTGGAGGATGGAAAACACGCATTTTGGTTGGCAAAGAGCAGAGTTTGACTAGGAATGGTTCTAGGGAAGGGACGTGCAGGAGCACATGATGGAACCTCTTCATAGTTCAGGCAGGTCGACTCGGTTCAGTGTGAGGAGCTTGTCGCTGGTCGTGAACTTGACTATGAAGAAGGGAGTTGGCCATCCCTGTACAAACTGGTCGGGAGCTGGAGCCGTTCTCCTGACGAGGTCAAGGCAGGTTGAAACCAGTCAGCATGTATCCTTGGAAGGGCAGGTCCATCAAGGCGCTTGCGCGAGCTAAAGCAATGTCTTGGTGCTGTACGGACTGTGTCACTGTGCTAAATCTCTAGACCCGTAACAATACGTATCATATGCGTCTGCGCAAATACAATACGTAGGACTTAGGTGAGACCAGTGCACGCTCTGCCCAACGCACCCAAGTTCTTATTATGACAGTAGGGGTATGATTTTCTTGGCGGTCCCAATACATTATTTTTTTTCGTTGATAGAAATCACAAAATGATTACTTTGGTGGAGTCAAGGAGGATGTAGATGTTTGGGACCTTGGGTTGCTTTCACCAAGCCACTCTCCTGTCTTGGAGAGGGCACATCAGACCCTACCTACGACAGTGTGATGGCTCATAATTGTGTCAAAAGGACATAAAAGAAGCCAATGAAAGCTTCGAAATTAAATATCTGGGCCATGCCCTCTCAAACTTTGATGGGCATATGTATGTCACCCATGATGGAAGGAATCTCTTTAATATGTATATATATATGTTTTGTGTGTGTGTGTGTGGTGGGTGTCTGCAAAATATGTATGAGTCATGAGCCACCAACCAACAGACTTAAATTATCCACGGATATGGATATAAAATTAAAGAAAATTAAATTTCAATTATATTCATTTTATTATTTTGAGTCCTAGGCTAGCCCCTTTAATGGGAATCGGGATTTTCTCCATTGCAATTTTATGTTTAGTAACGTTCCAATGCTTTTAAATTAATAATGCAACAATAACTTTAAACTTGCGATGTAGTAGTAGTGAATTTTTTATTTAATATTGTTACAATATCATATAAAATATGTTACACGAGTTTTGTTTCTTTAATATAAAATATGTTTAGAAATACCTCATTACCTCTAGGTCAAACAATGAACTCAGTGATCAATGCAATCAGGCTGAAGCTATTCTCTGTCAAGAAAGTTGAATGCCCCTTTGAGAGAGAAATTGCAGTAGATTGCAATCTCTCATATTCTTTTTATGAGCCTGACCAGTCAAATCCCTTCTTTCATTTTGTAACTACTCAACTCACCCAAAATCCTCCACCTCTACCACCACCATCATTTCCACTGATCCCAACTTCTCAACACCTTTCCCGACCATAACTAGTAGTGTGGTTCTTCATGGTTTGTTGAGTCATCCCACCCGAGGATGTGGTTGAAGGTAGTTAATGCTATGGATGGAGAATGTTATATTTGGGCATTTGGGCCTAGCTCGGTTAAAGACTTCCTTGTAGGTTTCTTTGGGCCACTATAGTGGACTTTTTACTTCTTATTTCCATGCCCAGTTTTGTATGGGCTGAAGGACTTTCTTGTAATTTCATTCTTTTTTAATGAATTACTTATTTATCGAAAAAAAAAATATATAAAATATGTTACATCGATGAATGTTACATATGTTATGGAAGCATGTTGTCATGCCAATGCGACCATATCCATGGTTTATAAAATCCATCATCTACTGGTCTGACATATAAAAATACAATCCCTAACTAAATGATACAATTATTTTTCCTAAAATATATTTCTTTATCTTTCATCACACCGTGGAAGAGCCCAATTCAGTTGACCTTTTTGTCTAAAGATTAAGATGAAGTGAACCTTTTTATACAAACCAATTCAATGAAAATAAAAATAAAATAAAATAAAAAATCGCAAAACCAGAAAAAATGGGAGTAATTCCAAAACCACTTTCCAAACAGCCCCTATGCTTTCCCACCATCAGCTTCCCACCATCAGCCCAAGACCAAGATTTACAAGGTGTAATTGTCCATGACGAAAGTCAAAAACAACTCAGTGACCCGACATGTGACATGGGACCTAGGGATCACGTGCTTTCTCCTGTGTTGATGTTACGTCATCGTAAAAATTTGACCAAGACATGTTCTTTGAAGATGACATGTACGTACATATATATATATATATATATATATATATTATGGGTATGTGTGTTTTTCTGTGTGTATCAACTTTGATGAAATATTTCAACTCGATTTTTTGTGGTTTTATTCTCTACAATATGTATTGCTTTATTCTCTACAATATGTATACATACACTTCTGATTCTTGCTAGCCGATTGCCATACTCATTATCATTGTTATTATTTAATCCTCTTCAAATTTTGTAATGGCGAAAAAACAAAAAAAAAATTTTTTTTTTTTTTGGTTTACACTTTAACTCAGTTCTTACTCTATTCTAGCCATTTAACACATTGGTTTTATTTTTCACTCGTTGGGCAAATGATACATACACAAATATTTAAGACAAATTAATTGATTGTAGTATTTGCCGTGTATTTATAGAATTGAAACATTAATATGTGTATCATAATTCGTTGTATCAATCGATTTGTCTGTGATTACACATTTTTATGAACCAATTCTTTTGATCGATTTAAATAGGTATTCGTCCAAATCGACCACAAATAATCAAAACATGACATCATACAATTTATATGTGAATGTTTATAAAGGGTTGTGGACTTTCTTTGTCTTTTTGTTGAGAATAAAAAAATCTAAAAGAAAATAACACAGATTAAAGAGAAAAACAAAAGAAGAAATCAATATAATAAGAGGGTAGCATAGCCCTATAAATAAAGTAGTACAGATCAAAAGCTGGAACCACCAGTGAAAAACGAGAGTGTTATGTTTATTTTATCAATCAAATCAAGCTTTGCATCATAATTGGGAAAGTCATCAAAAGTTGGCTCAGTCTTTTGATTTTAGCCTCTTTGTTTCACTCAACTGTCGGCAGGTCTTGACCATCCCCTCATTTTTAAATTGTGTTTGATGGTATAGAATTTGAATTTTAAAATTAAAATTTGTAAAAATTGAAAAGAAATTTAATTTAGTTTTTCTAATCACTTTTTTTTAATTCTACAAATTTTAATTTTATACAATCAAACATAATTTTAGTTATAAATAAATTTGTTTGTATATTCTCCTGACATTAGAAAACTCGTTCACGGTTAGATTATTCTCGCAATATAAATATTATAAGAATAAATTAACTCTATAATTATTTTGGTTCATGATAAGTTCATTATTCTTACTTGTTCAATTTAATTTATTTGGTTATGGAATTACTTCATCTTAATAAGAGTGTAAGAGCTGTGTAAGCCTTATAAGATCGACTTCTCTAATTCTCTAGTTTATATTGGGCTTCATTCATATTTATTCAATTCCAAATTTGCCCCTGAACATCTTCAACATGGTATTTCGTCGGTCGTTCTGGTACCACTAAGTAGTAGGTCCTCTGTGTTGAGAAGTAAAATGATTTGTAACCACAGGATTATAATAGGATAAAAAATGAATAACAAGTGTGGTCCACGTCAACAGTAACACACGAAATAAGTAACATAAAAGAAAGAAGAATCACACGTCACATAACACACAGTGTGAGTCTTTCAACAAATATTTTTTAAAAATTGTGATATTAGTAGCATAATACAATTCAAAATTTCGGTCATCGTCATTTGGCCTTCACCATGTATATCAACTCTCTAATCATTGTATACGTGGAGATCTTTTAAATGTGAAAATATGGAGAATAATATCTATACAGATTGAGTAAATTGTTATAAATGATATTAGAAATAATTTTTAGCTGAAAAAAATGAAGAGCTCATGAAAATTAAATCAAGATGCATAGTCTAAAAAATGAGTGATTGTGCCGTCTCACGTCACTTTCATTTTAATGAAAACTAAGAATACTGTGCAAAATAAAAAATATCTACGCAGTTGAACCAACAAGTACAAAAGCCAATTAACCTATGTGAACTACCAAACAACTATCGTTTTCTCAAGGAAGTGGTGTGCATTTCAGCATGCATTAAACGACATTAAACAATTAAGAGAGACAATGACCAGGAAGTGGATTGCAACTCTTTCTTGTTATCATATATGTCCATTTACGGACACAAGTTGTCACAATAATTTAGGCTGTAAAGTGATTTAAGTTAGTTTTAGCAATGGTTCAAAGTGACCAACGTTTTTTGGTAATATGTCACAATGCTGTCTAATTTAATCTATTAAATGAGATGACTAAGGACTCAATGGATGGCAATGCGGCAATTTTGGACAGGTTTATCCTTCCCTTTTCTTCCCCTCAATTGTTTAGAAATTTTCACGTTGTCCTTATTCCCAAACAGCCTAAACAAGGGGCCTTTTTCTCTAGAATGGTTAAGAAAGTGAATGAATGTAATTTTAGATTTCTAGAACTAACTATATATACTAATAAAATAAAATTAATTTAATAATTTACCTAACTAAACGGGACAGGATGACTTACCTTTACCCTTGCTCCGAACTCGCACTGATTTTCATTAATAAAACCCATTTCGGCCCAAATAAACTATACAACCTCCCAAAATTGATATAAAGAAGGTGGAGTGGGGCGGGTATCCGTCCTCACGGGACAAATTGCCATCCTAAGGAGTCTATTCTAAATCTTATTTTAAAAGCCTATCTCATTCAATAATAATCTCTTATTAAATAGATTATCTCTTACGAGGAAAATGACAAGTGACGTATCTAATTAATTTAATGTGAATAATAACTAGTATTTGTATGGCAAATTAATGACATCATAATTCATAAGATGTCTCTCTCACTTACATAAATTAGATTTGCCACTTTGGGGCTTCAAATCATTATACATATAACATATCCTAGTACTTGATTTCTGTCAAATTCAATGTAAACCTGATTTGGGCATATTAATTAGTACCAGCAGTAATTACGTGAATGATTCATATATTATTTAATCCCATTTAAAGATGGGTGACTTACCAAAAGCACAACAGTTTGATGACCTATTGACCGAATACTGTATTCACATCCAACGGTGATGCAGTGCCTGTTGTTTCAATCACTCCCTATCAGCTGTGAGTTTAGCTTTTCCCCTCTTCAATTCTGAAAAGGTTCATATAGGATTCGAAACATGCGTTCAGTACAATTATTATTATTCAATGTTAAAAGTAAATAAAAAAAGTAAATATTCTTTAAAATGCCCGGCAAAAACACCATTGTCAATACTTAGCTCACAACATTCATTACTTTCTCTCTCTATTATCTTCTTTTACTTTCCTCCCTCCGGAATCAGATTATTGTTTCCGTGTTTTGCTCTCTTTCGCTTTCTCTCACACACAGTCACACACACATGCTTTTCTGTAATGGAATAATAGCATAGGGGTTGATTTGTTTTCTGTCTCACAAACATACACACACAGTCGAGTGAGAGTAGCATATCCATGACGAAGATTGTGTGTTTGTGGGTTGTAATCGTTAGTGGATTAATGTGTAGCAGATGGGTTGTTGATGGTCATGAGTATGATTATTTCAACAAAACAGAACTACCATTTTTGGAGTCCTTTTATGGAATCTCTGCTGCTGCTACTGGTGATAATCCTCTTATGATAGGCCTCACCCTTATTCAAGGAGCTAATGCCAAAGGAGCTGGTATTGATCTCTCTAGAATTGTGTGTCTGAATTTTTATGCTGATTTCTTTGTTACTTCACATATTGTCGCTTGATCTATATCTACATTGTGTTGATTCCACTATTTTTTATTTTTTTTGTAATTTATTTTAGTTGAAAATCATGTATCATTGTCTTGTCCGTGTGATACCCACTTGTGAATATGCTTGCTCGTGATATCAGAAATTAGATTTTACCCATTGTATATTTTTATTCACTAATTTTTTATTTTTTAATCTCACGGGCGGATTATTTTTCATTATATTTATTTTCTATATTCAAAATAACTTTCATAAGTCTCTTGTTTTTGCATTGGTGATTTTATTTATTTTGTGTAATTCACATTCTTACACCAGTTGAGTGATCTAATTGGTGACCTTTTTTCATACCCGTTTTCTAGATGCTTGCATCTCTCTCACACAATTAAAGATAACATCATTTGTTTATTGGGTAATTTTCGAAAAAAAAAATCATTTGTTTATTGGGTGTCCCTCTTGTGTATGTGAGAAACTCTCACTTTTAATTTTACATGGTAAATTTATTCTTATATGTAGTGGAGGAGCCACATATAGTCCAATGGGTTTTTTGATTTTTGATTTTTGATTTTTGTTTTTTTGATTATGTATATTAATTTTAAAAGTTGTGAACTTACCCCTCTAAAATTGTTAAAAATGTTTAGCCTTAGGCTTTTCAACCCCTTTCTTCTATCAAATATTCTCTTTTCTTTTCCAAATTCTCTGTCCCTCATTCTCATGTTCCACACCAATTTCATCTCCTCTATTTTGGCCATTAATGTCTCCCTCTTTTATTCTATTAATCTCTCTCCAAAGCAAAACCACCCGGTGAAAAAACTATATCAATCTCAGATCTTGACTCTAAGCTCGTATGCTACAAACTTTAATGATCTAATCCCCTTTTCCTTGTGTGTTTTACTTTTACAGTCTGTTTGGATGGAACATTACCTGGTTATCATATACATCGTGGATATGGTTCAGGGGCAAATAGTTGGCTCATACAGTTGGAGGTTTGTGTGACAGCTTTACAAATCATTCTATTGTAAGCTATTAATACATCATTAATAACACAATTAGATCTATAGTTCTTTATAAGTCCTGGGATTCTAGTGTCTGGAATGCTAGAATTTTGATAAAATTAATTATTTCCATTATAAAGAATTAGTATTTCTTGTGGCAACCAGAGCTCGTAAATCTAAAAAACATTTTATGCTGTTTTGATGACCTTAAAAAAGAATAAAAAAAGTATATAGTAGTTTAGTTTAGACTGCAGAGAACGATGAAGTGATTTTATAGTTTTTAGCAGTGTGTTACAACTTACAAGCATTGCATTTGGCTCACCTAAAGTAATTATTTTGCTGTCATTCATTCTCGGTGCAAGTATATTTAAGAATTTTTCTTGAAATTCTCAATCCTATCTTATTTGCAAGACAAGTTTTGAAACATCTTAGATGACAAGTTATATACCTATCAATCATGTAGGAAATATTATCCATCTTCGGTTTTAGTATTATTCTTTTGTTTTTTTTGATAAGTACTTTCAGTTTTAGTATTATTCAATTTTTCATGTATGCAAATTTATGGGTAACAGAAGTCATGCTGCAGATCTTTTCAATTAAATCTAATGCTGTCCTTGGTTGAGAACCCAACTTTGTGAAACATCTTGTTGCAGGGTGGAGGATGGTGTAATACCATTAGATCTTGTGTTTACCGCAAAACAACTCGGCGTGGATCATCAAACCATATGGAAAAGCAGATACCATTTACAGGAATACTGAGCAACAAGGCTGAAGAAAATCCAGGTTCTCTCTCAAACTACTTATCTCAAATCTTCAAATGCAAATCCACTTTTTCGTTCAAGTTGTTGTTAATATTAGTATTGTTGTCGTCATCGTCGTCAATGTTGTTGTTGTAGTTATTGCTTCTGTTTGGCCTTTGCACATGACTGAAAGTTTTCTCACTCCATGGGGTTTCTATGTGCCAGATTTTTTCAACTGGAATAGAGTAAAGCTTCGTTATTGTGATGGTGCTTCCTTTGCAGGGGATGGTGAAGATAAGGTTGGTTTGAATATCTCTGTTTTCTATTTTTCATGTATGATTGATTGCGATGTCTTTTTGGCTTCCAAAAATTGGAACAGAAGAAATGAAACCTCGGACCTTACAGCCAACATTCTGATCCCGGATAATTTTAAAATGTTATATATTAAGGTTATTTTCTTTTCCTCCTATTTTTTTGGTAATCAAATGGTGCATAGGGGCATGAGGTTTGTGGAAAATATTTGTCTGGACTAAATCAGTTTATGTTGTCTATTTTCTTTAGATGACTTGCCAAATAAAATTCTCTAGATTTGCTGTAATTATGATAATGAAGAAATCACAGAATTATGTTTCTGGGATTAACATTGCTCCCTTAAAAATGGATTTTTAGGTTTTTGCTTAATTACATGTGATCTTCTCTTGATATGTGATGATAAAACAGGTGTTTTTATACATATTATGTGTGTGTGTGTGTGTTCTTTAGGCTAGTCTTCAGCCATAATAACATTGTACAACTGGATACGTGAGAAATTGAAGTTAATGATTACTTGGAAGAGATAGCAAATGACAATCAGCTTCTTGACCCACGAAATCCTACATCTAATCAGTGCAGGTTTGGGCCATGACAGTGGATCTTTTTCCTACCAGCTACTTTGCATATTCTGACAGCTAAAATGTTGTTATGATCTTTCCAAATTATAGTACTAAACATTTATTTTTGCAAATCAAAAGAATTTATTTTTTCGCTGATAAAGAAGACACAGAAAATATGGAAGTCCATAGAGAACACCTACGTAGTAAGTCTCAGTAACAGCCAGTAGTAGGTCAGGTAGTATCCCGTTCGTCCTTGAACCTTAACTTCACGGACTCAAGTCTCCTTGTTGACTCACAACACTAATAAGTGGTGCTTGGAGGGGTAGATTGGACACTAACTTGCAAAAAGTATTATCCAATGTTGACCTGCTTTCGTGAAGTGCTAGGAGGGGAAGATTGGAGACAAACCTATCTTTTGGCATTATTTTTGCACGAAGTGGCTGCTCTCAAACTTGAACTCGCATCCTCACATTGTCAATCCGAGCTTTTACCTTTGCGCTAAGTCCTGACCCATGTTCTTAGTACTAAGTACTTATTTTTATTTTTAGGCTGAACAACTGCAATTCAGAGGACAACGTATATGGTTGGCTGCCATGGAAGATTTAATGTCAAAGGGGATGCGCAATGCCAACCAGGTTTTATATTTAATAAAATTTCCAAATTTATTTCTTCCCACCATTATTCTTCATGTTATATAATGGGTGTGTTTCAGGCTCTTCTTTCTGGTTGCTCTGCTGGGGGTCTAGCTTCTATATTGCACTGTGATGAGTTCAGTGATTTATTTCCTACTGGTACTAAAGTCAAGTGCTTGAGTGATGCTGGATTATTCCTTGATGCGTAAGTACCTATGGAACTTGTATGTGTGTATGCTTCTTGCTTCTTGGCCTAGTTATTGGAATTTTATGTTTCTATAATGGCCGTTGCTGGATTTATATAGAGCTGATGTTGCTGGTGGGCACACCCTGAGGAATTTCTTTGGAGGCGTGGTTAGCTTGCAGGTACTTAAAATTTTACATTTCCTGTTCTTTTATACTATTTAAAGTTTATGACCAACTGTACATACCAAGATTCCGAACTTCAATTTGGTTTACCTATGGTTGAGTCGCAGTCAACTGGGGGTAATGTGTTGAAATTTTAAACCTAAACATTAATTCGAGTTCAAGAATATATTTAATCAAAATTCAAATTGCATTTGTTTTTGTAACTTCTTGAAATTTTGAAGCCACAAATGTGTTGCCCTTAAATGCACAATCTAGAGAGATATAGTTGTAAAAAATCGTTGTTTGTCTCATGATATATATCGACTTTGCCTGTGCTTCCTTTTTCTTTTTTTGGGAAGGGGAAAAAAAAAAGAACAAAAAAAGAAAAGATTAAGAAGCTAAAAGTGCTTTGGAGCTGCAGCTCCACTCCCATTCTTCAGTAAGAGGTGACAGAACTACCTCTTGGCTTGTATGAAGATAGACTTGGCCTATTCCTGTCAAGAACCAATTTCGCAAGACCATACCTACGGAAATTGGCTCTCTAAAAGCAGAGATCAGCCTGCACTCCTAATTTCTGCTAAAGACATTTTGATAGTCTGAAATTGGAGCTCCTTTTGTATCCAAGTCTCTATCTGATGTTTGGATCAAAGAAATAGAAGCCTGGTCATCTGTTTTGCATCTCGATTTCCTAAATTCTCCAAACAAGCATAAAGGGCTTGTCAAATTCCTTCAAAATTTTTTGTGATGCTAGAACAGACTCTGAAATTCATTTAAAGCCAATCATCCATATACCTTCGGGAAGATGGAATCAAACTCCCAGCAGCAGGTGGCTCCTGGATTGGAGACAGAGGTTCCATCTGAGTTGACCTTGTTGCAGAAGTAATTCTGTGCTCATACTTGGGCTTGGATAACCTGTATCAACTTCTTAGGTAATAACATGTAGAAAAATGAACAGGGTTGGAGAGAAGAAGAGATGAGGGGGCAAATAAAGCCTCTTTCCTTCTGTTTCAGAGATGCCAAACACATATTGCAAAGGTGGTGGGCCAGTCACTGTGAATGGAGGCTTAAATTTGGGCATAAGGGGATTTTGGATAAAACCAGGAAAGCAGGAGTTTATAATAAAAGGAGGCATGGTGTTCACCCTATCCCAGACAACTCTAGCAACGGAACATTTCCCAAAGGCATGTAAGGAATCTTCATGCATTTGGAACGTCTAGGGCAAGTAGGATCTGGTCATGTCTAGTGACCCTGTACCAATAAGAAATTCTTCTTTTGCAGTTTTCCAAATAAAGGTCTTAACTCCGGGAGATTCTTACTTTCCTACTAACTTATCAGTTAGTGATGGGGCGCCAAAGGGTTCAGGCTGTCTAGATTTAAGGTATAGCCGTGTGTAATCCTCCTTTTATAACAAGTCTGCCTACCGTGGAGGAAGATCTGCCAAGGGGTTGTTCCATCAGAGGCTCTTCATCAACCCAATGACAAGTGCAGCATTTGATGGAGGTACCATCACCCACCTTCCATATCTCCTGCCTTAAGAAGGTTCCTAGCTGATAGAATGCTTTCATAAGCATAGGAAACATTGGTAATCTGTGGCTGAAGCTGGAAGAATATTCAATTCTAACACAAGCTAGAAGTTTGGTCCAAATAGTAGGAGTTCATTAACCATTCTACAGCCTAATTTACCAAGTTAGTTTTTCCCACTCCTTGGGGCTCCCTTTTTGTGTGAGTTTCACTTTCATATAATCACATTGGCATGTGTCCATTACTGGCATCCAATACCTGTATGTGATGGGGCAGCTTTGCCTGCTGTCTAAGGCCCTCTACTCGTTCTGTTTGACTCACTTTGCCCCCGTCGAATTGGAGTTGTTCCCTTGCTTGATTGTGACCTCTGCAACTGGTTTGTCTGGCCATTCTCATCCAGATAACTAAGTTTGCTACACTGTTAAAGACACAAGCTGCATTGGTTTTGACTTGAGGCAAAGCGGCTTGTTTAGGTCAATACCAATCACAACAGGTAAATTTGCCTTTACTCACATCAACTGTTGCTGTGTCAATTCTCTTTGCCTTATCGATGCCATTTTCTAGCGTGGAGCATCCTAGAGTGGAACTACAAAGACATGAGGCAAAATTTTGAGGTAATAACGTGCCACTACCTATAGACCTTCAGAGGGAACCTTGGTATAGTTGGATGATTGTCAGAAGCAGAAATAGTAGAAGTCTACAACTCAAATTACCAGTTTAACTCTCTTCAGACCTAATTCTCTCAATGCTGCTACAGAGAAACTTACACCCCACCATCTTTCCTATTGCTTTCAGTCAATGCATTCTTCATCAGTTTCCTGATGTGAAGTTTAATATACTTGGAGTGGTGAACAGAGGGCTAACCCTCTTGATTGACTGAAACACAATTTCCCTATCACCATCATTGTCTGACAACAACGAACCTTTAGAATCCGGTTTCCAACCGTAGGGTTTGAACTAGAAGCATCACCTCCAAACCTTGCTCCTCTATAATCCATGGACAGGATCTCATCAGCAAAGTTTTATTCCATAACCATGGTTGAAATCCATTTTGGGGCTATTACGCGGTAGCGGGTAGCCTTACCAAGTGGGCTTTGCAAGGATGTATCAGAATCTCAATCCTGCTTTATTTTAATGGTCTTACGCACCGGGTGATCCTCTTCTTCCAGTGAGCGCTGGGATGGGGGTTTTGTATACATGCTATCAGGTTTTTCCATAACTGTGGTTGAAAATTATTCTGGCACTATTGCGCGATAGAGGGTAGCATGAATAAGTGTGTAAAGGATGGACCAGAATCTCAACCCATGCTTTATTTTATTGGTGTTATGCACTAGCTGATCCTCCTCTTCTAGTGAGCGTTGGAATGGGGGTTCAGTGTACATGCTAGCAGGTTCACATTAGCCCTATGTCTTACATTATTGTACCTTTATTTATACTGCTGTGCAACAATTTGTTCAACCTTTCACATAAATTTTGATATAGTCTTAACTACAAGTCTGCGGCTACACAACTGGTAAAATGGAGATTATTAAGCAAGAATTTTCTAGGGAACTTGTAGGAATGTGGCCTTATTGCTTTCAAGTGCTTAACATGCACTTGGATATTATGTCAATGGCTGCTCTAAGATTCTAAGACTACAGTAGAAGTTGAAGTGCAGTTAGATAAGAATTATATCATTAGTTATAATTGTACTTTGCAACAGTTAGATAAGAATTATATCATTAGTTATAATTGTACTTTGCAAATAAATTAATAGGCTTCCAATTTACAAATAGTAAGATTTAATGAAGGGGTAGAGTAACATGGTGTCAAAAAATAAAAAATAAAAATAATAATAATAAATGATTAAGCAGGGGAAAAAAGAAACCTTCATGTTACATTGAACTCAGAATTGTAATATTTTAATAAAGTGAGTCATGCTCTAGTGGTAGAAAACCTCAAAAAACCTGATAGTTGACATCATCAGCAATTAAAAGTCAAATGCCATGCTTGTCAAATAACTTCTGAATCATGGGTTCCCAGTTATTTCTTCTTTAAGTGTAATCATCCATCATTCTTTCATGTTTACTGATGGAAATTTGTATAATTACCACAGGGGGTGCAAAAGATCCTGCCAAGTACTTGTACTAGCCAACTTGATCCAACTTCAGTGAGCTTTTCATCTTTTCTTTACTTCTCTCAGCACATACATGCACATAAAATTCTGTTACCACTTATATGCTATCAAACTCACCTTGTCTTCGTATATATAATAATTATATATATATACATATATATTTTTTTTTGCAGTGCTTCTTCCCGCAAAATTTGATTGCCAACGTCAAAACCCCATTATTTCTTCTTAATGCTGCCTATGATGCATGGCAGGTAACATTTCTTTTCGTGGATTTTAAAATTCACTGAATGATGCACTGAAATGTCTAGGCTGCGTAGAGACTTAGACACTACATGCTAGCCTACCCAAGTCTGGCTTTTGTCCAGGATTGGGCAATAAGTTGCCTTGTAAATTAGCAGTTGAATAACTGTAATGGCTGGTTTGATAAATTGAACATCTCTCCCCCAAACCCCCCCACCCCCCCCCCCCCCCCCCCCTCCCCCCTCCTCCTAAAAATTCAGGTCCAGGCCAGTTTAGCTCCCTCATCAGCCGATCCTCATGGCAATTGGCTTGAATGCAAAAGGAACTATGCAAGTTGTTCTGATTCCCAAATCCAGTTTCTGCAAGGTGATTTCATATATGAAATAGCTCAAATATTGAGTTTTGTATCAGCTTAAAATAACACGAGGTTAATCAATTGATCTTCATAATTCTTTTCGTTATTTGGAACAGAATTCAGGAATTATATGCTGAATGTGATAAAAGGCTTCTCGACGTCCGAAAAGAATGGATTGTTCATAAATTCATGTTTTGCTCATTGCCAGACAGAAAGGCAGGATACATGGTTTGCTGATGATTCTCCTCTTATTGGCAGCAAGGTACAGCTGACGCAGTTAACCTCTCTCACTAGTTAGAACTTACAATTAACCCCTACTACACTTTTATTAAGTAGAAATTTAAGCTTGCACATGAAGATTGTGCAAGTACGTTAACATCTATTTCCTTACACGTGCACTCAGACACACGCTTACAAATGAAGAGGCCTACAACCTTATAGGGTTATTAAGATTTTAACTTATTATAATTCTCATTTTAGGAGAGCATCCCAAGTAATCCACTAAAGGAGCTGGATAAATTATGCTGAAGCCATTGAGTAGATGTCCTTAGTTTATGCCTCTTTGAGACATCACTGCGTGGACAGTAGCTTTTTATGGTCTTGTGTCTATTCATTAAGGGTGAAATTAACACACCTAAGATTTTTTAAAATCTCTAATGCTTCTCAAAGTTTTACGTAGCATATATTGTTTTGAGGTTTACTCATGAGTCTAGAGCTTACAATGCCTAACTTTGCACATTCTATTTTAATCTCTTAAAACACTGCACAGAAACATAAATGATATATATTAAAAGATGAGCGAGTCTTAAGAAATGATCAGCTATAGATAGCATGAGAGGAGGTTTAAAATCCCAACGGGAAAAGGAATTACAACTGCACCTCTCTGTGTGCGTGCATGCGTGCGTATGTGAACCAACTCTGATGCTATTTGTTAGCTGATATTTTTAAGTATTATGTTTTCCCGTAAAATGTAATTGCTGTTATTTGCTTTCCATTATATATTTTATTTGGAAAAGATAAAGTACACCAGAAATTGAACCAATATAAAGGTAACCTTATCACCACTACAATAAGTCTTAACTGCGTTTTTCTTAATTATTATCTAAAAATATCTCTTACTTGTCAGATAAGCTATTTTGATATTTTCAAGTACCTTTCTGACCAGGTTTTTGTTTGAAATTTATTTTGTTTTGTGAAAGTACTTAAGCTCTTGACCTTCAATAATAGGGAATTCTAATTATTGTCTAATAATGAATGGTATACGATTCAACAAATAGATATCTTAGGTTATTCATTATTGGCAGACAGTTATTCGTAGAGAGTTCAGAGACTCAGAGAGGTTTGAGAGTAAGGTTTGAGTGATTAAATGCTTTTGCAGACACCTTTGATTTCTTTTCGTAGACTTTAATCTTCTCTTCTCATATCTTGTTGAACCAATAAATAGCATTTTTTTGTTTGCTTGTGATTTTTTTTATTTTATTTTATTCTTATTTTGTATTATTTTCTGTGATTGTTTGTGAACAATATCAACACTTGTCTTTGTGCTCTCGTTACATAGGTAGTCTCATCAACTAAAGAGTTATGAACTATCTAATAATATCAAATGTTCCATATTGTGCAGGGGATTGCGCTAGCTGTTGGAGATTGGTATTTCGGTCGAGAAGGGACTATGGCCATCGACTGTGCATACCCTTGTGACAAAACTTGCCACAATCTGGTTTCTAAATAAACCAGCATTTTTATTTTATATTTTAGATTGCCTCATTCATCAAGTCATTTTATTATGCAATATTCATCTCTCATTTATATTAACTTTGCAACTAGGGAAAATTCATGTCAGAAAATAAAATTTTTATTCGCTGGGAAGGGTAAATGGTTCTCTTTTTCCTTTTTCTTTTTAGGTTCAGAGAAGTGCAAAGGGTGATGCGGAAACGTCGTTACTCTATACAGTGTCTTGCTCTTGTTGCTTTTATCCTAGGTTACAATGCAGTGTCTTGCTATTGTTGATTTTAACCTATGTTACATGGACTCGGTAATGTGTCAGCTATATGTTGCATGGACATTGCTAAATATTCATATTGCTTAATCTTTTTATTTTATTTTGTAGAGCAAAACAATGTCTTTATTTAGCATAATGTTTCTTATGAGAACTCTACTTGTTTTGAAGTAATAATATAATTAATTTGAATTAAAGTGCTGGACATTTCATATTCATATTCAAGCATTCTGCATGTATATGGTACAGGAATTAATGTAACTTTTATCATTGATTATTTAATGCTCAATGTTAGATCTAAACAATTTTGAGGAATATTGTTTGAAGAGGTTTTACTGAAGGTTTTAGTTTGGTTCAATTTCATAACCCTGTAAAACTTGAGCATAAGCACAACATGGACAGTGTTGATCATGACTCACAAGGCTCAGAATACAAACACAACCATACATGTATATTCTGCTTTTACACCAATTGGTGCCTTCTCATTAGGGTGTACACGGTTTGGATTGAATCAATTTTAGGACAAGTTAGAACCGATTCACTCTTGAAACCGAACCACACACACACAATCCCATGAAGAAAAAAAAAAAAAATACTCCCTCTTTGGGCTTGGTACAAATAAGTAGTTATACAGGACACTTTTTTACGTTTCAAAAAGGACAGGCTCTAAAAGTTGGGCCAGGCTACAAATGGGCTTCTAATACTTACACTCTGGGCTTTATACGAAACTTGTCCACTAGTCTGAGTTCAGGGACTCTTTGGGAATCTAAAGAATCGATTTATCTGGTTCATTGAAACCCAACATTGAGTTGAAGAAAATGTCTTCTATTTTATCTTATCTTTTGTGAGAAGTTGGTTCAAGCTAGAACTGAATTCAGGCTATCTCTTTTGTACACGTGATTGTTCAGAGAAGGGTAGAGTCAGAAACTTAAATTTCACAAAGTGGGAGCTAAGTCACATAAAGCGGGAGCGAGAGCGAATTCAAGAACGGGAGCGTGAGAGCGGTAGAATTAAGTTATAAATAGTGAGAATTTGAGCCAGAGAGCGCGCGGAGCGTAAGAGTGGGAGCGCGTTCAGAGCGTGAGAGCGACACCTATTGAGAAAGATTGTATGACTTTGGGAGTGTGAAAATGACAAAATCTAAGTTGTAGAATAGGAGTCGGAATAAAAGCATGCATGAAGCGTAAGAACAAGAGTGCACACAAAATGTAAAAGCTACGCCTATTGAGAAAAATTGTCACTTAGCTCTGAACCATCTAGTTCACATTGAGTGATCCAAATTCATAGAGAACTAGCAGGTTTACCTCACATGAATCAGCATAGTAAAAGATAAAACTAGTTCTCAATTGAATTGGTTCTTGAGTTCTTCAAACAACCCCAGCTCAATCCTAGTCACATTTTATTATATGGTGGACGGCAATACTTTATTTGAAGCTAACATGGTCTGAAATTGACCCTTCAAAAAAAAATTTAATATGGTATGAAATTGGTGTCATCGGCGTAAGTAGCGAAATAATAATTATAGTCAAGCCAAAATTCCTAAATTTTTTAACACAAATTTTCTAAGTTTGTCCATTTTGATGGACCTTTTTTTTTTTTTCGTGAAGTGGAATTGAAATTAGAAGGAAACATTGTGGAAAGCTTCATGATAATTGATCCAAATCAATCAAATGAGCAATTTCCTGAGAAGCATAGACCTCGCAGACTCGTAAGATGGCAAAATACTCTGTCTTGTCGGGTACTCGTCCCATCCAGTCCCATTTATAACAGTTATGGGGGTGGTTAAATGGTTTTGGGGCGGTGATAGAGATTAGGATTGAAAACCCGCATGATTATGGGACGTGGATGAGGAAAGGTTACCTCATCCCGCCCCGCCCCGTTTCGTTTATAGTGATGAATTACAATTTTATCCTTATACTTTATTTTATATTCAATAATATTAGGTATATTAAACAAATCTTATTTCATTCTATTTCAATCACTAAATATTCACTTGTATTATTCTTATCCTTGAACTTACATGTTTTAAAGAAAAAGAGGTTAGACACTTGAATGTACATTCATAATTTGGTTTCTAGTAATATATAAGATGAAGAGTTCAAGATGTTGAGTGTTCAAAATGTGTGGGCCAAGTGCTCCACATGTGTCCGCCAAATGTTCAAAATAATAAAAGTTATTTCTTAAATATAACCACGACCATAAAATGTTTGACTTGTATTCATAAAGTGTCGGTGTCCACGGTTCATATACGATCACAGAATTTCATATACAGAACCGACACGAGTACCTTATTGAAATGTCCATACTTGTTAGGCAATCCCCCTTCCCTTCCTAATATCCTTTTCGAGGCACAACTCTTGTGCTCTAAGAAAGCATTGAATTTTCCTCTCCTCTCTTACTCTTAAACCATCAACATTAAGGCATATCTCCATCAAAGAACCCCCTCCCCTGTTCCCCCCATGTGAAGTTAAAGATGTCCACATATGATAATTTGTATGAAATTTTTGGCTTTCTGATTCACCAAGAAATCAAATATTCCTCTCTATATAAAATAAAAAATAAATAAAAAAATATATATATTAAGCTGAATTGGATATTCTTGCTTCACCTATGTTTATGATAATGCTAGTACATCAATAAATTACAAGACATGTCATTGTCCTTTCATATTAACTAGCTGGTGAGTGTTTTTTCTTTGTTGTGGGGTTTAGCCTCCTTTTCAAGTGGGAAGTGCAATACAACCCATCAGATATATGCTTCCAAGTCCTTTCCGATGACATAAAAGTAAAGGTAGACAACTGTAATTCATTGTCTTCATGAATCATGACCATTGATTCCTGAGGGGACTCTCAAAAGTTGAAACCATATCCATTTCTAGGAGCCAACAGTAAGCTCCCACTTAAGAAAAAAAAAAAAAATGGAATCTTTGATCTTCCACTAAAATATCACTTGTAACCATTTCATATATTTCATATTCTGAAAAGGGCTATCAAAAAGAACATAGTAGTGTTGAAGTAATGAAAGAATTTCAGAAAACCAAAACAGATTTGGATATATAGCAGATAGTCACCATCTCCATTTTAAAAGGTGAAAAGAGATATGGATATATATATTTTATATGTGTATATATTTATAGGTTAAACCTGATTATGACAATAGACTTCACAATGGAACATAGAAGATGAAAAAGATACTATAACTAGACAATCTGTAATCTACAATTTGACAGCTGAGCTGAACATTGTTTCTTTCATGAATATTTGGTAATATAAAGCTAAGAACTTTCTAAATATCAGACCTATACACAAAATAGCAAGAAAATTTTGTTATCAGACCTTGAAGACTTCTATAATTCCTTCCTTCTGGAGGCTAAGGAAAATGTCCAAAGATGGGAGTAAGTATCTGGGAATTCTTACTGTATTCATACGCGCCTTGTAAAGATTGTTGCAGCTGGTTCTGAGGCCAAGTAGTGTCTGATCCATCTGTATTAATATGCATTTCAGGTTTAGGCTCACTGTACACATCTTGAGCAGTTTGGTTTTGAATTGCACTTCCTAGTGAAGTTTGGAGAAATTCAGACCATTTGGTGTCTTCAGGATTGTCTTCTAGTGCATGATTTTGGGCTTCTTTCTCGGATTTTACATAGTCTGTCTGACACCATGAGAAGGCACTACTGTTGTCAATCAATGTTCCAAAGTCCCAATTGTGGACACCACTGACATTTGAAGAGCCTATTGAAGGACTATTAGAGGGTGAACTAATGGAAGGCTTGAAACTTGTTGGATTGGTGAAAATTGAGCTTGACATGGACGGTAAAACAGTGGGTGTCATCACAGATTTGAATCCAGAAATCATCTCAGAAGATGTGGGGTGGTTTGGATTGACAAAGAGACTCGTGTTTGGGCTCATTGAGAGCCCTATATTAGCCCCATAGAAAGGGAAATCCCCTGCAAAATCAGAGGCCTTGCAACTAGTGCTTGGCCTGTCATGGGAAGTGAGAATGCTATCTTGGAAGAATTCATGGGTTGGTGGTGGTGTTGTGAAACTTCTGCACTTGTTTTCGATAACTTGGTGGCAGTCCACAGCCGTTGGAGGTGGCTTCGGCTTCTGCACTGCCATTCCCTTGTCCGATGAATTTTCAGCCTTCACGATTTTCAGTTCATTGGATCCCGAAAATGATGTCTCATTGATTTTGGTGGTTGTGGGCACTTTCTCCTCATTCTCAACCTCAGACAGTGGTTTGTGTGTGTTGGGGTCAATTCCTCTCTGCCTTAGCTTCTTCTTGATGGATGAGTTCCATAAATTCTTTATTTCATTGTCGGTTCTTCCCGGTAATTGAGCTGCAATTTGAGACCATCTGATGAAGAATGCACAAGAAACCTGTTTTGTCAAACTCAATGTCCCACAAAAAAAAAAAAAAAATTAGTGGTGAGTGAGTGATAACAAAGTATATATAAACTACCTGTTGCCTAGAACTGCATGGAGTTCAATTATCAAATTCTCTTCTTCTTGTGAGAATGTCCCTCTGTTCAAATCAGGCCTCAAGTAGTTGATCCACCTTAATCTGCAACTCTTCCCACACCTTTGCAAACCTGCCAGTGTATGGTATAATGTTGGAAAAATCACAAGAAAGTTGAGTTCTCAATACCCTTCTTTCTTTCTTTTTTGTCCTTATTTTATTTTATTTTTTTCATTTTAAAAGAAACACAAGGATTTGAGCAAAAAAAGAAAAAAGGGTGTACCTGCTAGTTTAGGGACAGAGCTCCAACAGCCATGTCCATGCTTAGTTATATGCTTTACAAGTTTCTCATCTTCCTCTGGAGACCATAGGCCTTTCCTTAGCTTCTGCTTATAACAGCAAGAGTGCCTTCCCATGTGGCTTGCTGTCTTCTAACTGCAGTGTTGGCAAAAGCTATGCAGAGATAAAGAGACCTGTATAATGTGAATTGTCAGCAAAAGGAGAGGAATCTTGGAAGTGGCTTTTAGGAGACAGAGAGAGAGTTTATAAGGAGATTTATAAAATGAAATGGCAGCCTGGGTAAGGAATCAAATTAATATCAGTAGCCTCAGAGAAATGTCATATTCAAGACTTGATTCCAAATTGTGGGGTTTTTTTTTAAAATTAAAAATATATATATATATATATATGGTTTTTAAATTTATAATTTGATTGTTCTTGTGTTCTTTGCAATGTGAACTTGAAACTCCAATACGAATGGGCTTGCATAAGTGTCATCAGAGGCTTAAGAGTAATGAGTTTGACAGGACTTGTGGGGACATTTTGGCAGATATTTATTTGGTGAGAGGACAAGATTTGTGAAGAATCATCAATCTCATTCTATAGTCCCTAAGTCAGTAAAAATATTGTGTGCCACATGTGAAACAAGTCCCCACAAATTAAACAAGCATAACATTATGGACTTTGTACAATTTTGTTTTGAGATTTTGATGGAACTCTTCATTTCAGCCAAGTTTGTGCTAAGATTTGAAAAAAAGTAAAATGCTCTTGAAGATAAGAAATGCCCAATAAATTAATGACAACAAAGACCTTATACATTCTCTTATCTATAATGATGACAGTATATATAACTTATAAGATACTCAGTACTCCATTGACCCTGCTTCTGTTTCTTGAGTAACTGGTGTGACAGATAGCCTTTAAAAAAAAAAATAGCAAAAATTTCTCTTCATTTGGGTATTTGAGTAATTCTCCAAACTAATGATCACTCTGAAAAATGCCATACTATTATTGGACAGAAATATAAATATACTGATATCTTTGGAAAATAAAGGCTATCTTCCACTTCTCCTAAAAGAGAAAATCCCAATTTTACCAACACATTATTGATGTAAGAAAGAATCAAGGAAGACAAATAATTCAAAACTCCTCAAAACTGTTCATGACTGCTTGTGGAAATTATTTGTCATTTCTTTTCTTTACTTTTGTAAGAAGAATTTTCTTCTATGTCCACATTCAAAGTGTAAAGGCTGCTACAAGAATAATGAAGGAAATAAAATGTTGTAGGTACTTCCAAATGGAGTTGTCCTAATCTTTTGAATTGAGAAATGTATTGCTGAAAGCTGAAAAAAAGGACAACTTTGGATAAACAATGACAAGTTGCAGGCACTTCCAAAATGAGACTATTAATTGCATAACACCATTCAATTAAGTTCTCACCAGACTCCGAAAATCGCTAGATACAAAAAAAAAAAAAAAAAAAAAAAAAAAAATTGCCATTCCCTCTTTGTTTAGATGGAAGATAGCATCTGTAAAGGCTTACGAACGTTATTGGACAAGTAATCTGCAATAGAAGATGAATCATGAATGTAGTAGCATGCAAGGGGATCCTTTGTTGCCTACATGATGGCTATTGGCCAATGTTTATATTTTTTGCTTTTAGAGCAAAATTAGCCACTTTTTGATTGCTTATTGTCTGATTTACACTCCTTTTTTTTCTTTTTTTTCTTTTCCCTATATTATGTGAATCTAATAATGCAACTAACAATACTACGTGGTTATTGTCTTACTATCATTGTTTATAACTTGTCTCATTATCAATGTGTCACTGCAGAAAATTGTGAGTGATACATAACATCCTTCCTTTGGCAAAGCACCTTACAGAGTTTAGTCCTTGCCATGGTCAAATATAAATGAGTTGGAAGAGTTGCATTACCGAATCAATGGTTCAAGCCGCGCTCAAAGGTAGGACATTTACCATTTTTATTATGCTTTGTGTTGAATTTGCTAATCACCAAGTGAAGCAAAGGCCACATTCATATTAATGATGGATCATAGCGAGTGTTTGTAATTTTAGAAGAAATGTAAATATAGAACATTCACGTGTGACTGTTACTTTGTGATTGAATTCATCAAAAGAAAAGAAAAAATTGAGATGCAAGGCAAGGTTCACATTCCAAATAGAACAAAACAGAACAAAACATGGCAGCGAAACAATAGTGTGTATCAGTTTGTGTTATTACAATTTTAAAACCAGTATTCCACATGGAAATTTTATAATGTTTTGATCCAGTTTATGCCTAAAACAATAAATCCATAAGCCTAACAACAAAAACAACAATAATAAAAAATTTCCTTTCTGTATTAACCTTGTCGCCTTCTGACATGAAGGTTTTGCAACCTTAGCAACGTCGTAATTGAAACACTTAATCGAATAATAGACATCAAATTAGGCCCCAGAAGGATATAAATATAATCTCCACAGCTCATCATCCACTTGTTAGATTATTTTATGGAGGTCTATGAGCTGTTCAGTGAAGCCAACTATCAGTACTGCAAGCTAATACTAGTTTTTTTTTTTTTGACATGTTTATAATATGTTGTGCTTTGCTGTTATTGCTAATTTCTGTTCATATTAAATATGAGAACATTCTGTTGCATTTCACAATTTAGTTCCATATCCATACATATATATATATATATCATGAGTGGTCTGACCAAAATGCCCTTCATTTCAATTGACATGAATTTGCTAACCTTTAGAAAGACATTTATTTACCAAAAATAACTTAATTTATAGACACGTATTCCAGTTATCTTTGTTGAAAGCAAAATCTGAATTTTGCAGCCCAGATTTCCTACACACAGTGCAGATACAAGGTGGCTTACACTGTAGATGTGACCATAGGAGTACACTGCGCTGCCAATTCAAAGTTCAAACTCATTATTAAAGAGAAAAATCTGGTAATAAATATAAATAAAGTAAACAAAATTGTCTACCAATGTGGATATACGGATTGTGTCTGCATTCCATGTAGAATTCACATGCAACACATCAATGACTATCAGCAACTGGCAGTGGCCAACTTTAGAATCTTTAGTTTTAGATTCTTAAACACAAGTGCTAAAATAATTCAACATGTTCCATCATTTCTAGTATAAATGACAGCATATTAGCCCATTATCTACATAGGGGGCGTGACACAGATGTTTCTGAATCGAAATTCATGAATATAATTAGATATTTAAAAGATTATAATTGAACAAATGTCCTTGAACAAATGCAAGTGCCTCTTTTTAATATTCTAAAAGCAATCTTTTCCTAAACCCTATGGAAGTGCAAAGGAAGACATCAAATTGACAAGAAAGGGCAAATATCACTCAACATTTTGTGATTACACTTTATGCTTAGTTTAGTATATTTATTTGTTAGAAAAAGAAAATCTTCATAACTTTTCAGTGAAAATTACAAGACATGATGTAAAATTAGTGCTGTCCACCAAGCTTCCATTTGGTGCTTGAACTCTCCTACATCGAGGAATTTGCTACTGACCCAAGTGTTGTCATAATGGCAAAGTGCTATTACAAATTTGAGTAATTAAGAAACAAGAAAATAGGGAAAATAAAATAAAATTTGTAGGAAACATTTCACATTGTTTGTAGGGAACACTGAAATTGATGGAGTTCATTAGGAGTCCATTTGAGTAGACCTTAATACACTTCATTTAGTTGGAGCATTAACACTAGTAGGAAACATAATCACATGGATATTTCATTATTAGTTAAATCTTGAATCTCAAATTCCTCTTTTGGCTTGTCAATCAACCTACAAGTGATGATGACAGAAACACAAACCTTACTATTCACCACAGTCATCTCACCACTTATTTTAAATTCAAAACAATCATAGTAATTAAGCACTACAAGTCATTCACTATTAATCTCTTTGAATGGTCATTTTAATTGGATTAACAACATTAAAAGATGTGCAAACAAAAAGAATTTTAGTCCTTGATTCATGTGAAGTTGAAAAAAAAAAAAAAAAAAAAACCGAGGGCTCAAGATATAGTGGAAATTGAATTAAAGATTCAAGGCAAAAATGTAATAAGGTTTTAAAGTCCTTGAACCCCAGTATTATCTAAAAGTTTATAGGTCTTTAATTCAATCAATGATCAAAAGATTCAAATCCTTTGTCTGGTTGAAATGCTTTTTTTGTCCCCTAATCTTGAATGATTACATCTATGCTTTTTGCTCTGCAGTGGGAAACGATGGCAGAATTTCTTCCAACACTACTACATGATAATCTTCAGTTTTGAGAGAGAGAGAGAGAGAGAGAGGGAGAGCTATGTCATTTTGAGACTTGTTTTGAGATTCTAGGGGCTCTCTTGAGTTGAGTCTTGTCAATCAATAGGATGCAAAAAGGTGTGTTGAGTAATATTGGAGAACAATAAATAAATTTGTGTCTATTCACATTCTTAGGAGGAGAGAGACTTTAGCAAAACTAGTACACACACTACAACATTAATCCATCTCCAATCATACCAATTAGGAAGTTTTTCAATATGCTCTCCATTTCTCCCCCCTCCCTCTCTCTCTCGTCCCCCCCCCCCCCCCCCCCCCACACACCCCTCTCTCTCTCACTCCACCGAAAAAAAGTTTTGATTGCTTATAGTCATCATTGTAGCACACCTAATTCACTATGCTGAGCTACTAATTGACTTTAAAATCAACTTTAACAAGAAGGTCCTTTTTTTTTTTTCTTCTGGGGAAGGCCTATCTGTAGAATGGACTCGATCAGAAGCCGTTTGTAAGTTTGGAACCTGACATTTTTGTGCAGTGATTTGAAAAAGGAAGATATAGACAATGAAAATTTCCAATTTCATTGTGCTGAGACTGACGAAAAACAAAGCAACATTATTTGCAAGTAGAGATTAAAAAAAAAAAAAATGGTATTTGGATGAAGTTTAATAGTATTAGACACAAAAAATATTTGACTTTGTAAAAGAATGATAAGGAAAAAAGATACTTCTATCCCTTTTAGTGTCCCAAGTCCTATAAATTACTATTGTGGCATGGAATGGAAAATTTTCGGCGGAAAATTTATCATATACAGAGAGAAATTCAGAGTTGTGACCGGAGTTTTTCTAGATAAATGCAGAGCTATAGTGGACTGTTATTAACTTCATAAACACAGATGTTGTGTCGTGTGTGTCTGTGTTTTTTTTTTTTTTTTTCAGCCTACAACTCATGCCCCCTTGACAAAGTTTGCAGACTTAGAGAGATTACGAACTCTGACATTGAAGGAACTTGTGCATATGAATCTTAAATGTTTTCATTGTTGTTTCTCTTTACTATATGTTTTCTTTAACAGAATTGATGTGTCTACATATATGCTTCATTCTTGCATGAAAATTGGGTTTTCTTTTGACGTTGCTCTTTTGTTGTAAAATTAATAGAAATTTTCATAGATGGGCTTTCGTAGCACACCCAAACACAAAATATGGTAAAGAGAAAAGGAGCCAGACTTGACCTGTGACAGCCCAATTCGACACACAAAATTTTTCTTTATTTCAAAGGCACAGCTTTGTGTTACTACTTCTGGAAAATCTGCAGACTCGTGCCGATGTCTTAAATGTTCTTATATTTAGCTTAAAAATGAGTATTTGGCTAAACTTGAAGCTGATAATGATGCAATGGCCTAAATCATTAGTATACTGATGTGATCAATCATTAGCTACATGATTCATATTCTTTTATGAGCTCTTCATGTGTATACTCTTTACCTGGTTCGGTCAACTACTATACCATTAAATCAACTCACCCTTAAGTTGTGATTAAACATGTAGTTGGATGCAAATTTGTTTCCATGGTGTCAAGATCGCAGCTTAAAAGTAATTTGCACATATTCTCCCATTTCACAAATTCACTTCCCACAAAAATCCTATGCTTGTCGTTGATTTTAAATAATTATTCTCTTTTTGGCTTCAATAAATGCAGACAAGTAACCATTTCTCTCTTCCAAGTACAATTCTATGTGCAACATAGTATAGTCTTTTAACCATTGGGCTTTAGTACTCAGCCCCTTTTCTGTTCTCATGGCATTGTCTAACCATTCTACTATTTCTTCTTTTTAAACCTCGATTTCCCTCTCATTTTCCAGGTTGTTATGATCACCATGGTTGGCTCTTGTTTCTTCTTTAGTCTTCCCTTTCGTACTCTTGAGGACCGAGCTTAACGCGTTCATCTTCTTATTAAGCTAAAATCTCTCATATTGCTCCCTTTGTTGAAGCTAATTCAAAATGTCTTTGAGCCATTCAGAGGCTTTCTGGAATTCATGTGTTCATTGAAAAGTTAACCCTTTACTAGACACTAGACAGAACCATTGAGGTCACTAAAATCTGTTTCAACCCTGACATAAACCTCATTGAGTAAGTAGTTCTCTAATATTATTGAGACCATCAATTCTGTGTCTACGAACAAAAAATCCCAACAATTTTTCTACATAGCCCCAAAAGCCCATTTCATCTTGTTTATCTCCTAATTGTACAACCTGCATCTGGTTCTCCACCTGCCCACTTCCGAGCCTTGTCTTGATTACATTATCATCGAGACAAACACCACGAAATCATGATCACAATCAAGAAACAAGACAGAAAATAAACACGGACAATATAAGAAGCATAAGTTTTACGTGGATAAAATATTTTACCATATGAAAAACAGGAGATTACAACTTTCAATCCCCAACCCTCTGTCTCTCTCTTATTCTCTACACTTAACACAATCTTAAACACCTGGGTTACAAGATATTTTAGAAATTAGAATCCGAATTCACAATTTGCAAGAGAAAATGGGTCAATTTTTTTTTTCTTTTTTCTTTTTTCTTTTTTCTTTTTTCTTTTTTGGACTAGTCAGGCGAAACAAAATTTGTGCGCACAACTTCACTAATAACTACTCTCAATGCTCTTTAAACTAGAAGGCATTATAGTTTAATATAAATTCCCTAAAAGGGCTCTGAAAGCAGCTATCCATGCATCTTTTGGTTCCATCTACACTTGTTTATAACTTTTGTAACAATTGCCCTCCTGCAAAACCTAGGGCTAGTTTGGTGTGATGGAATGAAATAGAATGGAATAAGAACGGAGGTGGGGAATGTAATGAGAATAGAATGGAATGACCATTCTTTTTGTTGGAAGATGGAATGATTTTGATGGAATGACCATTCTCCAAGAATAGTGGGAAATGATGATTCCAGCTTTAAAATTGACACCAAACACGAGAATGGAAAAAAACCCATTCCATTCCCACTACACCAAACTTATTCATTTTAAATTTTTATCCAAAATAATAAATACAAATTGAGCACACTTTATTATGATATCTAAAGTCCTCAACACGTTGTCTGCCCATTTTTAATTTCATTTTTGACTAAATCAATCTTCCAAATATTGATCTTTAAAATTATTCAAACAATTATTTAGAATGTAATCAAATAGGTTGAAATATGATCATGTAACCGACCTAATCAAAAAGTGTAATAATCAAACAAGTTGAATATATGTTCAGGTAACCGACCTAATCAAGAATTGAGACTTTAATTTGGAGACATTGATTGTATGATATCGTCTAAAAGAGGGGAGCATTCTAATATTGGACTTTTTTTTTTCTTTTCTTCCTATTCTAATACTGGACTTGGGTTTTATATAAATCCAGCATAGCCCATTTAACTTATAATTTTGTCACTATTTGAATGAAAGATGAGTTATATATATTAAATTTTAAAAAATAAAAAAAAATTCTTTTATTTAAATGAGCTTTCTAAGATATGACCACTAACTCATATTCCAATTAAGATTTTATTAGGTTAGTCGGTTGCCAAAGCCGAGTTGGTCCACCTACCAAAATACATAAATAAAGTAAATTGAAAAAAGTAAGACTTTTGAAATTTGATATGACTCAAGAAAGTAAACATTGAATATTTGAATATGTTTGTAATAAACTAATATTTTCCTATGAATATTTTTTTTCTTTAAAATGTAGTTCAATAAATTAAAACACTTCTGCCTATGTAACATTCTCCTATATATATATATATATATATATATCAAAATTTTAAATTTTTTACCACCATAATTTTCTATGCACCATTTCTTATGCGTTTTCTCTAATTTTTTAAATTGACTTTGCATAATTTATAAAGTTCTCTAAAGTTTTATACATTCACATCTATTTGACTCATAAGTAATTTGTTAACTCCATTTTCACCGAAGAGCGTTAGTTCAAATAGATATCTCTTCTTCAATGAAAAGTTTGAATTTTGATTTTATTAAGAGCAATGTTGAGAGTGTGCACATTTTTGTTTGAACTTCCCAAAAAAAAAAAAAAAACTCCATTTTCAAACCTATAATTATAATTTTAAATTTATTAATTTCTTTATAAAAATTTAATAATTAATTTAAAATTTTATGTGTGTGTGTTATAATAGTGCTTCTAAGTGCGCGAAAAGGGTCATGATTAATTAAGAAAGGGATCTGTATATCAATGTTGGAGCTGTCCAAAAGCCGACAAAATAGACAACTGTGGCTAAAAAAAAGAATTAGACCGTTAAAAAACATGGTCCCTGTGAAGCTTGTCACTTTTGCCATGACAACTTGCTGTTATCATTTCAATAAATTTTTTTTTTTTTTTTTATTTTATATTTTTGCCTTTTTTGTGTGGCTGATTAAAGTTTTTCCACTTACTATTGACAGATCATCATCATGTGATCAATCAGACTCTTTTTTTTTCTTTTTCCTTGAGGGTGTGTCTGGTTCTTCTTTCTTGATCGGTTTCCTTTAAGCTTTTATTGCTTCTAGCTAACCAAATCATTCCTTTCATTTCCTTGTCCCTCTTTCTTTCTCTTTTAGTTTATTGAATCCGTGAACAAGAATTACAAGAGGGGTCTCTCTCTTCTCTTCAATCTATCTATCCATGGCTAGTGAAACTGTTGCATCAGATCATTCTACTACCTCTGAGGTATGTTTTTGTGCTTTTCCTGTTTTTTTGCTTCAATTCTTGTTTTATATATATATATGTTTGTGGGTGTGTGTCTATATATATATATATATATATTTCCTTGGGGTTTATGTTAAAAAGGACTCTAAAATTTCAAGGGTTTTTATCTCTAAGGTCTTTGAGCAAGACCCACTTGTAATTTAGTTCATATGTTCACTTTTCATTAGAAGTACATGGATTTAAGTCATGATTATAGATTTGTTGAGCAAGACCCACCTAATATACTTTTATTTTGTATAATTATGATTATGGATTTTTAGGGGAACACCACTTAGGAATTTAAATTCAGATTTGTTTATGATGGCAAATCATCTTTGAATATCTGTATCATGGAGATGTGTCACTGAGAGTGAACTGGTTCTGGCACCACTGAGAAACATATATCAACTTATTGTATACAACAACAACAACCAACCCTTATTCCCTACTACGTGGGGTTCAGCTTATCAGTTTATAGTATAAAAGGGCAAAACCTTGAGTATTTCTTTATTTAAAAAAAAAAAAGAAAAAAAAAAGAAAAAAAAAAAAGAGAAAGAAATAAATTATCCATATTGAAGGAGCTCAATCTCATTTCCAATTCAAGAGTTGATATGTACTCTCAAATGAATTTCTCAATATTCACCCAAAAGCAAGCACTAATAATATGACAGCAGAGGAAACAATATGAGTCTGTAATCTCAGTTTTCAGAATTATGGGTGGTTTAGGTTTAATCTTAAGTTAGAATATGATCTATGCTGCAGGGTGCCTTCTGATTGCAGTTATGTGCTTTCTTTTGAAAGAAAAAAAAAAGTCTTCTCATGAAGATAAAGTGGTATACTAACAGTTGAGTACTTGAAGATTTTCCAAGGAATTAAATATTGCTTCATGAGAAAAAAGAAGAAGATTCCATAATATAAGTGATCTTTTCTGCTATGGATAAGGATTCCCTTTGGGTCCAATGGATATGGTTGGCAAATTAGAAGTACAAAAAACAACATATATATATATATATATATGTATGTATATATTTTCCTTGTTTATTTCTCATGAGCTTCACATAGCTTTGAAGATATTTTTATTATAGTCTTATTTTCAAATCATCCATCAGTTCTTGCATATTTGACCCTCTTATTGTAAGATTTTATGCTATTTGAGTTATAATCTTATTTTAAAATCATCCATAATTTTTTTGACACTCATATTGTAATATTTTAATCTGCAAATTGAGACAGTGTTGAGATACCACAAGAAGTGCAAAATCAGTACTGTCATGCCTATGGTCTAGTTGTATTGAGATATTGCTTTTCACTTTTGATTTTTCCATTCTCACTTCTCTTTTCCTTTGGTGAATCTCCCTTTAATGGGAATGGCCTTCTATAGATATGGATGCTTTTCTTTGCCTTTGTTCCTTTTAGTTTGATGCTGATCAACTTTAAATTGCTTCAGCAGGTTGAAATGAAGACGAATGAAGAAGTAGAAACAATTGAACGTGAGAGTGTTTCCCCATCTAACGGAAACGCAGAGGAAGAAAAGCCTAAATCCGAGGAATCACAAAGTGCAGCAGCCCCTTTAACCATATCAGAAGAGAAGATTGAGGATAAGCAGATTGAGTGTCCTGTTGTCGATGAGGTGAAGATGATCACTGATGATACTAAAGAGGTTCAAGATTCTACTCCTGAACTAGACACACCAAGCGTTTCAGAACCAGCAGCTGACGGTGTTAAAAGCCAACCAGATGAGCAACCAAAGGCCGAGTCTGTTGAAAAACAGATAGAGGAGCAGCCGAAGATAGTTAATGTTCCGGAACAATCACCTGACACTGCCCCCGAAAAAGTGGAGCAAGTGGAAATTTTACCTGTCAAAGAATCAGAATTGGTAGAAGTAAAAGATGTGGACATTTCAGTACCAGAGCCTAAGAAAGAAGAAATTCCAGATCCGGAAGAGCAGCCCAAGATAGTTGATGTCCCTGAAACGTCCATTGAAGCTGCTGAAATAAAAGTGGAGCAAGTGGAAGTTTTACCCGTCAAGGAATCGGAATCAGTAGAAGTAAAAGATGTGGACATTTCAGTACCAGAGCCTAAGAAAGAAGAAATTCCAGATCCGGAAGAGCAGCCCAAGATAGTTGATGTCCCTGAAACGTCCATTGAAGCTGCTGAAATAAAAGAGGAGCAAGTGGAAGTTTTACACGTCAAGGAATCGGAATCAGTAGAAGTAAAAGATGTGGACATTTCAGTACCAGAGCCTAAGAAAGACGAAATTCCAGAACCGAAAGATCAGCCCAAGATAGTTGATGTCCCTGAAACGTCTGTTGAAGCTACTGAAATAAAAGAGGAGCAAGTGGAAGTTTTACACGTCAAGGAACCGAAATCAGTAGAAGTAAAAGATGCGGACATTTCAGTACCAGAGCCTAAGAAAGAAGAAATTCCAGAACCAGAAGAGCCACCCAAGATAGTCGATGTCCCTGAATCATCAGTTGAAACTGCTGAAATAAAAGAGGAGCAAGTGGAAGTTTTACCTGTCAAAGAATCAGAATCAGTAGAAGTAAAAGATGTGGACATTTCAGTACCGGAGTCTAAGAAAGAAGAAATTCCAGAACCAGAAGAGCAGCCCAAGATAGTCAATTCTCCTGAATCATCGGTTGAAACTGCTGCAATAAAAGAGAAGCAAGTGGAAGTTTTACCCGTCAAAGAATCAGAATCAGTAGAAGTAAAAGATGTGGACATTTCAGTACCGGAGCCTAAGAAAGAAGAAATTCCAGAACCGGAAGAGCCGCCCAAGATGGTCAATGTCCCTGAATCATCAGTTGAAACTGCTGAAACAAAAGAGGAGCAAGTGGAGGTTTTACCTGTCAAAGAATCAGAACCAGTAGAAGTAAAAGATGTGGAAAAGTCTGAACCAGAGCCTAAGCAAGAAGAAATTCTGGAACAAGAAGAGCAGCCCAAGATAGACAGTGTCCCCGAATCATCAGTTGAAATAGGTGAAATAAAAGAGGAGAAAGTGGAAGTTTTGCCTGTCAAAGAATCAGAAGCTGTAGTAATAGAAGCTGTGGAAAAGTCCGAGGCAGAGTCTAAAAAAGAAGAAATTCCAGAACCAGTTGCAAATGTAGAGGAAAAACCACAAGAACAATCTGCAGTTGCCGAACAAGTTGAGAAAGAATGCTCAGAAAATGAACCAAAGGAAAGTGTGGAGGTTGGAATAGCAAAAGATGAAGACACTTTGGCCGATAAGGTTGAAGATACCAAGTTGAAGGAAGAAGAAACCACTAAAGAGGAACCTCTTGCAACAGATAGTTCAGATCATGTTACTTCAACCAACGAGGAAGCTAATGTTGATCCAAAAGACACAGGGGAATGTCCTCCTGTTGTTGCAGAAAAGGCTATTGCAGATGAAAAAGAGAAGGAATTGAGTGAAACTGTTGTTGTTCAAGGGTTGTCAAAAGAGGAAGTTGTGGAGTCAGGAAGGATCGAGGTGGAGAAGGAAGCACCGGAAGAGGTTGGAAAGAAAGAAGTCATAGCAGAGGAAGTGGACCAGCCTGAAAAAAAGAAAGCTGAGGATGTGAGTAGCTCCATTGCCACCACTGAGGTCATTGAAAAATCTTTGGAGGGAGAGAATACTTCTAGAGACATTGAACTGCCTGCTGAAAATGGGAAAGAGAGTGTAAAAGATGAAGTCGTGACTACCATCAAAGAACTAGTTGAGAAGCCCCTAGAGTCTGAGGTGGAAGTGAAAGGTGAAGAAACTGGTGAAACAAAGTTGGAAAAAGAAAATGAAGTTGGTGAGATTGCAAAACCTGATGTTCCAAACCCGGAGGAGTCCACCAAGGATGGTGATGACACAAAAACATCCCAAGACCCTCCCAAAGAAGAGGTATCAGCAAAGCCCACTCAGAAGCAATCAAATACCATTATGGCAAAGGTGAAGCAATCGCTTGTGAAGGCAAAGAAAGCTATTATTGGGGGGAAATCTACGAACTCTAAATCGCTCTCTTCTGAAACTAAGGCTGATGTTAAGGTAAAATAATGTGATATTTCGAGGTCTGCTAAGAATGTGGTGTTATATAGTGCAATTGTTTGGTCCAGCCGTGTTGATGTTTTGCTTTTGGTTATTGGATTGATCGCGTTACTGGTTTGTGAGTGTTTGTGAAGGTATAGGTTTGCTTAGCTCAAGATTTTTCAAAATAGGAAGATTATTGTTTTCAATTTTATACTATTTGTTTCACTTGTAAAGTATTGTTTGTGTGTTGGTGATGAAGTACTGATCAATAGGCAAGAACTTTTGGATTGTTTTGAGATGATGTATAGCATTCTGTTATATTTGTGAATATTGGTACTATTGTAATTGTCAATTTTATTTTTGTTTGTGTACTACTAAGATAAATTTGATTTTCAATGAGTTTGGTTGTGTTGACAAAATTAGTTGACAGACAATTTGATATGGCAAAGTCATGTTCTTCGTGCTCTCTGTTAATGCCATAATAAAGGAAAATTTGATATGGAGACTTGAGATATGGTAGATCACTTCACTAATATCATCACTGCAATGTTTTCTTTCTTCATTTTTTTCTCGCATTATATACTGTACAGAATTTGTTAAGCTTTTGAAGCTGGGGGAACTGGAATCCAATTATGCAAGGACATGATTGAATTTGAAAAATTTGTGTGGAGTTTCTGATTGAAGCACAAAACTGAGCTAACCAAAAAATGAAGTATAGTCCATATCTGTAATAATGTCAAGTTGAAAATTTACATTATGTAATTCAATGGGTAGCTACTGAAACCCTGATGTCACAAGGCTAACTAGAGAAAAAGCAGTATCAAAGTTGTATAACCTTTTTCAAAAGAATGGGCACCACAAACTTGTGAGTGGAAGGAGAATATGACATGCAACTCAATTATTGCCGCACGAGTTCTGGACATTAAGCTAATGAACATTTAGCTAAGTGGCAGTTTTTTTTAGTCTTTAAGCTAATGAACATAAATTGAGGCTTCAGAGTCACATCTAACAAAAGGCGCTGACATACTTGACCCTAATGGAGAAAGAATGGCTCTTCTAAAAGCCTTGACAAACGATCATATATATATATATATATATATATATATATATATATATATATATATATACACGCGCGCGCGCACACACAACAGACACACACACACCTACACACACACAGAAGTTAAAAGCAAACACACACCCCATACCCAGAACATGCTGTAATGGGGCTTGAACTCTCAACCTCTTTGGGGAGGAAAGATCATACTTGTGCATCCTCTCTATTACCCATTCAAAAGTGAATGTGCCTTGCAGACCTCTTGTGAGTGTGAATATACTTTTGCTGCTTAATTTCTGACTTAAACTGCTAAAGATTAGAAGGTGAATTAGAGAGTCCAATTTAATCCAGGCATTCCAGAATGTATTTTCAGAGTCTCTAGCCAATTTAGTCCGAGGTGATAGAGAGATGGACTAAATACGGACATAATGTTTACCATTAATTGCACAAAGTCATTGCTCTCAAAGATTCGTACTCGTATTCTCAAGCTTGACAGCCCAAACTTTTACCACTGAACCAAGCAATGGCCTATATTCACCATTAGAGGTCTACAAGTTTGTTCCATCATCATGAGAGAGAGAAAGAGCAGAAACCAACAGGCCTGTGGCCTAGCGATACAAGGCCCCTACTTCCCAGAGGGAGGTTAGGGGTTCGAACTTCAGTGGAGGCAGTGTGTGTGAATACCAACTAGGAAAAAGAAAGAAAGAGACAGAGCAGAAGAATGTTTGTAAGATAAATGAAGTTTCATTAATTTAAAGAATAGTTAACCATGTCTGAAACACTTTTAAATACATTTACTACGAAGTTCAACTCCTCTGCCATAGCACAAAAACACATGGTTCATGAAGCCAAAATGTACAAAATAAAGGAGAAGATCCCATCTTCAACTTACCAAAATCTGTGCAATTTGTGGCTAAGTGGTCCCCGAATTAGAATTCAGACAGTTATTTTAAAATTTCCACCTCATTCCAAAACTCTTTATGGAACTTTTTCTTGATAGCTAATCTACATTTTCCCAGATTAAAAGAATGAACAGCAGGTTCAATTCCAATTGCTATAAACTGATTCCACTTCTCTGATGACAAAGTTTAGTAGTAACTGTCAGTCACAACCTACATATAACAATAGCTCAGTTTTTTTACCATTCAACCGTTCTTTCAATTTATCATATTAATGATGAATCAACTTAATAGGGTCTCAAATACTCACAGGCTGCTCTACTAGGTAAAGTGTCGTCTGCATCGGTCAATCAGCTGCTTCACCGCTGCTAACTTCTGGCGCTTGATCATTTTTAGTCATTGCAGCAGACTGCTCAAAACCCTCATTTGTTGTCTGGCACTGACATCAGGTACAACACAAGTTTAATAGACTCACTCAACCTAATAAAAAATAGTAAGCTTATTTGAAGAAGACAATGTTAAGTAAAGATGACTCAGTTGGAAGCTTATTTTAAGGCACCGCAAAGCCTTCTTAAAAAACCAAACGCTAGTTAATTTAGGGAGAGGGAGGACTGATGAATCAATGGGTTGGATGAAAAATGTCATGACGAATGTCAAATGATGGTACTGAAAAATATTTACACCTTCTAATAGTTCAAGAGCATTTGGTTGTTAAGATGTTAATCAAGCTATCATATCCAAAAGGTCCCGAGTTCAAACCACGGGCACCTCCCAATTACTACATGCAATAAAATTCATGTGGTCGTGAAAGGGAGTATAAAATTGAGTATCTTATAGCTCACCCTAACAGCTTAAAATTTTAGAGTAGTTGGTTGATACTCAAATGGTTTGCCCAAATTTACATTGCTTCACAAAAACAGGCAACAGGCATAATGTTTTTACCACTATCTAGACATTCTACTTGTTAAAATAAACAGCTTCTTCACAGCCTTTCTTTAGTAGGGTATGCCCCCACAAAGTATTTAGGATTTACAACACGTCTTTGATATTCTTGCAACAGCAACTAAGCAAGAGCGATTTGAGAGTAAAAACTCTTAGAAAAACAATGATTAAAAATAAGGCCAGGTTATGTTGCAAAGAGATTATCTACTATTCTCAAGCTTTTCTTTCAGGAGGCAGTCGTCCCTACCATTTTCTTGACAATTCTCATGTGCGAGAACCAAGTAGTAGAGGATTTTCAAAAGAGAGAATGAAAAACAGGATAATAGTCTATAGAGGTAAATTAAAAAAAAAAAAAACCAGTACTCAAATAATAAGGGTATCACTTTTTTCTCTTAAAAATCACTTATAGGTAAAAGTTTGACTACAAAATGAAAGCACGGACCTGACTAGATGTTTTCATTGAGCTACTAGCATCAGCATTGTGCATCATTTGTGTGTTGGTATTCTGTATCAAATCCTTTGAGCTCGACTTTGAACCTGAATTAGGAACTTCCACAGGAATTGCTGCCATCCAGGAGACATTTGGTCGCATGGCTGAACTTGTAGGAGGCCCTCCCGACAAGGGTTCTAAGGGTGCACGTGGCACTGTCATGGGAAGTCCATGACCAGGATGCCCAAAAACCTGTAGGTTAGATCCAGCCATCCCTTGAAGGTTAGAAATATGAGGCACAGGATAATGCGCTCCTTGCATAGCAGGCACCTGAATCATAGGGCATCGAGGAGATCCACCATTCATGTCAAGCATACCCATTCCATAACCCATTCCCATTCCCATTCCCATTCCCATTCCCATCCCCATCCCAACACCTATGGGTGAGAAATGTGCCATATGAGCTGCTGCATGTACGTGTTGCATTCCTGTTGGTAACTTCATTGGCGGCATATACAATCCAGTTCCCATTGACATGATCTGCAAAAAGATGAGGAACAGTAAGAACGTTGTTACATAATTATATTTATTATAACTTCTCAGGGAAAAAAGGCAAATAGAAATTAGTCAAAAATTAAAGAAGCTTCACCTGTACTTGAAGTTGAAGTGTCTTCAAATAGTCAATGGCCTCATCAAGCATTGAAGCTTTGTCCACCTTGTAATTATGCCAAAATGTGAAAGTAAGAGAAATCAGAAAAACACATTAAACACATATTCATATACACAACGTAGTGGTTGTTAAATTAACAATTTTAATGTCCACAATAAAGGATTTCAGTTCCATTTTTCATCAATGCAATTTCAGATTGGAAATGGAGGTCCAGAAGCTCGCATTCATAATTTGAGCTGTATAATTGAATCCATGAATTGACTCCATTTCCACAGGACTGAATATAACATGAAGTTAATGTTTTAAAGATTGTTCAATTGCAGCATGGAAATTTTTTTTGCAAAGATCAACAAGCAAAGTTGGCATAAATCGAAACAAAATTGTTTACCTTATTGCAGTTGGGTATGAGCTCTTGTAATGCACGCATCTTTTCATTGATCCTATCCCTTCGCCTCTGTTCATAAGCATGCAAGATAAGTACCCATTTACATCACAAAATCCAGAACCAACAAATGTAAATAAAATGAGGAGCAATATCTTATCAATGTCCTTTTGGGTGGTTTTCCTCACCCTTTCAGATAAATTATGCACTTCAGCTGCCCTGCTTCTCTTAGAACCTGTAACTCCTCGAGCAGGACCTTGTTTTCTCACACCTGATTCTTCTTCAACATCCTGCACATAGATTGGTATTATTTCATGGTATGCAAACAAAATAAAATGGGAAGATCAAGATAACGGAAAAGAAGGTGGCTCAAACATACTTCACTCCGACATTCAGAGTCATCGATCTCATGACATCTTCTCTTCAAATTATGTGTTGGATCATTAGAAGCTCTCTCTGCACTATTGCCAGAGCATACAGAGGAAGGACCAACTACTGGTTCTACATTTTTTTCACCATCTGGCATTTCTTTAGTTGTACTTCCTCCAACAACTTGTTTTGGGGACTTATCATTCTTAATTGGATCTCCTTGACAAAAAGCTTCAGATTGTTCAGCAGGGCTTATCTTCTCAAGCCGCTTATCCATCATCAATGGCTTCAAATCAACCTTGGCAGGCACCAAATTAGTTTGAGTATTGAAACCCATTTCCTTTCTTGGACCAGTACTTGAATTGTTGTGTGTGGATTCAGCATGTTTACCACTGCGTGTAGCAGAACCTGTATTCTTAGTTCCCATCCTTTCTACTTCTGAAGAACCCAAAGTGTCCATGGTGCCAATGCTCTGAAGATTAGCGTGAACAAAAGCTGCAGGTCTTGTGAAATGGGAGAAGTTCATTAAACCAGAGCTCGTGTTTGGCAGTCCTGAATCTTGCCTCTTCGGCTTCATGCTCGGAAAATCACCTGCTGAAGCATGACACCGAACAGAATCCACGCAAACAGCTTGGTGGGTATTACTGCCATTATTGCCAATATTACCTGAAGCTCCTGATCCAAGAGACAGAGCTGATGTTTGGCCTTGCTGGGATGACAGTGGATATAACTGGCCACTTCTTGAACTAGTGAGCTCACCACCTCCTGAAGAAGAAACCTTGGTTGCATTCCCATGTTCTAAATCCACACCGTTGATTACAGGAAAATTATAAAAATTCTCCACGGTCTGACTACAATTATTTCTTTTATTGATTGATGCCAAACTATTCTGTGCAGAGACCTCATTTACAGTGACACCAGACAATTCAGGCAAGAATTCAGAACAGTAGTCATTTTGTAGAGGATCATCAATGGAATAATTCAACCAAGGTACCAAGTCATCGACTTGACCATAACCCATTTCAACCGGCAGCACTGAAGTTGGAAAATTATTCGGAACATTGTCTGTTGCCCCAAATTTCAGCATCTTTGGATTGTTAAGACTCCCATCATCTTCTTTATCACCAAAAGTTGGAGTTTGAGATGGAAAAGTGCTAATATTAGGGCTCTTCCTACTTTTACTGGACTGACCTTGCATCATAAGATGACCATTTTCCCATACTAGCTCAACTAACTCATTACCAGGTCTGCATCAAAACCACCACCAACAATTCACAAAACTAACAACAATAATAACAACACATCAAGAAAGCATAAGGGATAACAAAGAACTAATGGGTCTCAATTACACAAATGCTATGTTTGGGAGCACCGAATCCGCACCTTGAATTGGAATTAGAAGAAATTTAGTTCATATTCATGGCGCGATTCAGTGCTCCGAACGCAACAAAAGTATTAAATACAAAAATTGAGTGGAAGTGAACTTACACAAAAGATAGATCAGTTGAACGAGTTGTGGTCTTCTGTTGGGCAGATTCAAGCTCTCCTTGGGCCATTCTATAAAACTCAGATAAAGGCATGATTGAGTGTTGAAACACCTCTCAGAAACACCCTAAATTTGAGTAGTTTTCCATTAATGGTGTCCTCCAAACCCTGCTCTTATACTCTTTAAATTCACAGCCAAAAGAACCCAAAACTGAAAAAGCAGCATAAGATCAGCAAAGCACAGACCGCCTTTGAAGAAACACCTACACAACTCCATGACATCAAAGAGTGACATGAACCCACTACTACAAGACAATGTTACCAGAATTTAAGGATACAGATGAACTCATGCACACAAATAATATTTATTTAAGGCAGTCCTTCAACAGTTCATTTACAAGAAAAATAAAATAAAATTCTTTGCTAATGTGTCTACAGCATAAATAAAATTGATAATAGTGATAAAATAATGAGTAATCAGTCAAAACGAATAATTTAATGCTACCATAAAATACTAAAACAAACAATTAGATTGAGCTTTGAATTAAAAAACTATATCTTTATTTTAAATTACAATCATTAGAATAAGAACTAAGTTAAGCCCAGATAATAGAATATTTTTTGTTCCTAAAGCAACCAATAATCCTAAAGAAGCCCCAATTGTTTATGAATCAAATTTGAAGGAGATAAAGATTACAGAAAACAAACCCACCTCTTGAAACCCAATTAAATTCAAGTCCCACCCAAGAAACTCCAAGATCAGCTTTGACTGGCAATCATTAAATGCAGCTCAAGTCCCATCAAATTCATCACAAATATGCAAAATATTTCTGAAAATCTGAGTCATCCAACCTCATTTCTCAACCTTCAATGATCAATTTTTTTGGGTAATGATAATTCCTCGAAACCATCAACACACGCTAATCCATATGCATTACATAGCTTTCTGTAACGTACAATCTTCACACACCAGTCGTCTTTGAGCTCAAAGATAGAAAACTGAAGTTCTCGATAATATATTTACATGTATACGTATATGGAGAGAGATTGAGAGAGTAGATAGAGAGAGAGACAGAGGATCTTACTACTCGTAAAAGACGGCGAAAGGCTTGCAAATTAGCAGGTGACCGAATGAAGAAGGCACATTCATACCACACACAAAACTCCATATGGCTTTTATTAACTATGGTTAAGGTGGACTTAACCACAGTTTACTTTGTTGCTTCTATGTACTTTGTACTAATTATTGAGTGTGAGCCCACTTACACACACACCCCCCAAACGGTTGTTCTCCAATCCAACGGTTACATTTCACGTTTGCATTGCATCACCACAAGTTTTTTTTTTCTTCTGTTTTTCTTTTTCAATTTTTTCATTTTTTTTTTATTATTGTGTGTGTCTATATATATATATATATATATATTTGGTTAGACGATAATCCATCATCACATATAATTTTCTAATCTCATATACACCAAAACGACATGAAAACTTAATAAAGACGGTTAACTATCATTTATTTCAAAATTTTAAGTTGTTGGAGATGGTGTACCTTATCCTTCAACACGTCCCTTCACGTGTGGCCTTCTTTTTGGTGTAATTCAGTTTTTTTTTTTTTTTTGTGCAACACGTGTTTTTGAATTTTAATTAAGATGATGGTGAGACTTGAACTCGAGATATTTTTCTCTGATACTATATTAACTATCATCCACTGCAAAAGTTTAAATAATCTTAAGCTGATGAAGAAGGTGTACCTTAAATATTTATATTCTTCAACTTAAATATTTATTTACATTCCGATTTCAGACTCAGGAAGGACATGAACCAAAACTCCATTCTAGTGTTAGACTCACTGAGGATCGGCACCAAAATTCCTTCTAAGTGATCAATTGGCTTGACACCGTGTGAAGAACTAATTTGACTCTAACATTATTCTAATAGGACGAAAACTCAAAAACTTATATGACTAAATAATACTCCCCTTGTCTATATTACTTGTTTCCTTTTAAAATTGGGACTCACGAATTTTTGTGAATTGTAATTCCCAAAATAGATAAGTACTATGGAACTGGAGTAGTATATGTCTTCTGTATGTCCAAATCCTTTTCCATTCACATCCTAAGCCCCCCTCAACAGCTACCCCTTTTGGGCACAAGCATAACTTTACTTTCTTGTTACTTCTCTTCATTTGCTTTATGCCCCTACCATCTGTAGAGAGTGTAGCACACGCGCATAGTAGGAGAGTAAAGTCATTTCCTTTTCTAAATATATGGATTCTTCTAGTTGTAAGATAAGGTGCAGTGTCTCCCTACTATGTATTTGAAAAATCATTTGAATTTAACATGTTATCCTATGGTTTTAAATATGTTATCCAATAAGAATTGATCATGTAACTTGTATAGTTGTGGCCTTATGGGTGACAACTTACATGTGTATGTATTTTGTAATTGAACTAATTATATAGTACTACTATATAGTATATAAATATATATATATATATATATATGTATGTATTAATGTACTGTGTTTAGAACAGTAACTATGTGAGAAAGAATGATGTCCTTTTCTTTGTTTTGTTGGGGATTAAGAGACTAATAAAGTCATTGACTTGATTATCATGGGGTTTTATAATTCTGCTTTACCCTTTAATGTTGGAGAGACTTTGTAGACATTGTTATATGTGATAGTGAAGGTGAAAAGGGAAATCATCAATTTGTTCAACTTTGGTTTATTAAATTAAATGCAATCATGCAAACTAAATTATTTAAGGATTTGAATTTAGGATAAGGTCATTGAAAATTTGAGACATATTTATTCAAACATATCTACTTTTGCACCAAGAAATGATCAAGTGGGGCAACTTGGATGCTATGTTGCAAGTAGTCTACTAAATCATTATTCATGAGAATATTTCCTCTTGGTTATCAAGTGATGTGAGACGACAAAAGTAAGGGGTCGTAGTATGTATGGCATCAAATGGATAGGGTTACATCTAAATCTTTGATTTAATCTAAAATTTATTTGAAAAAATAATAATTAAATTTTAACTTTTCATCCAAAATTTAAAATAAATTTGGATATTCCTTAGGCCAAATTGCACAATACCCTCATGTGCTATAAAAAAATTGCAAAATATCTTCTTCTAGCATGTATTATTCTTTGTGACGATAAATATTCTCGATTTATCAAAAGTTGTAGTTATACCCTTTACAATACAAAAATTGAAATTTTCGGTTTTAAAGTTGTTGGGTGCAACACAAGTAACATATGAGCTTTTTTTTTTTTTTCCTTTTTACTGAAATAACCCTACGCATGTAACAAATACTCTTGACTTTTTATTTGTAAAATCTATTTTTGACGGAGTTAATGTTACAAACGTTCAATAAAGAGCAAAGAACGGCTTTTATTATGTGACATCCGCATTGCTTAGGGAGAAGGTGCATGCAAGAGATGCCTCCTAAGATGCGTTACGAGAATCAAAGAGCATGCCAACAAAAAATATTTACATAGTCTAAGCACAAGTTTCGATTACCTAAGTTACATAAAGCAGAAGCGAAAGCAAATTTTAAAGCAGAAATACGAAAATAACAAAATTTAAGTTACACAATGTGAGAATGTGAACGAGAGCGGAAGCTAATTCAAAATATAAGAATAATATCTGTTGAAAAAATTTGTATGACAATTACGAGGTCTAATATCAATATATTTTTCAATCATTATCATAACTTTTTAATAAAGTCAATATTTGGTGTGAATATGTTGATTGGGAGCAGCATAACTACTAAATGGAAACCTATTGTTTATTAAAAATCAACATAACTACAGTAATGTCTTGGTTGCCCTTTTAATGGACACCATAATTTAATACCAAAAAAAAAAAAAAACACACCAAAATAAAAGGGACACCTAAACCACTTTCTTTATTTTCTGAGATAGACGTGGGACCCATTAAAGTCGTATAAACTATTTAGTGGGAGATAAATAATGAATGAGATACTGAGCAAAGTAATTTATCAAATCAATCTAAAAAAAAAGAAAATCAATTAAAGTTGAGTGGGATTAGATACAGTTGATATAGGTCAAAGAGAGATAATCAAAGGGATTGGATGTGTCTGGTGTGTCTTTTCTGTAGAGGACCAATAGCTCTTGATGTGAAGTGAGGTTTTGATTCTTTGCTATAGCCTTGTATAATTGCAAGAGAAGCCCATCTTATCTACAAACAGTGAATTCGACAGTCGTGTTTTGTGTGTGTATGTTTGCGTGCGTGGAACCGCGTTTCTTGGAGACATGGAAGTGATAGAAAGTGGAACTAAGGCTATGTTTGTTACGGCCGGGTTTGAAAGAGAAGGATAACATTAGTTACGAAGAAAAAATAAGAAAAAAAAAAAAAGAAAAGATAATTTTAAACCTCCATTCCGTTTGGTTGATTAATGAAAGAAAAGAAAGGGAAAGACAATAATTATGTTTGGGAAAAGAAATGAAAGGAAATTATTTTAACATATGGACTATTATACCCCTTTATATTTATATATATTATATATATATATATATATATATAGTTTCATGTACTTGCCAAAAAAAAATAATAATAATAATAATAAATAAATAAATAAAAATTAGGGCAAATCATTTCAGCCTCCCTAATCCTCCATCTCTATTATATATATATATATATATATATAAAGTCTTTAACTCGAGGCCATAAGAAAAGAAAAATAAAAAATAGGTCAAAGCCTCCCCAATCTCGCTCCATCTCTTCAACTCCTTCTCAACACTGAACTTGGCCTCTCCCTCCCTCTCTCTCTCTCTACAAGAATCAGAAATTCAAAACCCATATATTTCCAGTTTATCTATCTGTTTGCTAGAATCAAAAGTTCAAACCCGTATCGATGTATCATTTCAGATTGTTCAGAAAATCCAAAACCCATATCTTTCAGTTTCCATGGCTGCTGTTCCAGTTCGGGTCGCCGTTCCAAGCTTCAATCACCGGCGGTCTCTCTCTCTCTCTGCAATCTTGAGGGTAAAATTGGCATATGAAATCACCCATCAAGCCTCTCCTTCCCTTTCCCTTCATTTCCTCCTATTTTTGGGAGGTTAAGAAATCTACTGTTGAATGCACAAGCTAACCTTCCAAACCCTTCCCTTCACTTCCTTTTCCTTCCAACAATTTTTGCCAAACACACATTTTTAATCCCCCTCCATCACCTTCCCTTCCCTTTCCTCCCTTTTCTACTCTACCAAACTGACCCTAAAGGTGTGAAATCCTGAAACTATTGGTCCAATTTAATGACGATTGGGAGAATTACAAATCATGGACTCTTAATTATGAATACATAAAAAATAAATAAATAAATAAATAAAAAGTTAACTTTTGAAAGCAACATAATTATAATTACAACAACTTTACACAAAATATAATGAATTATAAGTACCCTAATCCTTATTTTTTCATTATATGATATTTCAAATTACATATCTTAAAGATTTATTAATTTTAATGAAATATCTAACAAAAAAATTATTTTCCCAAAAAAAAAAATATCAAGCATTAAAAAATGAATAATGATAAGGAGACCGAAGAATTAATTCCGAAGAATTAATTCCGAACATGCACCGAATCTGACGTGTTATTTTCAAAAATAATTTGTTTAACACGTGATAAGAATAACCAATCACGTTAAATTCGATGTTAATTCAGAAATTTCTTTTCGGTTCCCTATCATTAATCTTAAAAAATTGCATGATACACCTTGGAATGGAAGGATTTTAAATTATTCAACAACGAAACTGTTTTGAACAACTCAAAAAAGGGTAGATATTGTTAGAGATGATTAAAAAGGGCTAAAAAAAGAGTATTTAAAATAGTTAAAATTTTAATTTGGTTTTATCTGGAATGAAGTAACATGTGTGTTTTTGTTAATCAACAAGATTACAAAAATATATCGGATGAATATATTTGTTTATCAAAACAAATAGAACGTTAGTAATATGTTTCCATATATATCTCTCTAAGATTGTATTATATAATAAATAGTCAGAAAATGCTTTTGGTTTAACATGTTATGTTTTGTGTGTGATTATGATAGCTCTAAATAAATGTTGGTCAGTGGGGGTATTCAAATGTGGATGCTGTGTGTAATTGTCAATTAGTAATTAACCTTACCCCTAAAGACCCTTTATGTTCAGTCATTATTTAAAATATTCAGTGTTTGCTTCATCAACACTTGGGGTTTAAGTTGGCTTGGTGCTCACGATTATGCAACAGAACGGCACATGAGATGGGTAAATGAGCTCTTCGTCAAAGAATAGGTAATATGCAATGACAAGTGTGACCTTGATGGCTGTTGAATGTATTTTAAAAGGATATTTTATATTAGTATTTATAATATTTGATTACGTTAAAAAATAATAATGAATAAATAAATGTTTTTGTTCACACAACTCTTTCAATCAACATTTGAATTTGTATTTTTTTCCCTAAATTGCATTAATTAGAATTAGTAAAATTTATGTAAAGAATGCATTTATAGAATGACTATATTATGAAATGCAATTTAATGAATCTATATATATATTTTTTCTACAACATTTTTAAATAAAGTGTTTGTTTTCATTAGAAACAACAACAGTAATAATACAAAACATGCAAATAAATAGTGTTTGGATTGGTTGAACAGGACAGACTCTCCTTGGCTTAAAAAGAGGGGTCATATTCAATGTGAACCACACAGATTGAATACCAAGGAATGGGCTCTTTCCACGTGGACCCTCTCTGACCCAGTTAGGGATTTGATGTTATCTAAGTGGGTCCCACTCTTTCTAGGCATATTTTCTCTTTCCTTTTTTGGTGCATGCATCAAGTCAGTGGGTGAGGGTGGCCTAGAGGCCAAGGGACATGAAATGTTTGAGAGGTCTTAATAAGATTAGCTTAAATCACTAGAGAAGGCTCATCGGTTGGGGCGTGGAGTTCACGTGCAAGCGTGCAATTCACGTGACTGTGTCTGTGTGCGTCTAACGACTTGTTACACCAGATAAAAGTAAAAACTTTTTTCTTTCACTTCATGAGCCCCACTAGGGTTTTGTCTAAATTCTAAACCACATGTGTTGCTACGTACTGCAGTTGAACTTTTAGGGTTGTCAACTGACTCAACCATGACAAATTTCCAACCTCATTTTCTGTCAAATTGATGTGAAAATTTGAGCTGGTAAGAAATGATTTGAGAATCATGATATTTTTCTTCCATGGTATGTCTTAGCTGCAATGACTTTTGGATTCGAATATGAGCAAACTCGCACGCTGAGAAAGCTTGTGATCTACTTTGACTGACCAACAATATTCATACAAGAGAATTCACTTTCCACCGTCTTTTTCCTCCCCCACATTACCAAAAATGGATTCAGTCCCTTGTTCTAACTTCCAAATGATCAAAATACATTTTCTGCATCATTTCACTCACATGAAAAAGAGGCAATGCCATAAAGGGTCATTGCGGTGTAATGTTAAAAGCTCAAAATGACAAGCGTGAGGACACAATTTCGAGTTTGCGAAATAGTATTAAAAGTTAAATGTGTCTCTGGTCTTTTTCTCTTGGCATCAACGCTAGAAAGCATAGATGGAACATACTTTCCCTTCACCAACGTAGATGGAATATCCTAAATAAAATGCTGCTAAAAATGGCAGTGTGACACCCAGCCATCAAACATGTTGAGAAATGTTTGACTCACTCTGCATTAAGACATATATGTCAAATTTGAATGTCAATCTGAAGTCACTATATATATAGCTATATTCTTTGAACTGCACCTTCTAGGTACATATAGCTCATTATGGCTCAAGGATTAATCCACACTTTGCTTCAGCAAAAGTTTATATATGTCAGCATCTGTGAAGAAATTATTACATGGTCCATGGTCCCGGCCAATCACCATTTGACACGTAATGAAATGTGTCACGTGTCTCAAGTGTCAAATGGTGATTGGCTAGTCTCGGGACCATGTAATAATTTCTCGCATATACAGAAACCATATATATTGATCATTTGCTCTGATGACTTCATTTTTGTTACCAAATAGCTCTAAAGGAACCATCAAAACAACCTGAAAACATAGCGAAATGGAACTATTCTACAACAGCAGACAATAGCAATATATATATATATATATATATATATAGAGAGAGAGAGAGAGAGAGAGATAAACAAACAATGGTTTTCATAACAATTTTCACTAAACAAGGCAGTATTAACCTGAAGAAACCATGTCACTGTCATTATATTATAAAAGAATACAGAGACTGATACAGAGATATGGGAACAGCAGAGGATATTATAAACTAGAACAGTTGAGCCCCCATGGTGGGACTGGTTTTGCAAATAATTAAATGCCTTATTCACTGCAGACCTTACTTAGTTAATAGAGCCAAGCATGCATGAATGAGTGCCTTCTCAGTGCTGCTAACTGTATCTGCAGTAGACCATTTGTCTTTGCTTCCCTGCAACCTGCACATGATCACTAACAACATCTAACGTGGACACACATTTTTTATGATTATCAATCTTAAATTTCTGTGTAAGAAGAGCAGGAGCAGAGGGCCAGGGTGCTGTAAAGTACAACCTACCTGTATTTATCTTTTCTCCTGTCTTCAAGTCCCACCAAATAAATATCTTTTAACTTTTAAAAAAAAAATTATAAAAATAATAATATGATATTGTATCATGGGAATTACTGCAATAAAGTTGGGATAAGAGATAAGAAAACTCATATTATTTTGTCAACCCAAACTTCAATATAACTATTGTCTAAATAATGTAAAAGGAATTTTGGGTAATAGCACTCATGTTGCATTCTTGACACTATGTGCAAAGTGGATGCAATCAAATAAAAAGTGGAGCTTTTGGGGAGCAAACATCTGTATACATTATGCTAATGCTTCAACAATTTGCTGAATTTCATGATTGAAAAAAAAAAAAAACAGTTAATTTGAATGACAGAAATCCTATAAAGACGACCACAGAAATAGTAAGAACTAGGTGGAATAGATTTCAGGAATATATGACCTAGGGGATCTTGATTCTTGAGGGTGTCATTGGCTGGTTCTCAGCAGGGATGCCCATACACTGGTCCTTAAATATTATAGCCTGTAACCTGGTCAGGGCTGTTATATGACCAAATGACCTTAACTGCAATTCATTTTAGCATACCGAAATTCGGCTGTGCTTCCACGATATTGTTCTTCTTGTCAAGAAATTACAACCATATGACAATTCATTGTACAGTATAAACAGGCTGTTTTCTTGATGAGATGGACTTAGAAGGGACTACCATTCTTTGGACTCTAAGGTGAAGCACAGTATTTGCTATACTACCAAATCTCTTTAGTTTACCATCTCGGGATCGTGCAAGATATTTATATCATGTTAGTTCAAAAGGAAAGGACATGCAACGAATTACATGGGAATATGGGATATGGTTTTCGATATGCTAGATAGTGAGGCAGCAGTGCAACTAGATCACTTCATGTAATGGCAAATTAGAAACAAATTCTAAAAATAGTAATGCAAAATATTTATAAACAGAATATTTTGTCTTTTTGTCTGTTTTTTTTTTTTTCCTAGTGAAGTCAGTGTGTGTGTAAGCGCATGCATATGCAAGCATGTCTAGTTGAATATATGCAGAATAAGTAGGTAGTTGATCACCTTCATCAATGGGCTCTCAGTAGGAAATAGTTCCCTAGTAGAAAACTCTTCATCTGCATGGCATGAAAGATTTAAAGGAATGATAAAGAGCAAAGGGGAAAATCCACAAGACAGCTTTGCAAAGATCCCCAAACAATTATTACTAGACAATACAACACTATAAGGATGGAAGGGATTGTGCTTATGCATTGCAGCCATAAAATCTAGGTCTGGAATTAACATCATATGCGTGCAACAGAAACCTTGGCAAAATGGAAAATCTATCATGAATAGTGAAACAGAATATATTCTTCAACAGATTGTTCTATGGATCAAGAAAAGATAAAGTATTATGATTCTGATAAATATTCCATTCGAAGTGCTGGGATCTGGAAATCGTTTCCATGATCATAGCATCATCTTAGAAGAATAACACTATTTTGAACTGAGTCTGCATCCTTCAATTACATTATATATCAAACACTTCAAATGACTGTCTACTTTGTTACTGGATAACAATTAGAACACTAGTGCATTAAACTGATTGAAACTAGCAGCAACCTAGCAAGATGAGCAGGGGACATAGAATATCAAAATCAAACATAATTTCCCATCCTTAATGATTAGTGATATGTAGACTCGAGTCATAGATCAATTGGTTCAAGGATGAGCTAAAAATAAATGAGAGAGTATGTGCCCAATAAGCATCATTGCTTATAGAATATAGTCAAGACAATTTTTTTTTTTTTTTTTTTTTTTTTTTTCATTTTTCTTGAAATTGAGACAATCTTGAAACACATCATACTCAAGTGTGCTCAAGTCCACAATGAACCAAAGTACCACTTCATATAGCAAAGATAAATGTCTCTTAAGTTGGTATTTCTTGGTGCAACGGCTAAGAATTCATTTGGAAGTATCTCTTTGTGGAGCATCAATTCATTCCCTTCCACTATAAGTATCCGTTTTTTCAGCTTGTATCAACAAGCACAGATGTTTTCAAAGAAGCTACCAGTCTCTATGAGTCATGCAACTCCTCTTCCATTGTAGCTCATGATTTCCTTTCAGCAGAAACTCCCCATATTATACCCAATTTTATTTTTTATTTTGTAGAAGTACGGGTAGTTTGATAAATTCCCCAATTATAAGACAAATTGAAGCGGTGATGTAAGCTAAATTGAGGGCATCTCTTAATTCAACTGCGTACACCTCTGAGTGAGAAATAAATTATCCATCAACCAGATATGCAAAAATGTTATGGAGTGATGGTAGCTTTGAAGCATCTATCAGAATCAAGAAAATGTGTTATAAATGCGACTGTGAATTTAATTCTAAGCGTACATAGAGATGTTTAAGGTGCAAGGCTGTGGCTAAGCTTTATTTCACCCATGAGCAGTGATGGACCCTAAGAATTGTATGAGAGGGGGCGGCCTTGAACAACAATAATATATAGTGGAGTATCATTAGAAATTGAGTGGGGACCTTTTTAAGATTTTCAAAATAAAGTTGGGACATTTTTAAGATTTTCACAAAATCTATAGGTAATTTTGTAAATAAAAAAAAAAAATTCAATGGGGGCGGCTGCCACCATTGAGCCCTTATTGAGTCGTGCCCGCCCACGAGTAATATATTAAGACCAACTGCACAAGGCCCAAGTATTGTGGATTCTTTAATTTGTCAAAATAAAACCGAGGACTAAAGCGTAACTGGGTAGTAAAATAAAGTTGAATCTAAAATATAAGTAAATGCATGCATGCCAAAAAAAATCATCAGAAGTCTAGGCTTAAACTTTTGTTGGTACAGCTTTGCAGTATGACTTTAACTTATTGATGGACCATCCCAAATTTGAAAAACAATTTGAATTGAAAGCTCAAGGGCTCAAATATTTATAATTGTCCTTCAACCCATTATAAATTTGGAGTTGTGCACTGCAACAAATTGTCGCACAGAAGCAAGAATGACCTTCATTCTAATCCAATGGCTTCAAGTCCCCTTAACTTAACTACCGTGTTCTTTAATGATGAATAGAGTTATTCACGAGCGGGGGGGTGGTTTTAAAAAAAAAATCTGAAAATTGAATTTGGTTCATATACTAGATTAAAGTATGACTGATACAATGATATTATCAAAATGGAGAAGAATACTATTTTCAACCACAATTTGGAGATAAGAGAACATAAAAAATATGAGGCGAACTTCTTGGGTAGGGCATGTGCTAAGGTTCAATCATAGACTCGAGGCATAAATCGTAAAACCTTTATGATTATGCATTCCAAGGATGAGCTCAAGGCAGTATAGTTTATAAAAGCCTGTGAAAGATGAGATCTACTTGTGAAGAATTATCCATTTTTGCACAGAGTTCCACAACTACCTTTAGCCAAACGCTAAAAGCCCTCAATGGAGAGATCATTAATTTAACAAAAAAACAGTCCATATGATATAGTCATCCAAGATCCTTGTATCCAATTATGTAAAGCATGACTTATGAGTTATGATTATTAGGTAGAATAAAATGTAATATCGAATATTAGCATAAGAAGACAGAAGAGAGGGTAGGTTTCGACTTTCTATGTACTCATCTTCCCCCATGAGGACATTACACGTGATCTTTTTCTTGATGTCAACAGTGTTTGCAATCTTTGGGAGAGATATAGGGGCCCATTAATCTCCTACTTTACCAAGGAAAATGTTTCAATGATACTCTAACATTTAAAAAGAATTAGAGAAATATATTAGTATTTTGAATAAATTATAGTAAAAAAGTTCAGCTGGCGAGGACAGAACACAAAACACCACCCATGTCTGGCCAGATGCAAATGTATGAGGTTGAGAGAACTACTCAGAATCAAAAATTCCTTATGATTAGCATGTCTTTTGAAAGTTAAGACACTAAGGAACACAATAATTCAAAATAAGAATATACTATTGATTGGAGCACAATAGTATCAGAATCGGACGGAAACATGTCCAATTTGGGATCAAGTCTCCACCTTATAATGTACCAATCTCCACTGACGCAACTAGTACCAATCAATCAGAAATTAAAAAACAGAAAACAAATGAGATAGTCACATGACCTGGAACCCAATTAAGGCATTGCTGCATGAAATAGATAATGCAAAAGGACCATGAGAATAGATAATGCAAAAGGACCATGGGTTTATGAGAGCATCATAAGCAATCAGAAATGCCACAAACTTTCTCATTATCGACAGAACTTACTAAGAGATGACGAAATTCACTAGAAACAGCCTAACAAATAAATTAAGCATTTGATTACTTTATAAAATATTCAAGTTAACACTTCAGATGCTCTCTGTTTCTACTTTCTATACATTTTGTGCTTCATGTATTTATTATTTCTTCTGAAAGTTTGAAACACAAATTTACAGCATCTTACAATAACAGAAAGTCTGAAGGAAATTCGGATTTTAAATTAAATTTAAACTGAATTTAACAAAGCATTCCCAACTTTTTGGGTTGGATATGTTTTAAATTAAATGCCTATTTATTTCTCAGTAAAGAAATTAACTAAAAGTAATTCCAAAATAGATGAAAATTAGTGACAAGGACATATCAAAGACGGCAAGGATACCTCAAAGAAATGGATGCACTTATCATTTCACTGCCAAAGGCTTGTCACAGGCTTTTCTGCTTATGTATCACGTGCCTTCTCTATTCCACTGCTGCAGCAAAGTAATTCCAATACACGAGCATCTTTGATTCAGAGATCGGATGTTCTGTTGGTTTTACACCATGCATACACTAAAAAATGTCACAACAAGTTATCCAAACTCATGCCTCATACATGAATAATTTTGGGAGTTCCCATTGCAATTGGTTTATTATGCTTTATTCTCTCTGTCTGACCATAACTTCATCTGAAACTTCTCTTGTGCACCAACCTCCAACAAACTCTGTGAGCACCCAGAGGAAAGAAGGAAAAATAAATAAATAAATGGAGTGAAGAAAGGAAATAAAAATGTCTCCCTTAACAAATGAGCACGTTTAGATAGCATAATGTTTGAATGAATTGTGTTGCACAAGTGAGTAAAAGTTTGTAACAAGGAAATGTTAGAATGACCAACCAAAATCAATGAAAAATGGAGCTTCTTTTTTTCTTTTTCTATTTTTTTTTTTTTAAAAAAGGATTTGATATAGTTAGAGAAGTAACATGTGATCATGTTACAAACAGGCAAAGAACGTGCAAACAAGAAATGACTGCGGAGAGTGAAATTATTCTATATTTAAAAAAAATGTTAGCAAAAACAGAAGAGGAAAAGAAACAAAAGGGAAGGGCTTTTGTTTTGGCAGAAACTCAGTCATCTGAGATATGCATGGGTGTTCCAGATCCACCCGGACTTGGTGAGGTGCGTCATGCCAAACTTATACTCCTATAGGGGACTATTACGGAGTAAGGTAACCATTTCCTTCATGTTGTATCTGCCTTGAGAACAAGAACTCTTGGTCAGGATTAAAAAGCTCGAAGACTCCTCTAGAAGAATCGATGCAAAATAGGGAAGAATGAATGAATTGGTATTAACAAAGCACATTAAACAATATGTCAATAGGAAAATAACCTGAATCGTAGTCTCGTTTATAGTATTCTCATTCATAGCATGAGAATACTTGAGCATAAAGATCAATGTGTGTATACAGTGTGCATTGTGCCACTGACTAAACTACTGGCTAAACTAAGGAACTATGCTACAATTGGTTAGAGTAGATAAAAGTTAAGGAACCAAGGATACATTGCTGAAAAGGAAATTTATGTGATGTGTGGACCATCTTTCTCTAAAAAGGTCTTCATCTGTTTAGTTGAGCTGGGAAGGTTAATTGGACGGTGGTTGCGGGATAGGTGTTTGTTCTTCCTTCAACTAAGTGTCTTCTTTACGCGTCATGCATATCCAGTCTGTAACTGCTCTAGACGCCTGCATAATGGGAGTGAAATTGCCTCCATCCTCTCCAATCATCTTCTCTGGAATGTGTCACATCCTTGGCCACTTCACTTTTTTGACACTTCCACATGTACAGGACTGCTTTTAACTGCCCGGCAACTATATCTAGACCAAAATCCCCAAATTCCTTTTTGATCTAACACTGTTCTTGCTCTGAAATTCTTTTTAGCGTGGGATTCCTTGGTCTCTACCCATGTGCCTACTTCTGGCAATCCCACGTGACCGCTCCCCAGCCATCCTAGCCATGTGAGTAGGGGTGTTAAAACATCCAACATTATGTGAATCCCAGTTCTCTGCATAAGCACAAACCATCAATGAGTGGGTGAAACTGATTGATATCCCTCACAATGATCTCTATTCCAACAATTAATTCCCCAAAGCAAACTTCAAACTGTATGACAAACACCACCTGTCCTCTAAGTACTTTACCCTTATTGGTGCCCAACCAGATCAGTGAGTAGCCAAATGCAAGAGCTATTTTTCCAATGTTATACCAATGTAGGCTTCTAGTTAATTACATATTGGGTTTCAGTCACATATCCCCTATTTATAAATGCCTCCAACTTCCCCAACATGTCAAAAATCTCATTAGACCTACATGTGATCTGTCGTGCACGGTAGAAACAAAGGTACCGTTCTTAACATCAATCAGCTACACCCAAACTCCTCTCTTACCCCCATTGACCATCATTAATCACAACTCATTAGCTTCCTCCAACATCCTATTACACGCAAACATGTTACACAGCAGCACATAGTTTCCCAGATTATCGGGTACAATTTCAAAAAGCATGTCTGCAGCTTCAAAACCCAACTTGAAACCCCATATAAATTCCTGCAAGCCCAAGGTTCATATTGTGTACTCATGGAAGCCCAATCGACCTGCACAACCAAGCAAATCAACCACAAGCATTGAGTTCAGGCCCAAGGTTCATATTGTGTATTTTACTCATGGAATTAAAATAATCATATCCTTCTTGAAGACGACACATATGGGTATTGCCTACAGAACACAAATAAAAGTTGTACAGGCTTAATCCCCTACACCAGCATATTCTCAATTAATTACATCACTTAAGTTTATGAATCGATGTCATTGTCAGGCATCATGGCTGTCCGAGATACCACATTCCGAACCTCACTTTCTTCAAACACATAGCGAGCACCAACCAAGATCCCACACTTACCACAATAGCATACGTTGTTGTCAATGAGCTTGCAGCACACACATTCATCCCAAATCCAGTCTCTATAATCTGACAGTGAATCAAAGTGCCCTAATCCATCACTGCAAGATAAGCATCAACATCAAGGACAGCAGAAAATGAGAACTCGTAAAGAAAATGATTTCAAGCTTCTTCAAAGTAGTCATTTTGGACAAACCCCATTACAATGATATTACATGTCACTATATTTGTCTCCCATGTTTGAAAACAACTCAACACAGTAGCTTCTTTGAAGAAAAGAACCCACATTTACAAGACATATCCATAAGCAAAGTGTTCACATTAGCTAAGGTAATCACTCACACCATGCTTAATAGCAACTACATAAATTTGCCCCCCAATGTCTATACCACCCGTGTAAGAACAATCACTCAACTTACATGAAAAATAGCAACCCAATTGCCCCCTTCATAGACTTGTTTAGCAATAACCCCACTATCAAAGAATCCCAAGAAGCAGGGTTTCTATGTGGCATTCCGTCGAACATCTTATCCGCCGACCTCATATCAGAATACTTAGATTCATATCTACCAATGCCACTACCTGCAAATATATCAAATTCAGGGAAGGTGAATTAAAGAATGTATTTGTTTGCCATAAACGACAATCAAGTCACATGTGGAAGTTTCAAGAACCATAATTAAAATGAATAAAATATGACTTTTGACAATAAAAAAAGTTTATACCGTAAAAATTTGTCATTATCATCACAATCATATATTTAACCATATAAATTACACTATATATAAAAATTCATAGGGTAAATTTGATCATACAGTGAGACTTGAAAAGTAAATAGTAAACTTATAAATTACAACTATCCGCAGGACTTATAACAGATTATTTTCAAAATTCCAACGATAAAAGATTTATTTTATAAGAAGAATGTACATTATTAATATATATATATATTTTTAACTCAATTCAGCGCTGAAAATACTCTTACCATTTTTAAAATTGACCAAGACAGTGAAAGAAGTGGGGTTTGGGCGGTGAAATGGAATAAAGCTATTTTGGATAAGCACATGGCATGTGGTCTTTGAATATTCCAAACTTTGCATCTCAAGGGTCCATGGGTTAGTTGCAAACCTCTTAAAATGCACAAGTTTGTGGCATGTCAAAATTCTAAATTCCAGCCCTTGGAGTTGGAGGAAATTGGTTCAGCTCATAGTCACATACTTGGCTTTAACCACTATTTAGACTTAATATGGGGAATGTGAAGCTTCTAGTATATCCTTCTGATATATATATATATATATATATATATATATCAAAGTGATATATAAAGTAAGTCTTTTATACACTTTAATGGTAATGTTGGATGGAAAGTGCACATCTTACAAGAATTCTTGTCATATTGGTTTGAGAAATTGATAGGTCCTTGCAAACAAGGAAGTTTCTCTCTGGTTTCCAAAGGGAAAAGATAGAAATTCGAAACCGAGTTTTCTTTGACGTGATGCAATGATATGCTTGGGCAAAGCCACGAAACAAACAAAATATATGAGACCAGCCATAAAACTCACGGCTGTGGTCACTACGAAATCTTAATGATAGAACCCACCTATGATTCAATTATTGAGAGATCGGGATGTAATATCCTGCTAAAACAATTCCAATAATAATTATATAAAATAATTTATTAATTAAAATTGTCCATTGCATTGCTTTTAAATTCACTATTTAACTAAAAGATGTCACAGAACAAAGATTATTTTTGTTCTTACACTACGTATAATTGAATACAATTTTTTTTTGTAACTAATCAACATTTTTTTTAAGCTCCTCTTGAACAAATATATTTAAATAAATAAATAAATAAATAAACATAATTTAAAAGTGTTTGACAAGGATTTTCAGTTTACCTATATTCAAGGATGTAGATCAAACTAGTGTTAGAATGAAAATGGATAAAGCATATATGGGCACATCCGCACATGTTACACCGTTATTTGTCGGTTACATTGTCGGTTGCCTACCTCAACGCGTCTCGGATGAACATGATCTGCTTACCTGGAAACATAAATATATTATGCATCAAAATTTTCGCAAATTAACCATGGATAAACAAACATGCTTTAATTTAATATAAACCTATATTATATGTCTGTGTATATATATATATATAATATAAAGTAGGATACGTTATGTATCTCACTATCTGGCATCTGCATTTTGCAGACATAAATGTACATATTGGATAAACGCGGTGACATCTTTCCGTATTTTATTTTGTTTTCTCTTTTCTTGTAACTGAGAACCTCTGTGGTCCACGAAGCAGAAACTCAGCTTTATAAGAATAGCTTGCATCTTAAATGATTCATCTTCATTGTCATTCAACACTCAACTTAATATAAAAAAGTCATAAATTTAAAAAATCTAATTTAAAATTATAAATTTTAAAAATACCTAATAGATCAAGAGTACAAAATTAGATATATCAATACAAAAATATTTCCACCAATTATGTATATAAATACATATATACGCATAATGTATACATTTATTATGTGATATATAATATATTTAGCATATGATAATTTATTATGAATAAAAAATATTAAATAATATATCTTATATGTAATAAAATATATATTGTGTTATAATATTGTAAATTAATTATACTTTAATATTTACATATAATATAATATAGATATTATATATATAATAATATAAAATATCTACTGCTCAATAATTTAAGAACATTATATTCTATATCAAAAATTATTTTGTCACAAAAAATAATTTACATTATTATTTAATATATTATATATTAAAATATATTTTTATCAAATAAAGAATAATATACAATATTTAATATATTCTATATTAAAAATATATATTTTTATTAACATTTAATATGCAACTTAATATATAACACAAATAATATGACTTTTATTTGAAATGAATAGTGCATGTGCGGTAATATTAATGAAAACGTTTCTCTGCTAACGTGCCGAAAATATAAGAAATATCATTTTGATGTTTTCTCTTTTCTTCACAAAAATTGAAAATGTTTTCTATTATAAAAAAACAAAAACATTTTATTAAACGCGATTTTTGTTTTCGTTTTGCCTTTTTAGAAGTTGACAACAAAAAACGAGAAATGTCTGATGTTTTGTTTTTGCGTTTTTTTTTTTTTTTTTTTTTTTTTATCTTCAAGTAATATAAGTGTTTAAGTGTATGTAGGGGTGGAGTCAAAAATTAAATTCAGGAGAACAATATAAAAAAAAAATCAAATAATCACTACAATAAATATAAATTTTATAAATCAAGAGACAAAGAAGGAAAAATTATTCAAAATAATATATCAATAAATAAGTAATTTAAGAAAGACAAATAATAAAAAAATAAAAAAATTAAAGAAAGAAAAATGAGAGAATTTTGAAAGGAAAAAAATTGGAGTTTGATAAAAAAGGAAATTTTGATTTTTTTAAAAGGAAATTAAACGAATTTAAAGAATAAAAAAGAGAAGAAATATAAAATTTAAGTGATAATTTTAGAAAATAAAAATGTTAGGGGAGGCAATATATGAATTTTTTCATATATACGTATAAAAATTTATAAATTTAGTACAATTTTTTAGTTTAAAAAAGGTCATATTTGAGTTTCTCAAAAAAAAAAATATTTGGTAGTGCTATAGTACCACTTGTTATAGTGTGAAAACATGTAAAAATAATCTAATTTATGTTTTGAGTTTTAGTTACTATTTATAAAATGTTTCAACATTGTTCAAAATAAAACAATTTTTAACAAATGCATTTTTCTTCCTACTGTTAAAAACATCAAAAACAAAATGTCATTACCATTCAATAACACGATTTCAGCGGTACCATTTGCGTTTTTAAAAAGGGACCCAAATTGAAAATGGCGTTTCCAATTAACAACAACGGTAACAATAAACATTATTAAAAATAACAAACTTGAGATATTTAGGTGGGAAATTATGAGGTGTGAACATGCGGTGGGGCCCACTTGTAGATGATAGCATCACGTGCCACGTGGTACCCTGGAGATGGATGTGAGCTGTACAATGATTTTTGATTTGGAATCAAAGTAAAAAAGCATGCTTATACGAGAGACCATGGAAAGTCACGGAGTATGGTGATCTGTATAAATTGATTGATGAATTAACGCGTGACATACACGTCCCCTTTGTTGTTTTTTTTTTGGGTTCTCTCTCATTGTTTCTTTCCCTATAAATTAACCATGCACTTTGATTTCTCTCTCTCACTTGTGTTTAGTTTCTCTCTCTAACTCCTCTTCAGTGTGAATTTATTTGCTCTCTCTCTCTCTAAAATTAGTGTTTGTTTGAAAGGAAAAATGGCAGATGAGGGAACAGCCAACTGCATTGACATCCTCTTGGCCATCCTCTTGCCTCCCCTTGGTGTTTTCCTTAAGTTTGGTTGCCAGGTACTAATAATCACACCCTTTCTTCTCTCTCTACACAAACACATATATATGTAATTAACATACAGATCAGGTGTTTTTTTTATGTTTTTGTAATGAATTATACAGGTTTTTTGTTTTTTTTTTTCAAAAAATCTAGTATAAGTTTCTAAACCCATATATGTTTTTGAATCTCAAGTGTCCCTTTTTGAAAAGTTTTTATGATTTGTGTTTATGGGGAAAGCTGTAAAGTCTTGTGGGGCATAAAGACAATTAACCTTTTAAAATACTGTGATTTAGTTAAATACATAAACACACACACACACAGACAGATATATATATATATATATATATTAATTCTATAGTTTTAAGAAAAATTTATCTATATATTATTCATATATATGTGTGGTTGTAGTTAAAAGTTAATTATGTTGTGAGGATGCAGGTGGAGTTCTGGATCTGTTTGTTGCTGACCTTCTTTGGCTACATCCCTGGAATTATCTATGCTATTTATGCTATCACCAAGTGATCACCCATCAACTCCCAGGTAATTGATCACTAATCAACCACATTAATCTCTGTTAATTACCGCCCTCTATGGTAAAAGTTTGGTTAAATAAAATGTAATTTTAATATTTAAATCTTTTAATACTTATTTTACTTCTAGCTAGGAGAAAATAAATAAAAATGATCGTCTTGGCCATTTTATAGAGATGCATAATGATCTAAATTTTATTAATTTTATGTGAATAAGAGTGGATCGGATCACCATCTCACTTGCACAAGTCTGTCTTCATTTGTTAAATTAATTGAAGTTGTGACCAACTATTTTCTTGGGTTCATGATGGGTAAGAGACAAAGATAAAGCAATTTGTAGAGAATAAAGTATAAACAAATTAAGTAAAGTTTTGACAAATTAATTAAAGCAATAGTGTCCACTTTTTTGTTCTTATGTTTTTTGTTTGGCAGGTGGAGATATAAAGACCAGTGTACACGAGGACTTTTATTTTCTGCCGACGGGTTGATGAACGGTGCTGATTTGATTTACTTGAAGCTATTCGCTGCGTGTCTGTTTCCTAGTTTTTGTTGTATTTGAAGTACAGTAGTAGATTTTAATTGGAGCCGTGGTTGGTTTTTTGATTTTGTTATTATGGACTTATGCTGGTGGTTGTCAAGCACATATTAGTTTGGGTCATAAAAGCTCATCAAATTTGTGATTGATCTGGTGTTTAGGTTATTGTTTATCTATAAAAATTCATGATTTTTATTCACTAAATTGTAATGGCCAATTTCTGAATTGCGAGTATACATGAGTCACATAAAACGGGAACTGCAGCGAGGGTAAAGCGTAATTTAATCATAAGCAGTGAGCGTAAGAGCGGGATGAGCGTGAACAATTCTGTTCCATATCAATAGTCCATTTTTCAAAAATTAATGCACTGTTTTTATAGTATTTTTCAATTTATCCCTAAAATATGAAACAAATTAAAGTCTCAAAATGGATGGTTGGACCCATCAAAGAATAACTTTTAAAAGTGATAAATTTAAAAACATATGCTCCACCAGTAATAAAATATAATAAAAGCTAGTGTCACTTTTAAAAGGGATAAATTTGAAAACATTTGCTCCACCAGTGTAATAAAATATAATAAAAGTTAGTGTCTTAAAATGTGTGAAATTTGTTACCGGATTGGGGTGGTTGTGTTTGGTGGGTGAGCAGGCTTTTTGGCTTTTTACGGGATCAGAAAAATACTTCTCCGATGCTTAGAGATTAGATCTACGGAGGTCGTTGGCCTTAAGAAGGTACACTTCACGAGTACAACTGGTTCAATTGATA